CATTTTCTTGGCAGTCGCTGGCAGTCATTGGCAGTCTTACGGCAGTCACCCATAGGTAATAATTACATGGCAGTCATAGGCAGTCTTCTTCACAGTCATTGGCAGTAAAATGATATTTTGGCAGTACATGTACATTTTTTACCCAAGTGAGACACCCCTCGATTCTGAACCCAGATGGTTTGGGTTTTGTATTTTCTATACAAAATACCATGGTCTTTAGTTAATATTCGGTGACCATGTGAATATAATAAATTTTATACTAGTGAAACATCTAGACCAATGAAACATCTATTTTGACCGATGAACACAAGTTTTAAAAGGAATATTGTATTGAGTTCAAACCTGCCGCAAATCTGAAGCAATTAAAACTTGACAAAGCCCAAATCGAAAGAAAAATTACCTTTGGACCGACAAAAGGATTGAGTGTTGCTTGTATTCGTTCGTCAAATAAAAAAAAATCTTTGTCGGCTGCTCGCCTTTAATAACTCGCGTAGAATGAACGCGCGAATCATTAACAACAGTTTCTATTATTGAATAAAAGTCGAAGTCGGCGGGGGATCCCAACCGAGGAACGCTTCGATTGAGATCTGTTTTCAAAGGGCCGCCGTCACCTGACCTCCACTACTTTCCATTAGGAGGAATAATTAATAAAAGTTGGAGAATCGTCGCTGAAAGCTTGCACCTGAAACTCGGTTGGAGGTCCCGACAGAGCAGGCGCAACAAAAAGGAGTGAAATTGAACAACAAAATGAAGACGTAATCTAAATTCTATACAAACGTCTCAAGTCTCAAATTAAACTATAGGATTGGTGCATTTCAGTTGATTTCAACAAATTGCGATCGCAGCGCTTCAACGACAGAAATCAGAAATTATCAGTATGTATTTCACATAAAAAATAAGTGGAAAAGAATTTCAACTAGACGTCGCAGTCGTGTTTGTGACAATTTCAAATATTAATAAAATTGCCGAAAAAATGTTAACGCATAAAGGAGAACGTAATTACGGCGCAATAACATTCAATAACTCAACTTTCTCGGATATTCAACTCTTCCGAAACAATATTACTATTTATTAACAATAAACTTATTTATTTGTCATCAGGCATCATAGATCGAGAATTTTGTCACACTGTATTTTTTATACCGGGTGCGTCTTAAAAGTGGCTCACCCCTATAACCTTTTTATTTTTTCGAAAAACGGGATTTGTTATATGACATACATTAGGATTGATTGACGTATTCAATTGTTTTCGGTCACTTCCTGTTTCACCGGAAATTACTACAACTTTAGATTTGTAAATGGCATCCTCGGTATTTTTTTACTTTATTCGATAGAAAATGACATTCTGAATAGAATGACATATCACATGTCAACTTTTGACATTTTTGCTTACTAAAAAATCGTATTTCAAAATTCAATCTAGAGTGCCGTGACTATATTAAAAACACTAATTCTTAATCAAGGAGCCTTGGAAAAATAGATTTGATCGTCTAATGTTTTTAGTGTCTTGTCCTGGCCAGTTAGAAAATGCTCAAATCGTATTTTTAATTATATCTAAAATGTTTCAAATGGAACGAAGGTGGCTCATTAGCATATTTGGAAAAAAAAAATTACGGATAATTTGATACCACACGCTTGGTATTACGAGTCAAATTTTTGTTCCGAACCGCAAGTTATAATTTCAAATAAACTATACGCGAAAATGCCAAAAGTTAACATATGATATGTCAATCTATTTAGAGTGAACTAAAGTTGTAGAAAACAATTGAATACGTCAATCAATCCTAATTTATGTCATATACTAGCATACCAAATCTCGTTTTTTTTTTATCTGAAAAAATAAAAAAGTTATAGTGGTGAGCCACTTTTGAGACACACCCGGTATATTACCAAATACAAAAAAATAATTGAACGGAAATAAAACAGATAACTAGAGATTTAATGACCAATTTTAACAAAAAAGTTATTAACAAAAGTGCCAAGTAACCGTAAAAATATAAAAACCATTTTTTAACGTAATAAAATGTATCATTTGTTGAAAGCAACCCTTTATCACAGCATAGAGCATTTTACACACCTCGATACATCTAATGTATACACAAGTTTCTTTGTCTAGAACACTTCAAAGCTTACTGATGTAAGAAAATAAGCTCAACTAGCTACTTGAATTTTTATTACAGTGTATTTTTTCCAATTTCTGCACCATTTGTTCTCTGAAGGGGTCTAGTTTTTTTCTTTATAAACTATTATGATGAGAAAGTACTTCATGGCATTTTAATTGTTTTTATTACAACAACCAATGTAACTAATTTCAGATAATTACTACAGTAAAAATATCTGCCTTCATTTCTAATTATTGATTTACTTACATGGCTTTATAATTTCACCCCTTACTAACCAGAGGACGCTAGTGGTATTATTATAGGAGAAATAAATTATTAACTAACTACTATTCATATAATATATCTGATTGGAAAATTTAAAAGATTAAAATTTGCTCTATTTTTAGTCTTCTATTTTTTCATTATCTATAGTATTTCCTTCTACAATATGAATAACGATATAGCAATAGAACTAATTCTAACGACATAGCAATAATAGGTACATTTATGCGAGATTAATATTCATTAATAAATAAAAATAAAGTTCATTAATAGAAAATACCTGAAAGTTTAAAACAGTATACTTAATTTATGTTGCTGGTGGAAACTTGTTGAAAATATTTTCAATATTCTTATAGATATTTCTGATTATGCTTGAAGTAGATGTCAACTTGATTATTTTAAATAGATCATTTATTTATTGATGCACACATATTTATAGATATTTTTTTAATTATACGTTAAATATAAATATAGTATAATATATTATTCCTAAGTTTAACTGATTTTAAATTGTTTTATTTAGAGCAATCTACGTAAGCTCAATTTCTTTAGGGGGCTAATTCATTATTCATCATATTTTCGTAATCATAATTTTATTTTTGTAACATTATTATGTCCTTACGTTTTTCAGAGTTACATATCATAGGGATTCGATAATAAAAAGGGTGGAAAGCAAGCGCACCAACTTTTAATGATAAAAATATTATTCTTAACTCAATAATTTCCTGATATTCCTTCTGATTAACGAATATAAATTTTGTTATTGTTGTGGAGCTTCCGGTGTTCCATTAAATCATCGAGTTATTATCCTTACACAGGAAATAGGCAGAGCCGGATTAGGCTGCAGGAGCTAAGAACCATAAGATAAAAAAAACGGCGTCAATGACGGGTGGGGAATGATAAACGATGATAATTTTGGCGAGGTCAAATACTAGACGTTATTTACTTGGCCCGTAATATTTTTATTTTTTATTGGCGCTTACTGCCAGTTGTCCTTATTGATTATTTTTTAAATGGTGTAGTTTAAAATTCGAAAAACAATAATTTTTTGAAAATAGATTTTTGTCTGGAAACTTTCAATCCTTTTTTAATCTTTCTATAATAGTGTTAATTTTTTGAAATTTTATGTAAATTTTTAGTAAATGACGCCAAGAGACAGACCTCGCGAAAATTATCATCGATTTTCATTTCCCAACTGTCTTTGACGCGTTTTTTTTTTCTATCATTCGGTTTATAACCCTAGTAAACTATCAGCAAAGTATCAATAACTATTAAATAATAAAATATAATATAAATATAAACTGTATTTTTTTGGAAAGCTGTCGCAATCTTTCCTGGCTTGTTGGACTGACTCTAGTATTTTTGAGTTTATTTTTTTTTGAATATATGTTTTCCTTTTTTTCTAAATCCGGATCTGGAAATATCATGTATTTAAAGGATCATTAAAAGACAATTCATTTGAACCAAGGACAGTTACCTTATAATTAATGTCTAAGACAGATTCGATGGTAATCAGTCTAAAGATTCCATCTAATAAACACTGAATTTTGAAAAGACATTAAAAGTATTTTATTCGTATCCAACATATAGGGTGAGTAATGTAATTATATACCTACTATATAAAAGACGTTAAATTCCAGTAGAACGTTTTACTTTTACTAAAATTTGATAAAACTTTGGCATACTTGGTCAATTATTAAGAGTTAATATAGTAAGTTTATAATTTAAAATCTGTGTAGTATACTCTAAATAGATAGTTAAACTCTTTTAATTATAAGAATAATCTCTTTAATACATAATTAAATTTTATACCAATCCATTAAATTATAAAAATTTTATTGTGTATTGTGAAAAAAAATCTAGAATCAATCTGAATTATTTGAGCCACTCTTTATATTCACCGTAATGCTATCTAATAATCAACTGACCATACATGCCATATATTTATCAGAAAAGATAGATGAAACGATTAAATAATACTAGTTTCGACTAGGTCACGCATATATGCTGGCAATTACTTGAATTTCCCTTAATTCTTTTACAGCAAATGATCCACAGCGAGGGCTAATTGAAAAACGACTAATACAATAGAAAGTTACTTTCGAAAAAAGGAAAATTCAATCATAGAGTAAGAAGACAAAAAATTACAAACCCGTGCATTATAACAGTTCATTTCATTCATTTTAGAAATTATAGGACAATCTCTACAAATAATATTAATGAAATATGACGTCTAACGAACATAATATGAATAATAAACCAAAACTTCACAGTGGATGGGCTGTAGACCAAATCAGACCACAACGAAATGCTGGTTTTAAAAGAAAACAAAATGATTTTGGATTAGCGTTTCCTGTAACAAACTTAAGGTATACGATTTTTTATGTTATTTTATTTAATTTAATTAAAATAATACAATGTATAAGTAATTAAATACATAGCATAATAAATAAAAGAATCTATACATTTTTGCATAAATCAAGAAACAGTAAAATAGTTTTTAAAACTATGGACCTCAGTATACAGGGTCCGGCAATAATGCGTCGGGCATCCTTAGCTTCTAGAATAATATATGTACAAGGATGTATTTCAGGAAAATATGTTAACTTCTATAGGATGGCTCAAAAAAAGTGTGCGTGAATAGGGATGATTTTTTTTTAAATGGAACACCCTGTATATTATTGCATTTTTAGCTTCCTTTCAGATCATTTTACATAATCCTAAGATATGATTAAATATATTTTGATAGATTCAGAGATATTAATAAATAAATAAAAAATATATATTTTCAGCATTTCTTAAAAAAATTGTTATAAATACAAGAACTTGTCCTGAAAATAAAAACTATATTAGGTATTTACTTTAGATAGTTTGCACATATTGTGGTATACATATGGTAATCGTAAATCATACAGGATGTTCAAAATTCTATGCCAAACTTTGTAAAATATAAAATTTTCTTCGTTTTTTTTTTAATAGGAATACCCTGAATATTATTTTTTCAATAGATGGAGAATTCAAAAATGAACATTTTTTGTACTTGGAGTATTTCAAAATTTTTAACGATTTCGCAGATATTCGCGGTTTTATATTTCATAAGGCATTTTCTACAGTAAATGTTTATCAAAGCCACCCAATAATTCTTCCCTCGTATTTTACCGTTGAAGGAGCCATATGAAATAATACTGAGTGTATCTACCATGTGTGAAACCATATAATAATATACAAGGTGTTACATTTAAAAAAAACAAAGAAAAATTACTTTTTATTTTAGAAAGTTTGACGTAGAATTTTGAACACCCTCTATGATTTAAGATTAACATAATTATAGAAAAGTAAGTATAGACCATCTAAAGTAAATACCTAATATAGTTTTGATTTCATTCTTGTATTTGTAATATTTTTTTTAAGAAAGGTTGCAAAATATATATTTTTTATTTATTTATTAATATCTCTGAAATTATCGAAATGTACTCACTTACTTTAGGATAATGTAAAGTGATCTGAAAGGAAGTCAAAATGCAATAACATACCGAGTGTTCCTTTTAAAAAATTATCCCGAACGAATCATGCACGAACGATCCCCAGAAATGAACGAGTCGCATTGTGATCCGATTCAATACTTACAACTCTTTTTTACGACTCGTTCGTTTAAATTTTATGGATCCGTGCTGGCCACGATTCAATTGAACGAACCGTATTGTAAACAATGAATCAATTCTCACGACTCTTTGAACGAACGAGCCGTAGAAACGAACGAGTCGCATTGTGATCCGATTCAATTCTCACGACTCATTCGTTTCAATCTCACAATTTCGAACAAATCGAATCTCACAATTTATTTTTAATACTCATTCAAATTAACGACTCGTTCAATCTTTGCCTACCTCTAGTGTACATTCTTTGCATACATGTTTTTTATTAGTATTATTACGGATTCCGTGGGTCCACTATTTAAACTCACGATAAAATACTTAACGAATTTATTTGTCTCACTCTGTACACAGAACTTATACTATTTACAACACAATTTATGCAACTACTATTACTCTAACGGTATTTCGCGGTATTATCAAACTTCAGACTTCAGACTATCTTCAGACTATCTTCAGACTGGTCCAACTGTCAAAGCGCGGGCCTTATATACCCCCTGGCGATGGTTTCTGGAATTTTCTAAAGAATTCTGTAATTTTCTTTTACTTTCTGGCGAATTCGCCAGGTTCCTCAATGCACGTTGCGGTTATGTAGCAGTAATGCAGTTATGCAACCAGTAATACACCTTGACCTTGACAGTATTTTACATAAAAAATATTCATAACGCATGAAGGTACCCTATGATAAAAAACGACGTCCAGTTGACTTGGAAATGATTCGAGCCATCTCTGACGGAGTTTTTTTCGATTGTATATGTTTGACGGAGTTTTTTTCGATATTGTATTTCAATACTTTCTATTAAATAACTGCAAATATATTAAAAAATTTAATTAATAAAAGTCTTTTATTCTGTAATATAGTAAAGATTGTAAAACATACGATAACAGAGTAAACGTTTTAAAATATATTATGGTTTCTTTTATGAACCGATGATGATATCGTCGTATTAAACTATTTTCTGGAAAGCTATTTTAATGTGCATAAGAGCTATAAAAAGACTCATATATAAACAAAACAAACTCATTTTTTTATAATGTGTAAACTCCAAGATCAAAATCTAAGCACGCAACTATAATAAAATTAGAAGAAAAAATATCTGCCTTATTTAAACAATAGATAACACATCATATATTTTTTTATTTATAGTTACAACATACGAAATATAGAAGTATCTCAAAAACATATCGAAACTCAAGAAAAGAAACATTCAAAGTTTCGTAAAAGTGTGGTAACTCAACTGGAGAAATACTGCGAAAACACCACTTTACATGGCTTGAGATACGTAGGAGATTCCCATTTAACCATTGGTGAAAGGTATGTTCTATAAGCTATTCATTTCAGCCGGTCATTTTAACCTCATGAAATATTGAATGATATAAAAAATGTCTATAATGTGACGGATTCATCTGCAAGAAAATCTACAAAATAAAATAGAACATAATAATATAATAATTATGTTCTTTAAAATCAAAGAAGCGATTGTCATATATTACTAACATCTCAGATGCATGAGAAATACATTTATTTTTATTAGAATGTATTAAAAAAGCCTCTTTTATTTTTCTTTTAGAGGCTAACGCTTCTTTCATTATAATTTTGGCGTTATTAAAATTTATTGTTATTGCCCCCTAAAAATCTCCCTTTCTGTTTGTTGTTTCACCAATGTAAAATTTATCGCATTCACATGGTATTTTATATATTACATTTTTTGTTTGTTGTTCTGGGTATTCATTGGTTTAGTATGTAATAAAATGGATCTAAGTGTATCTTATTCATATTTTTTCTTAGTAACTTTCAAATTAACATTATGTTGTTTTGTATATATTTAAGCTATTTCGTTGTAACAATATTCACTTTTACTAAAGAAAATTTTTCTAGGATTTTCTGGTTTATTTCATTTTCCCTGGCCATCATCTTTGCATCGTACTACATTTCCAACATCTATGCAAAATGGAAGTCCAGTCCTGTCATCATCAGTTTCAGTCCTTTCGATGCGGAATTGAGTTCGATTCCCTTTCCAGCCATCACTATTTGCAATATGAATCAAGCTAAGAAGAGCGAAGCAGAAAGGATTCTTAAAGAAGGGTATAATTATAACATTACTAGTATTAGTATTAATATTACTAAGAATATATACATGGTATCTCTTTAAAACTCAACTTACTTATCGACAGTTATGAGACAGTCGGGAAGTGCTTTTTGGGTTTACGATATCTTATAAAGCTATTACTCCTATGCAACTTATTACCTATATGCAACCTTAAAACTAAATAAAAAGAAAAGTTGGGCCAGAATTTCTAAAATTGTAGTATAAAAAGTTATGTTTTGAACAACATTTCGTAGTTATTAGTCTATTTATTAAATAGTATTAAATCATTAAAAAAGAATTGCGAATCATATCAGCTTCAGTTATGAACGAATTTAAAATGAAATTTAAATTAAAATATTTATTTTATTTTCTGCTAAACCTGGTATGTGATTTAGAGCGCAGTATATTTAATAAATAATTCAGTTTTAATATAATATTTTAACCATACAAAAATCCTAAACGTTTTAAATAAGTCATATTTGTTTACGACCATAAAACTAGTATCGTAATTGATATTAAAAATATATTTAAAAATGAAAATTTTTTCTATTAAATATTTTCTATTTAGCAAGAGGTTTCTCTAGACTAAGGCTGGAGGAGAACGAAAAGAGCAAAACACTTTTAAGTCAAAAACGTTTTTGCATAAAACAGTTCTGGTCTTTCTCTATGCGTCCAGTCGTATATTAAACTATCCTTTTCAGATCAAGTATTGAAAGAAAACTATTAGACGATTCTTGCAATGGAAACACGTCGTTTGATAATTCCGAAAATATCAGCTGGGAATCCCTAAGAGATTTTCTAGTAAAAGTAAGTTGTTCTCTTACACACATATGTAATTTTGATGATGTAAATTGTTTCTCTACAGGTTGGCAGTTCCTGTGCCGATATGTTGCATTCCTGTCAATGGGGCAGCGAAAAATTGGACTGTAATGATGTGTTTAATAACGACTTGACCGACGAGGGATTGTGTTGTTCTTTTAACAGACTACCGCCTGAAAAGATTTTTAGGAAATCGTACGTACTGCAAAATGCATTTTAACAATATGCATTAAGTAGAACTTTAGTAACTATGGTCTGTCCAACTAGAGAATAGTGAATAGTATATAACTTTCGACATTGACAGTTGTCTGGTTAGCTATCTCTTGACTTACTGGACAGATTTTAGATAGATAGTTCTCATTTCTAATTGATAGATGTGTGATGCAAATGTTATTTATTAACTACAACTCTGTTGATTTTAGAAAAGATATCAGTATATTAAACCAAACTTATCCCAGTAATGTATACGACTGGAATCCAGAAACAGGGTTTACTGAAGCAGACACAGGAGACTCTATTCCAAGAAGACCATTAGGTAAATATTTTTTTTTTATTTAAGCTCCTACAAAGTTTACTAAAAACGTAAATTAATTTTAAGGTGCTGGAGCACATTTAGGTCTATCAGTTATTTTGGATGCTAATATCGAAAACTATTATTGTTCTTCAACACATAGCACTGGTTTTAAGGTAACAGAGAACCTTATTTAAACAATAAAATAGATGTAAATAAATAGATATAATAATATTCGTTCAAATTTTCTCTTCCAACTGCTTTAAGACAGATATAAACTGATGTCAGCAAAATTCTAGTTCTTTATTACCAAATAATGTACTGTATGATAAAAAAAAGTGGCTTCAAAGGAGGCTGCAAAATGACAATTGATGGTAATTTTGGCCAGATCGCCATAAGCGCCATTAAAAGTAAAGAAGAGTATGGGCTTAGTAAACGATGCCTAGGGCTTGACCTCGCCAAAATTATCATTGTCAATCCTCAGCCGTCTATGACGCCGTTTTTTTTTTCGATAATATGAGATAATATGTTATATTTAAAGGTTATACTTTCAAACCCTATTGAGACTCCGAAAATGGCCGATTACGGTTTTCTAATAAGTCCAGGATTTGAAACTAGGATTTCTATCGATCCTTCTGTAAGAGAAGCGACTAGTGCTCTAAGAAGTATACCTATAGAAAAAAGACAATGCTATTTTTCTAATGAAAGGCCGTTACAATATTACAGGTAAGTATGAAAACATAACCAAAATATGATACATAATATAGGTATTAATAAGAGCTAATCAGAAATAATATAGACCGTATATCTAATATTTTTTAATAATTCGTCATTCTGAGTTTCGGTTATTACTATGACTGTTATTTAGTTAGTTAGTGTTATTTAGTTTAGTTAGAGTGTTATTTAGTTTAATTAGTGTATGTAGTTATTTAAATATCAAAGAGCTTATTGCACAGAATTGTCATGCAATGATCTACCCGTTGCAAATCAGCAAAAATGATGCAACAGTCAAACCAATACACTACGAGACTTGTTGTCAAGCCGTGTATGGACTATTTTAATCTCGTTATTAGGGTATTATCTCCCAGTGGCGCACCAGAAAAAAATACAAAATTTAATTTTCATCCAGTCAATAGTGATCATAAAATTATAATAATATTAAGGTAAGTAGGTATAGTAATATAGTATTTTTATAAACATATTTTTTAGAACATACACCAAGATGCACTGTAAATTAGAATGCAACAGGATTCGTTCTTATGAACGATGTGGATGCATACCTTATTTTCTACCACGTAATAAGCGAAAATAAATAATTTAATGGCTGGTTCATACTTCCTATCTTTACTCTAACACTAACGTGGGTCTTAATTTAAGAATACGAATGAACGTAAATAAATGTACAGTGTGTCCCATTATTCATGTCCTTTCTAGGAATCTTCGTTGTTGAATATAAAGGATTGCCGAGGTAGTCGCAAACGTTTGCTACATTTTCGTCAAATCTATTATCATGAAATCAAAGTTGTCGTACCCTTCGTTTATAAGATACAGTTAAAAAAATTTAAAAGTTTGCATTTTGATCCCTCGTATCTCGGTTATCAACTTATATATTTTTTATTTAATAAATAAACTTATCATTATTTAAGATCAAAATATTTTAAGTTACTGAACGTTTCTTTTTTGTTGCCAAGGCTTACCTACTTTGTTTACGTCGATTTCAAACCGCGGTTCTCGGCCATATCATTGTCAATAACCTACCGACTTGGCGAGTATCTAAATCTACTCTTACTCACGAGATATCCGATCTCATCCGGCCAAGATTGAGCGGTGTGTGTCAATATATTTTGCACTCTTGTAGTGGAAAAACAGCACAATAGAGTTTCCAGATAGTTATCCGTCCATCCACTCGCATCGTCTGAGGTCGTTTAACTTCGGTGATCTATAGGGAACCGGTATTTTGACGTAGTTGCCCCTTATTAATATATTTTAGACGAAACTTTAAAATATAGAATAAATGATCATTATTTGTGTATGATAACTTCAATAAAGATATGCTAATCATATACAATAAAATTATGCTATACAGGGTGTCCCAGGCTGAGCGTGCATTAGAAGTTTCTAGAGAACTACAATATCTAGATCGGAGATTTTTTGCATATCATTGTTTCACAACGAGATCTACAAATTAAAAATATTTTTAATATGGCGGCACTTCCGGAAATACCGTTATTTATATATTAATACAGGAAGTTGACAGTCTTATATTAAATGAGTATCCCAATTTTTTATTACATACTTAATTCTCTGTAAAATTTTATGAATTTTGATATCAAACACTCTATACCTAACATTAACCGTTTTTGAGAAAAAAAAATATTTGGAAAAAAATTCCCTTAACGCTTACAAGATCGTAGGTGTCACGAAAAAGTTTACAACCAGCGAAATCCGCAATCCTTTAGAATCAACGACGGAGATATCTGAAGGCTAGGGGAAGAACGGCATTATTCCATTTTTGGGAGAAATTAAGCTTATAGTTTATGTTTTATATAGCATATAGTGGATATTATCATGCCCTTCAGTGCACAAAACGATGAATTCCATAAAACAAAAAGTGGAGAAATGCAAATAATATACATTGGTTTGTTAAAATTCCCTGTATAATATAAAGTCAAACAAATTTTGTAAAATGCTTAAAAACAGTTGTATTTTAGCTTTCATCTAAAAGTAAAGACTGTTCAGGCATCGTTCAACGTTACGTCAGCATTATTAGCCAAATATGAGTTGTAGGGTGTGTCTGAGATCAGTTTATGTTGTTTAGAAAATTTTAAGTAAGTTCCTATATTACTGATTGAACGAGTTCCATTTTTTTCGGCATTTATTCATTTTTTCCTAAACTCTTCACCAGTTATGATCCCTTTAATTCCAATCCTTTGGACTGTTGAAATTCCGATTTCTAAAGCATCAGTAATTTGCTACATTATGTAAAAACGCTACCAATTTTTATTGTACATAGGAATATTACACATTCATTATTATTAAAATAATTTATATCCTTAGCAATGAGCTCTTGCACATTTTGGTTAAATATTTGAGGCATTTTTGCAAAAAAAAAATGTGTTTTACAGTAACAATCAAGTTGTAATTTTGACATTGATCCCCGTTGTCAGTCAAAATTGTAACGCTAAATCAAATGACAATGGCGATTACTAAAAAGAATATGCAATAATTTACGAAATGCCGTAATGGCGTCACGAATCTCTTCCATCTGGTAGGCACTTTGAATAAGAAGACTAAGGAAGGAGCATAATGCTATCCATGTATTCATGCATGGTGGGCGGAAAAGCCACCATAAAAGCTCTCTAGGGTGGGGATCCTTGACAGTTCTGTTTGACGATTCATTTGACACATTTGCATTTGATTTGAAATTTTGTGGATTTGTCAGTCTTTACGGAGCTTATTTTATGTTATTTATTATTTATTCTACTACTGATAGTTGTATAAAGGTAGTAAATCTAGATGGAAATTGTGGCAGAACTTAAATTAACAGTGACACTATCGCGATTTATCGAAAAGACTCTAAAATAGTTGGTTGTGTAGCGTGCGGTAGATCTCGGCAAAAATTGAGTGAAATAATGGAACAACTTTTCGCTAGTAAGTGACTATATAATATACATACGTGTAGTAAACCAATCATTTATGAAATTCACTTAAATTAACTAAATTATATATTTTTCTTGCATTTTAGCTTTTATTTATTACTTGTCAAAGATTAGATGTCAAAGAATTTAGATACGTTAATTTGACTTACCTGCTTCAGTAGCGTATCAGATGTTTGTGTTAATAAATACTTATTATAACTTATCTATTTTTATTAGAATTATATATTTTTATAACAATTTTAATAACTACCAACATTTATTCACAACGTAAAATAAAACAACAAATTATTGAGTCTACCCCACGTCTACCCTACATCATAGTTTTACATTTTTTAAATAAAATTAGAACGACACTGATAAACCGGAATTTAAGTCGGCCATATTTGAGGCCCATCGCGGTGTACCTAAGATTTTTGATATGCTCCTTCCTTAGTCTTCTTATTCAAAGGGTTGGCAAGTGATTGAGATAGTTCGACAAAATATATGACGTGACGTTGAAGGATGGTTGAACATTCTGTATACCTATAAGATCAATAAGAAGGAATAGTCAAAAAATGATCATCAGAAATGTTACAATTTATGTGACTGGTGAGATTAATTAATTTGGTGAAGTATGAATCAACCATTAAACATTCCCTTACAGAATGTTTATTTTTTTTAGATAACACATCCCATAAAATATGTTTATTTCGGAACAGGTGTATAGAAAGAACAAGAGGTAATTAATTAATTGTGTTTTATGGGTAAACTCAGCATCATCAGAAAAACATTTATTTAAAGTGCAGACACTAATAACATCAATTTCTTTCTAGATATCCTAGACAAGAAAAACCATTTAAAAATGTTCTTTAGGGGTAAAAGGTAGAACATAGATATTAGTTATAATTTATCTTACTGATTGTCTCTTTTGATCCAGTTTTAATTGCAATTGTCTTCAAAGCTGCGATCACATTCACTATTATTATTCAAAAACAGCAAGCGTTGCTTGGCCAGCAGGTACTTTCCGGATACCTAATCATACAATTGAGGAAATCAGGTAGAGTGATTATTAAAATGTTAGAGAAGATAGAAATAAGACGTGCATTTTTTGCAGAAATAATTTTGCAGTTATGAATATATATTTTTCGTCTACCAGGTATCCGAAAATTACCAAAAAGTTGATATATCTTTTCAACGATTTACTAGGTAAGAATAATTAGGTTAGATCATACAGAGTATCCATTTGTGTTCACATTCACACCATATGCGTTTTCAACAACTTACCGCTCAGTTTTTTTTTATACATATGTATAATTCGACTACTCTTTTGTATTCTATTCGATTTTAGCAAACACTGGTGGACTTTTAGGACTCTTTGTAGGCTTTAGTCTTCTTAGTGCTGTAGAATTGTTCTTCTATATGTTCTGGTTAATATGGAAATCATATTTAATGAACAACAAAATAAACAACAGATTTGACAAGAATAATGACAGTCCCATATACCCATATATTAATTAGAAATTATAACACACTGGTAAACTGAAAAGATGATCTGCTTAATACAAATTTAAATATTCAATAAAGAAATTGAAAAATGTACTATTTTTTATTGACCGTTATAGTTACTCTTTTGAGTTTGAAATTTTCAATCCAATTTTTTTATAAATTACGGTTAAAAAACACACGTTAAATAAGGGATTATCGTACTCGTATTTTATCCAAAATGCGACACTCTGGCCTCATATATTACCTATTATATCTTACACTATAAGGAAACAATTTTATCGAAGCCATAAATTCTGCTTCGTTCTCCCATAAATCTGAAAATGAATAATTACGAACCCCATGAGGTTCGTAAACGAAATTCGAAAATTTATCGATCGTACTAAATTAATTTTATTAAGTAATTCGATTTTTATTATACAGCGCTTACCATTTTAACGCAATGATATATTGGGATGTGATTTATTATTTTAGAGCTTATACTCAAACAAATTGTTTTTACGAATGCCAATCGAACTATACGTTTAAGAGTTGTTTCTGTGTGCCATATTATCTACCAAGTAAGTACCACTGCTTTATTTTTTTCGTGTTTGCCCTATAAGGACCATGAATGTAATATTTTTATTTATTTCGACGTTCAAATGAGAATATTTTCTAGATGATATAGGAATAATATTTTTTGAGGACCCTAAATATTAAAAAAATGTTCTTTTAAAATTTCTTAATATTCACATTTAGTGAATTTTGAACAGGGATGTAAGTGTGCCTCACCAATGCACTTTTTGCCTATAATGTTAGGTAGAGATGTTCTGCAACAACACATACAGGGTGGCATCTCTCATAAGACGTGGAGGCTCCAAGGAGAACGACAGTTTGTATTAAAATGAAATTTTGTGAGCATATGTAGGTTAATTCGGAGCACTTTTTAAAAGCATAGAGAGTTCTACAGGGTGTCCTCAAAAAAAGTTACATATCAAAGTTGTGTTTTTTGTAATGGAACACCCTATATATTAATTAATTTTCGGATTCTGGAAGAAAAATAAAGGTGAGTTTTATAAGAGAAGTATATGACTAAAATGTAAGGTTTTTGACATATTTAACATTTTCTAGAAATACAGAACAATTTTTAAATTATAATAAAAGCTACCTAAATTGGAATTTACCCGGTATAGCCTAATGTATAGTTAAATTAACTATTGTACTTTAATCAAATTAAAACTTGATTCAAAAAGTTATACAGGGTGAGACAAAATTAATATTGAACATTGGTTACCTTTAAAAGCATGTTACTCTTTTATTTTAAATGGAACACCCAGTATATTCCGATATTCAATGGAGAATTTATGTCTCTTCAAAATACTATTAAGGTTTATCTTTAGTGGTTTTCTACAAACGATGTCTACTACGGTCTAAGTAATATATAAGGTGTTCCATTAGAAAAAACACAACTTTGATGTGTAACTTTTTTTAGGTACACCCTGTATAATTCTATGTATTTTTATAAAATGCTTTCAGTTACATATGCTGCCAAAATTTCATTTCGATATAAACTACCGTTCTCCTTGGACCTTCCGTATGAGTGGTGAGAGGCGCCACCCTGTATACGTATATCTAATGTATCTCTTTTGAAAATTTTATAGTCGAAATACTAAAAATATTAGGGAATATAAAACTTTATTTTATTTATTATTAATTTTTAATATTTTTATATATTTTTTCCCAAACGTTGCTGAGGAAATATATGTATGATATATTTTAGAAAACACGCACGTCAACGTTTGTAATAAAGCAGATGATGTTTGCACTAATATGGCCAAAAGAGAAGTAGAGGATTTAAAAAATGGAAGGCAAGTAAATAATATGTTGTTTGTATTATTTATTGTTAGATTAATATTAACATACCAAAATATCTATTTAATACCATACCTAGTGAAACTCATGAAATAAAACTATGATATACCTAACATCATCATCATCATTTTCAGCTTATTCAACCATTTCCAATTATGGTGTGGCCTCTCTCACATATTTAGATAATCTTTGTAGTTGGGCCCATTGTTGTTTATTGTTGGCTATTGCCAGTTGTCCTGCCCATGACATCTATTATCTGGTCCATCATGACATCTATTATCTGGGTCTTTTGTCGTATCCACTCTATTCTTTTACGGTCTTCCTAGGTTATTTCAAGCATATTTTCCATTGAGCGTTGAGCGACCTGCAGTTTCCTTATAATGTCTGTTTTGTGTCCAGATTTCGCACGGATAGGTCATGACTGGTAGTACCCATTGGTGGAATGTTTTCTTGTTTAGATATAGATAGAGACGATAAATATATAAATAGATATATTTAAAGGACAATATTTTTTGTATTTTCTAGTTTTTTAGATGGTGAATGTGATTGTAAACCAGGTTGCTTCGAGTTGAATTACGAGAACACACACGGGGGTGCCCCAATCTGGTCAAAAATGTTACACAAAAACAATATAACAGCTAAACGTACACCAAGGTATTTCATAGATTATCTAAAATTTAACTAGTACATATCATGATTACAATATTTACCAATCAGTGTTTCTTATGTTCATACCTTAATAGAGAAATAACAAAATAAATGTGAACATTAGGTATATACCAGATTTCATACCGTACGACAAAAAAAAGCGTCAAACTACCTTAAAAATTAAGTTTAATGTCATTTGATGTTTTAAATTTTATGGTGAATTTATTCGATTGTCATTTCTAAGGTAACTTGACGCTTTTTTTCGATTATACGATACATATATCAACAATTAAATATTTTTTAGTCTCGCCATTGTCCATTTTTATTTCAACGAGGAATCATATCCCAGACGAGTTAAGAGCTATTTATATGGATTTTCAGAAATTTTATGTAAGAATATTCGTTATTTTAATATAAATATTAACGTGTATTACGAATCTAAAAAAAGCATTAACTAATTAAAATAAACTAATAATAAATATATTTTTAAAACTAGGAATCCTTTATTATAACTCGTCAAATATAAGATATCCAGTGGCGTAATCGAATCCAGATCTGTCTCCATTTTCTCTACTAAAATTTTCAAAACAAAAATGACCAAATATCATCCTATGTTTGACGAGATATACATACTTGGCTTAAAGAGTAACTGGTTTCTATTAATACCCAAAGTTCCACAAAAGTGGTAACCATGTGGAAACTGTCAGGTTCATAACTAAACTTTGACAGTTAATACATGCAGCAACAGGCTGGATGTAATTGACGATCGCCAATGAAAACAAAAGGGTGTACCATTTTTTAACCTTTATCATATTTAACTTGAAACTTGATTAACTTCCAGTGCAATGCTTTAAGCACAGAATATACCGGGTGCGTCTCAAAAGTGGCTCACCCCTATAACTATCTTATTTTTTCAGATAAAAAAAACGAAAAAAGTTATAGGGGTGCGCCACTTTTGAGACGCACCCGGTATATTAGTATATATTCTGTGCTTTAAGGCTGGATGAAATTTGGGTCGTCAATACTTCTAGCTCTGATCATTCATTACATTTTTTTACTACGTTCTTTAACACCTTGTAATTAATTTAAATATTTTTTTTTGTAGAAATATTTATGATTAAATTTTAATTTACTCTTGCAGCAAATTTCGGAGGAATACTAAGTCTATGCTTAGGCATCAGCTTCCTCAGCGTCATAGAAATGGTCTACCACTTATCTTTGAGATTATATTGTGTCTATCGCAATGATTCTTAAATTTAATTTCAATTTTTAAGTATCTTTCTTAATATATTAAATATCTGCATTGTGTACAACTGTAATTATAAAATAAAACATTATAATATTCAAGGCAATTTGAATTATTTAATATTTAACATAAGGGAACTACTATACAGGGTGTCCCAAATTCGTAATATGATCACCCACGAATTCTAGATACATCTGGGATAAATCTAAAAATAATGAAAGTATTTTAAAACTGATAAATTTAAAATGATTTTTATTAGTGATTTGTGTTTGAAAATCGAGAATATATACTACAGCTTTATGGAAAGTCTGTATCAGCTGTAAATCTGAGAAACTCAAAAAATTTGAACAAACGCTTAAAAATAAACATCAAAATATCTGTTCCTTCCTATTAAGTAGAAAGTCACCAGATTAGGAATACATGGGAGACAAAAATGGTCAGTAGCTCTTTATTTATACTTAATATACAAAATTTTCTATAAAAAAACATTTAACGTCAAAAAGGAATATAAAAAATTGCACGTCTTAACATTGTAAGTTAAATAAATGATTTTTTTTTAATAATCCTATTCCTTCTTCTTCTATGCCTATTTACTTGATAACAAAAACCTCCTAGAACAAAATAAAATACTATCACACCACTATACACCAAAACACTACTTTTAGCATCACCAGCAGATGATTAAAACTCAAACAGCTCAAACTCACCTCCAGTATTAAAGTGTTTGGTATATAACTCTACTAAAAACTTTCCTATGCCCATTAAAATAAATACTTCTTTAACTGACATGTACTTTTATGCAATTTTTCCTCTTATGCAAACATCTACCTATTTCTTCTTGAATTACAGTATTTGACAATGTTATCGCTGCAATAAAAAATACTGAAACGACAATTAAATACCTTATCAAGATAATTTATATAACTGCACACAAAATGCACATTTACTACGCATCGGTTTAATTTTTTTAGTTATTAAAAAAAATAATTTCTTTGTTAAATAAAACAACTCATGCATTTTTACTTACATTTACATACAAAATGGTCTACGAGACTTCTAGTACCCTTATAGACTAAAAGTATATGATATACTTATTTTCAGTTACAAATCGTATCGATTGTAATTCTGATTAGCTCTTATTATCTGCTAACGATCATTTAATATCCGGTTTGGAATATAATTATTCAGACTGACAATGAAATTAAAGAAAATTTATTATGTGTTACAAGTAATTTCTAATAATTATACTTCTAATTTTCAGGTCATACTCTCAAAGAAATTGTTTATTGGAATGCCAATCAAATTACACTCTAGACCAGTGTGCTTGCGTACCCTATTATTTACCAAGTAATTTAGTTAAATATGAAATTCATTAAGAGTCCGATTTTAAAAGTGGTTTCAAATTGTTCAAATTATTCTATATACACCGGGTGTTTCTCAAAAGTGGCCCACCCCTCTAACTTTTTCATTTTTCAGAGAAAAAATTAGCGCCGGGAGGCACGTATAGCCGCCCATACTAAAATATGTTAATAAAAAGTTGCTAGGCAGTTCTTTCAGTTTCGATTATCTCAAAAACTGCGACTTTGACTGATTTTTATGTTATTACAAATTTTGTTGCAAATATTATGCCTAATCTTAAATTGAAAACCGCGTTTCGCTAGGTACTGTAATTTTGGAGTTACGATTTTTTTTAATTTTTTACAAAAATTTACCTGTTTGGTATGGTCGGCTAAAAAACGAGATTTGGTACGTTAGTATATGACATAGATCAGGATTGATTGACGTATTCAATTATTATCGGTCACTTCCTGCTTCACCGGAAATAACTTTTAATTTTTAAATGGCACCCTCGGAATTTTTTACTTTATTCGATAGAAAATGACACTCTGGACCGAATGACATGTCATATGTCAAATTCCGGCGAAACAGGATATAACAAAAAACAACTAAATACGTCAATCAATCTTAATTTATGTCATATACTAACATACCAAATCTCGTTTTTTTATTTGAAAAAATACAAAAGTTATAGGGGTGAGCCACTTTTGAGACGCACCCGGTATACTCATTTTGGTGTAAACAAAAGTTTGCTGAATTAGATTTTTTGACATATGGTAGAATTATACCCATTTTTACAATAATGAATAATCCTTTTTAAAACATTAATTTTTATAGATTTTTGTTTTTACTCATTAATTTTTCAGAGGATAAATCAATAAAATATTGTGGAAAGACAGAGAAATCCTGCGTATCATCCGCAAAAGAAGATATGGAAACTGAAGCTGGAAATGGGTAATAAAAATATTAATATCAGGTTTACGTATTGCTAAGAGCTATTTATATGGATTTTCAGAAATTTTATGTAAGAATATTCGTTATTTTAATATAAATATTAACGTGTATTACGAATCTAAAAAAAGCATTAACTAATTAAAATAAACTAATAATAAATATATTTTTAAAACTAGGAATCCTTTATTATAACTCGTCAAATATAAGATATCCAGTGGCGTAGTCGAATCCAGATCTGTCTCCATTTTCTCCACTAAAATTTTCAAAACAAAAATGACCAAATATCATCCTATGTTTGACGAGATATACATACTTGGCTTAAAGAGTAACTGGTTTCTATTAATAGCCAAAGTTCCACAAAAGTGGTAACCATGTGGCAACTGTCAGGTTCTTAACTAAACTTTGACAGTTAATACATGCAGCAACAGGCTGGATGTAATTGACGATCGCCAATGAAAACAAAAGGGTGTACCATTTTTTAACCTTTATCATATTTAACTTGAAACTTGATTAACTTCCAGTGCAATGCTTTAAGCACAGAATATACCGGGTGTGTCTCAAAAGTGGCTCACCCCTATAACTTTCTTATTTTTTCAGATAAAAAAAACGAAAAAAGTTATAGGGGTGCGCCACTTTTGAGACGCACCCGCTATATTAGTATATATTCTGTGCTTTAAGGCTGGATGAAATTTGAGTCGTCAATACTTCTAGCTCTGATCATTCATTACATTTTTTTACTACGTTCTTTAACACCTTGTAATTAATTTAAATATTTTGTTTTGTAGAAATATTTATGATTAAATTATTAATTTACTCTTGCAGCAAATTTCGGAGGAATACTAAGTCTATGCTTAGGCATCAGCTTCCTCAGCGTCATAGAAATGGTCTACCACTTATCTTTGAGATTATATTGTGTCTATCGCAATGATTCCTAAATTTAATTTCAATTTTTAAGTATCTTTCTTAATATATTAAATATCTACATTGTGTACAACTGTAATTATAAAATAAAACATTATAATATTCAAGGCATTTTGAATTATTTAAGATTTAACATAAGGGAACTACTATACAGGGTGTCCCAAATTCGTAATATGATCACCCACGAATTCTGGATACATCTGGGATAAATCTAAAAATAATGAAAGTATTTTAAAACTGATAAATTTAAAATGATTTTTTATTAGTGATTTGTATTTGAAAATCGAGAATATATACTACAGCTTTATGGAAAGTCTGTATCAGCTGTAAATCTGAGAAACTCAAAAAATTTGAACAAACGCTTAAAAATAAACATCAAAATATCTGTTCCTTCCTATTAAGTAGAAAGTCACCAGATTAGGAATACATGGGAGACAAAAATGGTCAGTAGCTCTTTATTTATACTTAATATACAAAATTTTCTATAAAAAACATTTAACGTCAAAAGGAATATAAAAATTGCACGTCTTAACATTGTAAGTTAAATAAATGATTTTTTTTAATAATCCTATTCCTTCTTCTTCTATGCCTATTTACTTGATAACAAAACCTCCTAGAACAAAAAATAAAATACTATCACACCACTATACACCAAAACACTACTTTTAGCATCACCAGCAGATGATTAAAACTCAAACAGCTCAAACTCACCTCCAGTATTAAAGTGTTTGGTATATAACTCTACTAAAAACTTTCCTATGCCCATTAAAATAAATACTTCTTTAACTGACATGTACTTTTATGCAATTTTTCCTCTTATGCAAACATCTACCTATTTCTTCTTGAATTACAGTATTTGACAATATTATCGCTGCAATAAAAAATACTGAAACGACAATTAAATACCTTATCAAGATAATTTATATAACTGCACACAAAATGCACATTTACTACGCATCGGCTTAATTTTTTTAGTTATGAAAAAAATAATTTCTTTGTTAAATAAAACAACTCATGCATTTTTACTTAATACAAAATGGTCTACGAGACTTCTAGTACCCTTATAGACAAGTATATGATATACTTATTTTCAGTTACAAATCGTATCGATTGTAATTCTGATTAGCTCTTATTATCTGCTAACGATCATTTAATATCCGGTCTGGAATATAATTATTCAGACTAACAATGAAATTAAAGAAAATTTATTATGTGTTACAAGTAATTTCTAATAATTATACTTCTAATTTTCAGGTCATACTCTCAAAGAAATTGTTTATTGGAATGCCAATCAAATTACACTCTAGACCAGTGTGCTTGCGTACCCTATTATTTACCAAGTAATTTAGTAAATATGAAATTCATTAAGAGTCCGATTTTAAAAGTGGTTTCAAATTGTTCAAATTATTCTATATACACCGGGTGTTTCTCAAAAGTGGCTCACCCCTCTAACTTTTTCATTTTTCAGAGAAAAAATTAGCGCCGGGAGGCACGTATAGCCGCCCATGCTAAAATATGTTAATAAAAAGTTGCTAGGCAGTTCTTTCAGTTTCAATTATCTCAAAAACTGCGACTTTGACTGATTTTTATGTTATTACAAATTTTGTTGCAAATATTATGCCTAATCTCAAATTGAAAACCGCGTTTCGCTAGGTACTGTAATTTTGGAGTTACGATTTTTTAAAATTTTTAACCCCCTCCCACACCCCCTTACCAACTCCCCACCCCCACCAAAAACTAATGGCCAGATTCTCGGGTGCCACAGTATTTTTGCGCCAAATTTGGTTCAAATCGGTTTAGCGGTTTTTGAGTTATCGTGTTACAGACGGACAGACAGACACCATGAAAATATTTTGTATTTAGGTCATTTATGACCCAAATGACTCATTTTGACTGAAATGATTTTTTTTGCCGATCTTAATAGCCTACCATACCTGTTTGGTATGGTCGGCTAAAAAACGAGATTTGGTACGTTAGTATATGACATAGATCAGGATTGATTGACGTATTCAATTATTATCGGGTCACTTCCTGCTTCACCGGAAATAACTTTTAATTTTTAAATGGCACCCTCGGTATTTTTTACTTTATTCGATAGAAAATGACACTCTGGACCGAATGACATGTCATATGTCAAATTTTGACATTCTTTTGACAAATGTCATTCTATTCAGAGTGTCATTTTCTATTGAATGCTTTGAATATCGAATGAAGTAAAAACATACCGAGAGTGCCATTTAAAAATCAAAAGTTGTAGTCGTTTCCGGCGAAACAGGATGTGACCAAAAACAACTAAATACGCCAATCAATCTTAATTTATGTCATATACTAACATACCAAATCTCGTTTTTTTATTTGAAAAAATATAAAAGTTATAGGGGTGAGCCACTTTTGAGACGCACCCGGTATACTCATTTTGGTGTAAACAAAAGTTTGCTGAATTAGATTTTTTGACATATGGTAGAATTATACCCATTTTTACAATAATGAATAATCCTTTTTAAAACATTAATTTTTATAGATTTTTGTTTTTACTCATTAATTTTTCAGAGGATAAATCAATAAAATATTGTGGAAAGACAGAGAAATCCTGCGTATCATCCGCAAAAGAAGATATGGAAACTGAAGCTGGAAATGGGTAATAAAAATATTAATATCAGGTTATAGGTAGTGATGGGCTTATGCAGGGCGAGTCTTAAATATAAGTACACATATTTTGAAACGTGGTATATTTTAATCTCACAAACACGTCAATGAACTGTTTTTCGCGAAAAAAATGAATTTTGAAAATATACAATTTTTTGAAATATTTTTATAAACGTATCTCGATAATAATGGCAACATAAGTAAGTAGATCAAATTTACAAGAAATAAAATCCAGAAAAGACCCAGTGGTTCTCAAAATTTAAGCAAAAAATATATATTTTTTTTTATTTTCAAAGGTTAACTCGCTTATTCTGGACCTTTTTTTTTAATTTGAAAAACGGTAAGGAGAAAAAAATATGTTTCTTTTTATCGAGATCTACCAGCCCTAAAAATATTTGCACTTATTTAAGACTCGCCCTGTATAGACTGGGATGCAGAAAACGTATTCTAAGAATAATAATTGTTAAGGAAGAACTAAAACTTTTATACCATGTAGGTATGGTGTATGGTAAATGTTCAAAATCCTTTTTTTTTGGATGTACGGTATTGTCTATCTACCTGGTCATTTCTGAAAAAAAAACAGAGTATTTCGCCTCCAAGAAAGAATTCTAAAAAATAGTTATTTTTTGTAGGATATACCACTACTTAGAATCCAAATGGAAACTATAGTTTCTTGGTAATCTTAGATCAAATATAATATTTTTTTTGTATATGTATTCTTATACAGGGTGAGTCTTAAAAAAGTGCAAATATTTCAGGGGTATTATATGTCGACCCCAGAAACACAATTATGAGTTTTTTTCGTGAAAAAATTTTGGACAAGAAAACAAATTACAAGAAAGAAAATCCAGAAAAGATCCCGTGGTTCTCAAAATTTATGCAAAACATTTTTTTTGGAAGTTTTCAAAGTAAAATAACTCCGTTACTTTTTTATTTGAAAAATGGTAAAGAGAAAATATGTTTCTTTTATCGAGATCTACCAGCCTTGAAAATATTTACACATATTTAAGACTCACCCTGTATAAACAAAGATTGGGGGGAAATAACTAACTTAGAATAGTAACTGAAATTAAAAATTCGTTGTAGGTCCAGTTGTCACTGTTTGCCTTCATGTTTTTCAGTCAAATTTTTCAATATGATATCCTTCGCTCAACTTGCTCCTCAAGTTAGTAGCGACTTACCCCATTTATCTCCCAAGTATATAGTGTAAGTTTTTAGATATTTTACTAGGAAATTCTTCTTAAAATAATTCCATTTTTTCATTCCATCATAATTTCACAGGAACAATATGGCACTTCTTCAATTTTACTTCTACGCTAGTAAATTTACGAAAGAATTAAAAAGCGAACTATATGGTTTTACAGAAATATTGTGTAAGTTGATAATATAGCACAATGTCGTTAAGTTGTTAATCTGTTTAATTGTCTTTATTTCCAGCAAACATTGGTGGATTACTAAGCTTATGCTTAGGCTTCAGCTTTCTGAGTTTTATAGAACTGATCTATTTTCTAACTCTTAGGGTTTCCTGCGATCTGGCAAAGCGACATACATCAATTAAACAAAAAATGAAAAATTTCAGAAATAGATCACCACCATATCCGTTTTTAAGATAAATAATTAGTCCAAGTTTTTTAAAACTACATAGCATTTATTAAAATGTAAATAAATTTTGATAAATTTAAATAAATACAGTAGATGTACTATAATCTGAGTTAATTATTTCATGTTTAATTGGAACTTCTGTAACAAGCGAAAAATGAAGATTATACACGGTGTCTCAATATTCCGTGGACTTCGAGCTACTAGCTACTACGTATTTTTATCAAAATAAGTTCATTGCACACAATTTTCCTCTATACCATAAAGTAACTAAAATATTTTAATTAATAATTTTATTATTTTATATTTTCTCTATGCTAAAGTGCTTTGTTTGTCTGTCAGAGGACATCGGGACTTTTAAAAAAATAAACACATTTTTAAGATACTTTAAGAACCGATAATTTGAATGAGATTTGGAAATGGATTTGGAATGCCTATGATTTGCGCTTTATCATTTGTTTTTTTTTGCCGCGCTTGAGTAATTCCAGACAAAGAGTAAATCCCAAAATCCCCGCTTGGGCCAAGGATTTAGGCTCCCTTACTATGCTATGGCCCTTCTATGGGTCACACCATAGATAGGAGGTGAATGGATCAATGAGTCTATAGTCTATAATCTGTGGTTTGCTAAATTTTTAAATATCCACAGAAGAAAAACTTGACCTTTTTTCTGTTAATCTGTGGTAACAGGGTATAACCTAAAAATAAATTTATTGTTTGATTTTTAAGAAAAGAACATGGAAAATATGGAAATTACATTTTTTAATTAATATAGTGGCTGCATTATATATATAAAAGAATATTCTTTTGTGACTTAGTTATTTCACTAATAGACTACGTACTGGGACTATAAATTCGCCATGTCTGAAGCCGGTGTTTGCAAAATTAAAACTCAGTATGTTGAGATTTTTTTGAATTTTAATTATATTTAATTACCCATTTATTAATCCTTCTTAGATACATTTTACCAGAACAAACAAGAACGGCAAATTTGAATTTAGTGTCGGAAGAAGATAAAGAAAAGCTGAAGAATGATGAGACTTCACTAAATATAGAACCAGAAGCTAAAAAACCACGTTTATCGAAAAGTGAAAAAAAGAAACTCAAAGGTCAAAATAAAAGCAGAGGTCCGACATTCGTATGTGACAGAAATAAGGAACTATGCGATTATTTTATACATGTTGCTGATGAAGAAGAAATTCCTGCATGCGAGAGAAATAACTGTCAAAATATACACAGTATTCCAGAATACTTAAGCATTAAACCCCCAGATATACAAGAAACTTGCTATTGTTTTGAGACTTTTGGTAAATGCCCTCGTGGTTTAGCGTGCAGGTTTGGCAAAATTCACATATCAGAAAATGGTAGAAATATTATTAATAAAGAGAAATATGAAATATATAGCAAGTCAGAACCTTATACTAAAAATCAGCTTAGTAAGGATGTTCAGTGGTCTCTTAGAAAGAAGACATATAATTTTGACTTGAGTGAAAAACTAATAAACTACAATGATTCGCTTAAAGAACAGGTAAATAATATTTCTTATATCTATATAAAATCTTTTATTCTGAACATACTTTGAAGAATCAAAACAAACAGTCAAAACCAAAGAAAACTTATGGATCAGTTACAGATGAAGATATTATCACACTAAAAAATAAGGAAAAGAAAAAGATAAACTGGAAAGATAAATTGTACTTGAGTCCTCTCACAACTGTTGGGAATTTACCATTTAGAAGAATATGTAAGGAATTTGGTGCAGATATAACTTGCGGTGAAATGGCTATGTGTTCTTCCCTTTTACAGGGTGCTCCACAAGGTAAATGTTTTAATTAGGTAGATAGCAACCAGAAATAATACAATAATTATAGAGTGGGCTTTGGTCAAACGTCACCAATCTGAAGATATCTTTGGTGTTCAACTATGTGCCAATAATCCACATCTACTCACAAAATGTGGACAGTTATTACAGCAAGAGTGCGAAATTGATTTTGTTGATTTGAATTTGGGATGCCCAATCGACCTAGTTTTTAAGCAAGGAGGAGGTACTGCTATACTAATATGATGACTTGGTAAATATTATGTAGTGTTTGTTTTTAGGTAGTGGTTTGTTGAATCGGAATAAAATTTTAGAATCATGTGTTAAGAATTTAAGCGATGTTCTAACAATACCTATGACTGTAAAAACAAGAACTGGAGTGTATAAAGATAACAGTGTTGCACATATTTTGGTAAAACATTAAATTAAAATAAATTTTGAATCTTTTATAATGTTATTTCACAGGCCCCTAAGTTTAGAGATTGGGGAGTTTCACTAATAACAATTCATGGAAGATCTAGGGAACAAAGGTATACAAGATCAGCAAATTGGGCATATATTCAACAAGTTGCACATTCAGCCTCGCCACTGCCTGTATTCGGAAATGGTGATGTTTTAAGTTTTGAAGATTATAAACAATTTAGAGAAGAAGCTCGAGATGTTCAAGGTATCATGATAGGCAGAGGAGCCCTAATAAAGCCTTGGATATTCAATGAAATAAAAGAACAGAAAATATGGGATATTTCCAGTAAAGAAAGATTTGATATTATTAAAAAATATGTCAATTATGGATTAGATCATTGGGGTTCAGATAGTAGAGGTGTTGAAAATACAAGAAGATTTCTATTGGAATGGTTATCATTTTTGTATCGTTATATTCCAGTAGGTTTACTTGAATGCCCCCCTCAGAAAATAAATGAGAGACCACCATTTTATGTTGGGAGAGATGATTTGGAAACATTAATGGCCTCACCATCTGCATCTGATTGGATTAAGATCAGCGAGATGTTGTTAGGTACTGTCCCAAAAGGGTTTCATTTCTTACCTAAACATAAAGCTAATTCATATAGTTAAATTAGTTTTTATAATCTATTATTCTGTTTGATACTATAAATAAATAACAATTATTACTAAAAAGTCTAGTATTATTTATCTTTGATGCCTTTTTGGTGCTGTAGATAATCAAAAAGGTCGTTTAAACCGCTAAATTCCGTCCTGCCTTGAGGCGGATCATTTTTAGGAATCTTTGGTAGTATACTTCCCATTTTTAGCCGAAACTCCTCCAACTAAAAATAAATATTAAAATTACTGATTAAATAATTTCATCAATATAAATTAGGCACATTATGAGCTCCTGATATACACCAGATTCCATAGAACAATAATCCACAACCAGTCACTGCATATAACGTTCCCCGACCTAGAGCTCGGAGCGCTAAATGTGCCCCAGTTTCAGGTACTTCCCGTGTAGGAATAAAACCTTTGTCAAAATATACAGGGTCTTGTTTTTTTGCAGCAACTATTGTTGCTCCAAATCCAACTATTGCAGATATTCCAGATACTGCGGCTAGAAAAAATCCAGCTGTAATTGAAAAGTAAAAGTTATTTTTTAAATTATACACGAGCTTAAACAACATCACCTTTCATTTTAAATTCTTTTGAATATCGGGGTTGTTGAACCAAATCGATATCATTCTTATTACTCATATTAAATAATAGTTATATATTGGTATTTAACTTTACATTCCTACATTATATTTTTCAAAATATTTTTTTAGGTTAATAATAATACACATGAAATTAGACGCAAAAAAGAGATCTTCTTATTGCAATATATGGATACTGCTGCTACAGTTCATATATCATATAAAACATATATAATGCAATAACCACAGACGCCAAAATTTGTGGAACACGTTTGATCTAAAACTTTGAAAGTATCATATATAAAAAAGATAAAAGATCTAAAATTTGTTTTTCTTTTAGGTTAGGTTTTGTAATCTACTGGATTTCTTTGAGTAGTGTTATTTTTTAAAAGTGTACGTTTTAAATGTTTGTGAGCGATTCATAATTGTTTTATATCAAGAAATGGGGTCTTTAGTTCTTGAAGAGGCCTTTTCCACATGGAAAATGTTCGATGAATGTGTTGGGGAGCTTGAGAAAACCGGACTCTATTGAAAGAAATACAATACATAAATTAGCAAATATGGTAATGTCTAAAGAGTTTTCGAAAACCTTTTTATACTATAAAGAACCAGGAATTTCCATTGGAGACTATGAAAGCATTGTAGATAAATATCATACTTTTACTGCATGGCTTTTACAGCAGTTTTTCTATTTTTTAAGCTGTGATAATGATGAAATAATAGTTGATGCCCAATTAAGTGTTTTGGATAAATTGTCAAAGACACACTTACATATTTACGCTAACTTTACTAAAGAATTCTGTAAAGCATTTGATATTTTGTGTGATTATCAAAAAAAACCTCAAAATAAAATAGAAATAAGAATTTTCAACATGAAGAAAAATGCAGACCTAGAACAAAAGCTAAATCTCAAAGAAGCCTTTATAGAAGTTACCAATGAAGTGGTTTGTTTGAATTTAATTGAGAAGCTGTTGAAAATTTTAAAGTTCATATTGTTGGAAAGCATCAAGTTTTACAGTGTAGACCATTATATTCACAATACGCTTGACAACCTTTTGTACCTTTTAGGTAACAGAAAATGTGAACTTTTTATATTTGAGATCTTTATTGAATTAATCACTTTAAATTGCCATTGTAATGATTGGGATCCAGAATTAGAAAAAAAAGTATTGGCCTTTATTTCATTTTTTGAGCAAATGGTTTTTGACTATTTTTTTGACAAAAATCCAGCAAACATTGATAAAGGTTTATTTGAAAATATTCTTGAGAAATATATCACCTGTTGTAAGGATATGAGTTGTCACATAGCAACCAAAAAGACCACAATACCAAACTGGATTATTAAACATTCCGTAGAGTGTGCAGGTTGTATCATACATCCTTCCGATTATTTACTTAAAATATCCTTTGAAGAAGTTGATAATGTAATGCAATTTATATTATGTGGGAATATTGATGAGAAGACCTTAGCGAAAGAATTATTAAGTGAAAATAACAAATATGTATTAAAACAGTTTAAACGACAAGTGCTAGAAGAAATTTTTGAGCACTTGCAAAACAAAGTCCTGATTAATGAAATTGTTTTTTGTAATATATCTAAAACATGGTCAGAGTTTCATACAACCTTTAGTAGTTGTTTGGATAATTTAAGATGTACAGAAGACTATTGTGAAATGCAAAAGAAATATATTCAATTAGATGGAATTATTGAAACGCTAATGGATGTTATTTTTAGAGTCAAGAAACAATATGCAAATAAAAATAGTATTCCGGTATTTTTTAATGAAGATTCTACACACATTGTATTGAAAATTATATCTAATACAGCAAAACATTACCAAAATTGCAGAAAGTTCCTAGATCCTTTGTTATTCTTAAGAAACTTGATTAAGTTACTTGTAATGTCACAAAATCAAAATATTGATATTATTTATCATCTTGTTGCAAGCCCGTTTCTAGTACCGTTGTGTTATAAGTCGGAAACATATTTTCCATATAACTTTGAGGGAAATTTTAGCCATAATACTGTAAATTACAAATCAGATCTAAAAACACTTTATTCGTGCCTTAGAAATGATACAAATTTAAAAAAACATGAGTTATTTGAAATTTTAAATCAGTTTTTCAAATGGATTTCAAGTGGATTATTACAGCTTTTGAACCAAGCTCACATGAAACAAATTGAGCTATTGCATCTGAAAGTTTTGAAAAACATTCTCAATTCAGAAGACGCCCCTTTGCTATATCAGGTATAATTGAAAGTTTAAAAAGAACTAAGATCAACTCAAATGGACCCCTCATTTCCCACTTGGTCATGGAATTCAGGTTCATATATTAATCTACTACACAAAGAGTTTCATTAATTGTGGTAATTTTATTATACCGAGATACTTACATATATTATAGAATATTTTTACTACTTTCTTACATACTTTTTTGTGCATACTTTAGAGTTATTATATTATTAGTGCACATAGAACTATAGGCTTGGTTCTGGCCTTATTCTCCGCTGGTGCTGCCACCATCGGAGAATACTGTAAACAGCGGACTAATGTGCACTTTGTTTACCCACTTGTTTCGTCAAACCGCTTGAATCCATTTTAGCTTTTGATCAAATCGGTGTGAGACACCGTGAAGCTATAAAAAGTTATTTCGGGAGAGTTGAATATCCGGGAAAGTTGAGTTATTGGATGTTATTGCATCCAACAACCAGGTAGTTACGTCTTCCTTTACGCGTTTACATTTTTTCGGCGGTTTTAACATTTGAAATTGCCACAACATAACGCGACGCCCAGTTCGGGTTCTTTTTCACTTTATTTTTACTGATCGAAACAGCGTTACATCACAAAAACTCTGCACCTGATTTATAGTTAAACACAGTGTTTTATAGTTAAAATAACTGCACTAATAAAAACTAAAATACTTAAATATTATGACAAACCCATGATTTTAATATTATTTCAAAGCGATCGACATAAACGGCAAAGAGACTGCGTGAAATACTTTAGTCGGGCACTTAATTTCTGTCGTATCGAGCGCTGAGGTCGAAATTTTTAAAATCAACTGAAATGCACCAAGTCTATAATAAAACACTTACACAATTCTAATTACTGTAAACTTTCTTTTTAACATTTCATAATTTCCTATAAAAATATAAATATTAAACATAATAAACCATAAGTCCTGAAAGTGTCACCACACATGTTTTTTAGTCTATTTTTTTTAAAGAATCCTCACAATTTTTATTGTTAAACAATATTGAATTATTCCATGATTAAGGAGTAAATAAGGCTTGTACTTTTAGGTCAACCTCATTAAGCTTATTAATATTTTTTAGGTGATAGATAATATACCACTCTTATTGAATATTTTTTCGAATACTGAAGAATTATTATCAAACATTTTGTTACTGCTAATGTCTTCCTCGAAGGAACAGATTCAGCACAAAATTCTGGAAGTAATCCCAAAGATTTTATGCATATGTTCAGGAAGTATCTTCAAATGTATCAAACAAGGGCAAATAGAAATAATCTGTGAAAAATGCGATTTAAAATCTGACACGCCAGAAAATATTAGCGTTGAGGAATATTCAAAAGATGAACCAAATATTGTAGTTATACAGGTTTCCAGTAACAAGGTAGACTTTTCTTCTATAAAATCTCACATATTGAAGCTTGTACTACGTTATCTTTTGGGTGACGATTTTGAGCTCCAATTACATGCCTTAAATTTGTTACCTTACTTATCAAAACATATTGTAACATTTTATAATCCTGATACAACAAGGATTTGGATTGAGCTTGCTGGTGATCCTAAACAGGAGATTCGAAAAAAACTCGCCGAAATTATATGTAACACTATAAAAAATGGTCAGGTAAGATATGATTTTTTTTCTTTCTACTAATCTATAGTTGTATATACCGTATAATAAAAAAAGGGCTGACTTGGAAATGACGACATAATTTTACATATAAAATGACAGCAATCTTAATTTTATAGCCATCGTTGACGCCATTTTTTTTTCGATCATATTGTATAGGATAGTACCATATGATCGAAAAATAAATGGCGTCAAATGACCGTCGACGATAATTTTGGCGAGGTCAATCTCTAGACATCATTTACTAAGGATTGACATGAAACTTGTCAAAACCTTGCAATAATAATAAAAAGATTGAAGAAGGATTGAACGTTTCCAGATACACAAATCTATTTTCAAAAAATATTTTTTCTCAAATATTAAACTACAACATTTAAAAATTATTTTTACTCATTATAAAAATAAATTTCAACCTTCTTGAGGACAACTGGCTGTAAGCGCCATTAAAAAATATATGACCTCGTCAAAATTATTATCGATTGTCATTCCCCGCCCGACTTTGACATCGTTTTTTTTTCTTCGATCTTATTATCATTAGTAAACTATAGTACCGTATGATCGAATAAAAACGGCGTCAGCGATGGCTATGAAATGGCAATCAAAGACATTTCCCATATAAATTTACATATAAAATGTCTGCGATCTTCATTTCATAGCAATCGCTGACGCCGTTTTTGTTTTTTCGATCATGATCATACGGTATCTGCTCTATGTATAGTCTGTCCAACGGGAGGATCCCTGACAGTGACAATTGTGCATATCATTTTAAGCTCCGCCCTTTAACTTGCATTTACTTGACGATTGTTGCCAACTTACCGGTTTCCTCGCTAGATTTACCGGTTTTTTTCTCAGGTTAGCGGCATCTCCAATCGCAATAATCTCCCTTTCGGCTATTCTTGGCATTTAAGTCACTTAAATGCTTAAAGTAATATTAGTAGTATTAATTATTATGAACATTTTAAACATAAACTTTTATTATTATAAGATTTTTTGAGGTTGGAGCTAGTGATGAGCAAATGCAATATGACCCTCTTGGTCTGGGTCTTGCAATCTAATAAGCATTTTTGCACTTGTAAGTCTTGCACGTTTTCAACAGATTTTACTAGAGGCAGTGTCTGCGTAAGAAAGTATTTAAATTCATTATATTATATAAATTAATTCTATTCAAGTAGTTTAAAGTCAATGAAACTTTAAAGAAAGAAACAATATTTTGACTATTGCAGCTTTCCAATAAATTAAAACAATAATTTCGTTTAAATAATCTCGCTCATCACTAATTGGACCAATTACACCCCAATAAAACCATAGACCTTAACGCAATTTTCTTTTTAGTTCAATACAACTATTTCCAAAGAAGCGAAGATTAAAGTAATTGAGGTAGTCTGCTCTACCTTATTGAAATTAACAAAGAAATCATTGAAATATTCCGATTACGATCTCCAAAACACTGTATTGCAAACAGTCACGGAACTTGCAGATATTGAAGTTGATTCAATTAAATTAGAATGCATGAAAATCTTTCTCTACTTTATAATGATTCCTACATCAAGTCAGACCTATATAGCTATAAATAAATGCATGAATTTATCAAAGAGGGATTCGTTGGGCAGAATGCAATTATATAGGCACAATATAAAAACCCTTTGTGACGTTATCGCTCACCTGTGTAGTGTCAATCAGCAACTTGTTCAGTCCTCACTTCAAGAGAGCCTCTTTAAAATTTCGGTAGTGTTAGGATATGATGGAGTTAAAGAATATCTAAAAAGAGAGGCAGAGAACTTGCTCCCATTTTTGGTAGCTAAAATATTAAAGAATTCAAATATTCCAAAACTTATTATTGAAATGGCGAGTATTGTCGAAGCTGAGGTTTCTGAACTATTGTCTTTAAATTATGGCAATATATTTCTACATTTATATTTGGGAGATATGGATGAAAAACAATCCAGAGAGTGTTCAATGTTCGTAGAAAAATTGACGGGAGTCACTGGTAGGAAGTTGAGAAAACGAAACTTTAAGGTAAATGAAAAATAAAAAAAAATTGTTTGTAATGTGTGCGCATATTTGAACTGAAACTTCTTACTTCCGTTTGTCTGTCTGTTCCTCTGAGGACTCCATTCGGGTACCTCTATCCACGTGCCGAGTTTAGTTGCAAACGACCCATAATTAAGACAAATCCTGGCGATTTCGTCCATTTAGAGGCATCGGTTCGAAACGTCGAGGGCGTCATTCTGTAGCCTGTCCCCAATTATGTTGAAATCGACCCACATTTTTCTTCAGTATCAAATCTCTTCTTCTTCTTCTTCGGGTTCCATCTCCTAATGGAGGTTGGAAATCATCATGGCAATTCTAAATTTGTTAACGGCTGCTCTGAATAACTGGTTTGAAGTCATTCCAAACCACTCTCTCAAATTCTTGAGCCATGATGTTCTTCTTCTTCCTTGGTTCCTTCTGCCCTTTATCTTTCCTTCTATTATGTTCTGCAGTAGGGCATATTTAGGTCCTCTCATTATGTGTCCAAAGTACTCAAGTTTTCTCTTTTTAAGGGTGTTAATCACCTCTTCGTCCTTCTGAATTCTGCGTCGCAGTTCTACATTTGTAACCTTGTCAGTCCATGCAATCCTCAGCATACGCCAATAACACCATCTTTCGAATGCCTCGAGCTTCTCCATGTCGGCCTTTTAAAGTGTCCAAGCCTCATAGAGTAGAGTTGCAAATATGTAACCAATTAGCATTCTTAATCTAAGCTTTAAGTTGATGTCTCCACTGCAGAGACATTTTTTGAGTTTTACAAAGGATGCTCTTTTATTTCAGCTGATTGATCCAAGGTTTCGGTCAACCAACTGCCTAGATATTTATATTTTTGTACTCTCTCCATAGGTGTATCATCAATTAGAACATTGGCTTGGACATCCCAAATCTCTTCAGTATGTCACAAAGTCCCACCCTGATGAAGTTGTAAACGAAACGTCGTATCCAATTGTGCAGGGTGGGACCGTGTGCACCGTCGCTCACATAGTCTATCCACCAAATTTGATCGCGACCGGTCGACATCAACTTTTGACGTTTTTTACGTCAAAACTAACTGTCACAGTGACACGTATCGTACACGGCCAAGTGGGCTTTGGTCCAATCTGTCGACATACCAGATTTCATTTAAATCGGACGATATTTTGATTTGATTTATTGATGATGGGGTTTCGTAGAGCACAAAACGTTGTCAAAATGCCACGATAAGAGCCGCATCTACCTTCCGAGTTTCATCCCCCTAGCTCTCATAGGCCCGAATTACGACGCTCTAAGATCGTTACCACTTTTCCTCTCGCAGTCTCGTGTGTCATGGCCTTCAGTTGTTACACCCATCGCGCGTAAAGAAGTTTCACTTCAAAAAATGAACGATCTATAAAGAATATATTTTATTTTAGGTTATTCTGAATAAATTACTATTAAACTTCCATGAGAAAAAAAGCAGAGTCCTTAAAATCTTAAGATTACTTCTAAATGAAGATTCTGTAAGCCAATCTACGTCTATCGAAGATTATATTCTACCCTTCTTCTTGGCCTTTCTTTTATATTTTGACTTAGAATTATCATCCGAATATTCAAATAAAGAGAACATTCTCTTAAGTTTAGCTGATTTGCTAACATTTCTTGGACCGAATAGAATAATGCCCTTAAGATTCAAAATTCTGGCAATGCTGCAAACGTCAAACTACATCAAATATCCCGAACTCACCTGTACTGTATGGAACTCGTTTATAAAGAGCTGTGATATTGAATGTCTTGGACCTCACTTAGCCACCATTTTTATATCAATGATGCCGCTTATTGAACAATGCCCATCACAAGTCAATATGTTACTCCAGTACCTAATAGTGGAAAACGAACACGTTCTTAGAAACAATATTTCTGATCTGTTTTTTGTAAACAATTCTTTTCTGAATTCATCTATCACGACTATAGTTAAAAAGTATCTTAGAACTTCTGAAAACTTTTGTTTGAGAGACAAAATAGAGAGGTACTTGAAATATATCAAGCATGATAGTTTGGAAGTTAAGATTCAAAGTCTAAAACAAATTAAAATCAGTTTGGAACGGAATAGGGAAGAACTGGACCAAATGATTCTGGGCTATAATGGAATCGATTCCATTATAGTTGAATTAGTTGATGTCCTTACGATGGGCTGTAGAGAGAAAGATGAAACCTTGAAATTAATGTGTGGAGAAGTTTTTGGAGAGTTAGGAGCTATTGAACCTAGTCATCTGCCCAGGAGGTACATAATTTGAATGTACAGAAAAGGCATAATTTCATATTTTCATAGATAAAAAACAACATTCGGTTTTTTTTCTGGTTACTATGTCTCAAATTGTATTGTATTATCTATGAAAATATAAGAACCTGTTTACCCTGTACCATATAGCGTTTTATCCATTTTATATTTTTACTTTTTATTTCATAGATATGCTAATTGTGAAAACTCATTTACCTTCTTTATGAATGAAGATACATTTATAGAAAGTGCCCTAACTGAACTGATTAAAGCATTTCAAACTGACAAAAATGCTAGAGTAAGTTTGGAATCTCTATTTTCTATACAGGGTGGTCCGAACTCTTTTCCGGAAACTTCGGCAGCATATTCTGCAGATAAAAATAAGTAAAAAAATTCTTATAAATGTATGTCCTAAAATGTTTAGTTTCGGAGATACAGGGTGTAGAAGTTTCATTTTTATTTCAATTTTTTCCAAATAATTTAAGAAGTAACATCAATATTTGTATGAAAATTGGTTTCTAGGAGTTTTTTGAAATTAATTTTGATGTCAATATAACTCCTACTTGTAGAGGGCGCCACCTACATTTTTTTAACTGGTTTGAAGAGCAACAACTTTTCGGCCATACCTGTATAAAACTACTGAGTAAAAAATATACATTTACGACGTTTTTTACGTAAAAAAAGGTGGAATAGACATTATCAATATCAATCATCATTGACATAAATTAAACATGTTGACTAAATAGTTATTAGACTGAAATCATAAATTTGAAATGTTTTTGTGTCAAGAGTTCAACAGAAACTGTTTTATCATCATTTTTTCGCCGAAAAGTTTATGATTAATTTAAAAAAATAAAAATTTCCCAAATTTATTATTTCAGTCGAGTAACTATCTACTCAACGTGTTTATTTTTTGTCAATAATGACATGTATGACTATTTCCATTTTAAATATCTTGAGAACGGTTGCTCGTAGCAATTTTTACCGAGAGACATTTTTCCCGTAAAAAGTCACGGAAATGTATATTTTTTCACTTAGGTACGGACGAAAAGTTAGTACTCTTCAAAACAGTTAAAACACATGTAGGTGGTGCTCCCTATCAAGTTTCTCATGTCAAAAACTCCCAGACCAATTTTCATCCAAATATTGACGTTGCTTCAGAAATTATTTGGAAAAAATCGAAATAAAATTGAATCTTCTACACCCTGTATCTCCGAAACTAAGCATTTCAGGACATACATTTATACGAACTTTCTTATTTATTTTAATCTGCAGAATATGCTGCCGAAGTTTCCGGAATACAGTTCGGACCAACCTGTACGTTTTTTTTAAACTGGTTATTTATTTTAGAATACTGATAGGGTTGCTTTAGCTATTCAAGAGATACTAAAAAAATATGATATATCTCCTAATGACACTAGTCTGCGCAATTTCATGTGGAATGGATTTTCTGAAGCTCAAAGAGAAGTTATGACTCCTCTCCTTTCTTCAAAGTATATTTGTGTTGAAAAATTTGTTTCATATCCTTATCCCTTGTACGGAAGCAATGCTGGAGCCAACTTCCAATCTTGGCTGTATAAGTAAGAACTTATAGAAAGTAAGAAAATTATTTGTTGATAAAAATGACTAAATTTTGTCTTTGTATTTTAGTATCACATCTAATCTTATATTAACCTTACCAGAAGACCAAAAATCCTTACTACAAAATTGTTTTCCTAGCATGAAAATGGACAAGAAAGTTCTGATGCATTTTTTACCGTATATTTTACTACATTCGTTGTTAGAAAGCTCTAGTGGATCAGAGACCCATTGTTATACAGAATTCCAAACAATTTTAAATAGTTTCAATTGCAACAAAGCTGTTGCGGACGAAGTTTTGAATGTATTTTGAATTGAATAATACCGTTGATTGAAGAAATAAGAAGATGCGCAACCTTATGGGCGACTTCGTGGCGCAAAACCTGTCCGAGATGTAGCTGGCGATACCGTCGCCGCTAGTCAACCTGTCCGAGATTAGTTTACGCCGTTGCTTAGCCATACGCCATAGCGTTGTTTAGCCGTACGCCGCTGCGCGATGATAGTCGTTTACAGCGCAGCGGATAAAGGATACTGTACCGTAGTTCTGGTTTCAGTCGACAGAGAGAGTTGTTGCCGGAGACAGTGTTGCCAGAACTACGGATTAATCCGTAGATTTACGGATTTTGGGTACAGTTCGTTGATAATACGGATTTCCTACCGTTAAACAATTTAATATAATATTTTATGATTAAACAAGGAGTGGCGTCAGAGTTGACTTGGAAATGAAGATCGCTGTTATTTCATATGTAAAATATTATGGTAAATGTCAATAGTCGTCATTTCCAAGTCAACTAAACGACTTGATCTTACAAAATATTCAGTTTATTCTATGTTTAACACGAATAAATTTTCAATACATAAAGGCGGATTTTTCACCCAAAGATATTTTCGTCAAACGTATTACACATATCACACATTTTAATATGGCAACACTGTCGCTTTCAGTTTTGCATCGTCTTCGATATGCCTTCTCTAGCCGAATTAGAGAAAATAAGTGTTTTATGCGTTAGCCGTAGAACGAGTAGAGGCTCCACCGTACAGCACTTGAGACGTAACGGGAAATCAAATCAGCCTTGTCACGAATTTGTCCATTAGGTTGCGTATCTTCCCAATTCTTTCAATCAACGATAATACTTAAAAATATGCTTTAAATGAATAATTTTAGACAAAAGCGTTACAACTTCGTGGATCGACTCCTTCAGTAACGCGCGATATAACTGGCGAAGACAAAATGCAAATGCAAGCAACCAGAGTTGTTTTTATTTTGCTGGATTTTCTGGATAGATGGCTTAGAGAAAGGCATTGGTCTAAAGGGTATAATGCAGAAACAGACGCAAATTACAAAATTATCAGAAGGTATGGTCACAGTATAAAGTCACTTATAGATCTTTTACGCAAAGTATAAACTACTGAACTAAACTGATAGCCTTTCCCTATTACCAAAGAGTTGGACTTGACTTAAATTTCAGTGAGATTATGAAGATCATTTGATTTTTTTAGTCTCCCAAAGACATAAAGTTTGTCCAACGAGAGAATACATGCCACTGACAGTTATTTGTCATTTTAATTCAGAGGTAAATTGTATTTTCAGTCATTTTTTGGATGTCGTCTGTCGAAATCTTCCCTAACTCGTTGGACAGACTTTGGCCACTTTATAATATTGTCAATATGTAATACATAGTTTTGGATTGCAAATAAATATTGCAGAACGCTAAATTGTATTACAATTTTTGTTTAAATACGGAACTTCCAAAATACATTACTTATTTGATAGAGGAATGATTTTCAATTACTACTATTTTTGGTGCCTCATTTTAAATTTTTGGTTATTTACACTTTTTTGTAGATTTATGAAGAAATTTTGTAAATTGAAACTAGCAAAATGTAATTACAATTGTGGAGAGTATTCTAGAGCACTGATGTACTTAGAAGATTTTATAAACCAAAATCCATCAGAAATATCAACGCAGTTGTCATTCTTGGCAGAAGTAAACTTCTCCTCCAATTTTTGTAAATAAGTCCAATACAATAAACTTATCTTTTCAGATATACGCTCAGTTAGACGAATCTGACGGAGTACTTGGTGTAGAACCATTTCAACAAGCCGAGCCCTCGCTAGAACAAAGAATTTTGTCTTTGGAAGTTTCAGGAAAGTTGGCTGACGCAGCTGCTATTTATGAGCACATGCCTAGACCTTTGAAACTTCAACACTTACAAGTAATGAGTTCTGATAAAAAAAAACATATCTTAATATCATGTATACAAAGTGGCACACTGTTCCAAACAACCTTCCTCTTAAAGTCTATCCTCCGAATCAGGGGTGATTTCGACGACAATATACAAAAAATTACAGAAAATACAGTTTTCCTCGTTTACCTGTAAATTTAATTGACAGACACAACTGTCACTGTCAGGTATTCCCTCGCTGGACAGACTATATGTTTCATGTTTGAGTTTTAACTTTATTTTTGACAATTACAAATTTCAAAAATTAATTACGTTAAATTAAAAATATTTTTGTTAATATGGATGACTCAACTTTATTTCGAACCACACGACGTAGTCAATGTACTTTTATAACTCGTTTTCTAAATGGAATTCTGTATAACTTTTTTCTTGGTGGATTACTTATTAGTGATTAATTATAATTAATAAAGGTTTTGTAAAATATGATATAGAAAAAATTACAATATACATAGGTCCAATTTAAAAAATTGAAAAAAAATATATTTTTTCATAAATTCATAAATTATTTTGTACGTCCTGTAGCATTTAACTGAAATATCTTTACATATCTTTTTTTTTTCATCTCTATAAAACTCTCTTACGAAATTTTTTTTTTCAGTTAAACACTCAAAACAAATTTCAAAATATATAGAAGATATAATCACCCTGTATACTGTATATTCGATAATAACTTTAAACTCTATTTTAATATTCCCTAAAACTTCTATTTAACAAATTTGTCAGTACTTAAAACAAATAAAATACAACAGTTTTGTCAGCGTGTTTTACAGGGTTTCTCCTTTATGAATTAAATCTTTGTATCTCTACAAAGATTTGGTTTTCACACCACTATTCTACTTTTTTATGAAACTAAAGATGCTACACACAGATTTGTCCTAGTCCCCTTGATTTCTGAAATACAGGGCGAATTAGAAAGTGTTGCATTTTTCGACCCCCCTCGTATCTCTGTTATCTTATATTATCTTATTGACAAGGTGAAAACTGAGTACCGTAGAGTGTTTTATGTAGAAACCAGTAGCGTAATTAATTTTTCGCTGGGAGCTGTCATTTTCTAAATATGACTGAAACTTTTTTTTTAAATGTTACACTCTGTATATTATTTTTTAATTTTATTTCCCTTGTTATGTGCTTACTAAAAATATAATATACTCTCAGCTCTTAGCAAAAAACTAGTTACGCAGCTTGATTCTACGTGAAAAACTCTATGGGTCTTAGTTTTCACCTTTTAGATTATTATAGTTACAAGATAACCGAGATACGAGGGGAGAAAAATGCAACAATTTCAAATTCGCCCCGTATTTCAGGAACTAAGAGGGCTAGGACAAATCTGTGTGATACGAAAACCGCATCTTTGTATCTCTACTCATAAACCAGAAACCCCATAAAACAGACGAAAATGGGACACCCCTTACAGGGTGATTCTCTAACTTGTAATAAATCTGTTTTTCCTCTAAACTTGAATATCTGTTTTTTCGGAAATAATTGCAAAAGAAATCAGATATCTTCGATTTACTGAATTTACTCCATCACCCTGTATTTATTTATTTAAAGGGCCTAATTCACTGCTATCTGGACTTGGACAAAGTAAACACAGCACTCTATTTTGCGGAAGGTGCGCTTGATTTACAGCCCGAATTTGGTAACATGCTTTTGGAAGTTCAAGCGGAACCATTATGGAGATTAGGAAAATATGACGACTTGGAGAACCTCCTTAACAAGCCCGATCTATTAGAAAACAAAAGCTGGGGAGTTCAAGTCGGTAGAAGTTTAGTTTACATCAAAAAGGGTGAACGGGATCTGTTTAAATCAACGCTGGAGTCGATAAAAAGGCAGCAGGTTGAATCGTTTGGTTCGGCAAGTTTAGAAGAAGGAGCATACCAGCACGGGTACAATTACATAACTCGTCTCCATTGTCTTAACGAACTAGAACAAATAGAAAAGACCCTTTCCGAGCTCTTTCTCAAACCCAACGATAAGAACTATGCGGAAAAGATAATGAAGAAACTCTCCTACGAATGGCAGCTGCGAATAAAAGTAGTGCAAACGAGCGTTCGGATTTTAGAGCCTCTGCTATGTGTTAGAAGAGTCGCTTTGAATTTGGGAAGGGAAATTGTCAAGAAAAAAGTACCTCAGGCGGTTACGTTCTTTGACGGATTGCTTGGCGAAAGTTGGTTGCAAAGTGTTACAGTAGCTCGAAATGCAGGGGTAAGGAAATATTTTTAGTACTGTTCATATTTGCGTTTCAGGTTTATAGTAATTTTACTTGTTAAAACAATCTTTTTTGTTTTCTTTTAATAACTGAGGTTCAATCAACTGACATATTAGTGAGACAATCGAAGTTATTTAACCTACAAAACATATAATTAGGTAGTCTAGGGTCTTTTTGTCAGCCTCTCGAATATTCTTCAACCTTCCACGATTGTACGTGTCTTCAACTCAGTGACGTTTAAAAATTTGTAGTCTCGGAGTCACAGATAACAGCCCTTATTATTTTCTTATTTCTTCTTCCTTGCTACGCAATTTGCAGTTGTTTAAACAATATACTGGGTGCGTCTCAAAAGTGGCTCACCCCTATAACTTTTTTATTTTTTCAGATAATAAAACGAGATTTAGTATGTTAGTATATGATATAAATTAGGATTGATTTACGTATTCAGTTGTTTTTGGCCACTTTCTGTTTCACCGGAAATTACTACAACTTTTGAATTTTAAATGACACTCTCGGTATTTTTTTTACTTTATTCGATAAAAGATGACACTCTGAATAGAATGTCAGATCATATATGTCAACTTTTGACATTTTCGCATTTATTTGAAATTGTAACATGGGGTTCATAACTATAATTTGACTTGAAATACCAAGTATGTGGTACCAAATTATTCGTAAAAATGCTTTTTCCAAATATGCTAATGAGCCACCCTGATTCCATTTGAAAAATTGCGATATGATTAAAAATACGATTTAGGCATCTTTTAACCGGTCAAGACAAGACACAAAAAGCATTAGACGATCAAATTTATTTTTCCAAAGCTAATACGATTCTTTTTAAGTAAAAATGTCAAAAGCTGACATATGATATGTCATTCTATTCAGAGTGTCATTTTCTATCGAATACAGTAAAATATACTGAGGGTGCCATTTAATTTTCCAGACTTTTCACAGTGAGCAAAGTTTTGTCACATTTAGGGAACATTAGGAAACAGTTACGTATCTGCGTTTTATTGCTTTTTATCAGGCACAACAAGGGCCTGGTAACGTATCAACGACATCACCATTCCACACATTTCCTTTGAAGGAATAAAATGCTCACTGGATTGCCCGTCCATATATCCGGAATCTAGTATCGCTTAACTTTGGTGATCGATCGGGAACCGGTGTAGCCGTAGTTCCTCAACTTTCACATTCATTTAATACACTATGTGTTTTTTTGAATTGCCGTTACAAAAAAAAAATGTTTGCTGTTATTGACAACTCAACAACTATGTTAACTTGAATATTGTATTATATAGTTATAGATACTTAAAAAATTTCAGGTACATCAACAAGCTTATACCTACGTACTTGATGCTGAAAAATACGCCCCTCCTAAGTTATTCATAGAAAAAGCGAAATTGCATTGGTTAAGAGAAGAGCATGAAGAAGCTTTGATAACATTAAAAAGAGGTTTAAATATGTATATTCCCGATAATACCAGTAGCCAAATCATAGCCAATCTCAGCTTAGATAACAAGTAATATTTTATATTTAACTTAAATTGCATTTCATTGTATTTTAATATTTTAGGAAATTATGCGCAGAAGCTCGCTTACTTATAGCAACATATAATGATGACATTTGTAGCGTTGATGTTGAAGTTAATCTTCAACAATACAAAGACTCCTGTGAGGTTTATAGAGAATGGGAAAAGAGTCTTGTATGTTTATCATCATGTATTTTAACAATTTATCTTATCCTGTATAATTTCAGGTTTGTTTAGCTCAGTATCAAGATCGTATTTTTCAAAACTATTCAGATGAGGATAAAGATAGCAAAAGTGACCTGCAATTGCATATTGTAAATAATTTTGGAAGATCTCTATATTACGGGACAAATTATATTTACCAATCAATGCCCAGATTATTGTCTATATGGTTTGATTATGGTACGAAATTGTTTGGTTTAACGAATCGTGACGTCAAAGAAGAAAGACGGAATTACCTAGTAAAGCTGACCAAGCTTATTGATGGATTCCTAACGAGACTGCCATCGTTTGTATTTTTAACATCATTTTCTCAAATTATTTCGAGAATATCTCATCCTCAAAAAGAGGTCTATTTGGAGCTGAAAAATATAATTATAAAACTTTTGGAACATTATCCTCAGCAATGTTTATGGATGATTAGCTCAGTAATAAAGGTAATAAGTAATAAATTTTAAATATACCTACTCTCCAGCATACAAAATTCCGCCACCCTAAAAGTTTGACTAAGTTTGATGTTTCATAACTTTTTATTTTTTAATTCGATTTTCATGATTATGGTATCGGTGTGAAGATGAATTTATTGGCATTATTTTTTATTATTTTAATGGCTTATATTCTTCGGTTAGATGGATTTATACCGGGGTAAATCAAAACGTTGTTTTTGCAATAAATTCAAAACACCCTGTGGAAAAAATGAGAGGGCATTTTGGATAAAAAAAAACACTTTCCTGTAATCTTAGATGTATTCCTAACATTTAATTTTTTGAGTTATCCCGTTATCTCTATTCTTTTATGAGCTAAATAAAACACTAAATCACCACAATACATTTGGTATATTGTGGTGATTTAGTGTTTTATTTTGCTGTGTAACACCAAATGTTCCAACCCCCAACTGTAATCTTTTATAAGCTAAACATTTTTAAGTAAAATATTAATTTTAGAGATTCTTTTATTGACAAAAGCAATAATTTTATAATAATTTTAATAGCGTGTAGTTATTCTTTCTTGGTCTATAACTTGATGAATATCAAGTTATAGATCAAGATAATAACCGTTTACAAGAGCTAAGGCTAGCCATAGCTCTTGTAAAGCTTGTGGTAGAATAGGACAACGACGAACAGCTCTTTTAAGTTCATCGCACAAATGTTCGATAGGATTGAGGTCGGGACTACAAGGAGGCCATTTCATTCTTCGTAGTCCAACCTCATCCAAGTACTCGTTAACTACTCTTACTCATAACTCGTTACCCCGCGCAACGTGGGACCTGGCATTATCATGCATCACTATAACGTGATTTCCAATGCAAGGATCAAATGGAACAAAATGGATCAAATGGACAGAACGTCGTTTATATAATAAATAAGTTGGTAGACATCCTCAATATAACGGTGGGCATTGAGAGCTCCATTTTCAACAAATTCAAGATTGTAAAAATATCAGTACTCTATTGCAAAACACGAAGTTTTTATATACCCCGGTATAAACCCACCTAATCGAAATATATCGGCCATTAAAATAACAAAAAAAATGCAAACAAAATTTATTAGTGATGAGCAAAACTGTTATTTTTAGATAACAGTTGAAACTGTTATAGTTATTTATAAAAAAACAGCTTAAAATAACAACCTAAAAATATCAGGTTTCTTTATTTTATTGCTAAATATCTGAAAAAGTATGAGGCGGTCACCGCCAGGCGTATTGACGCAGTTGCAAGTTGCAACAATGACGTGGGTAGTATTTCCAGGGTGTCAAAACATTTCTAAATATCGATTGTTATCTAAAATACCTCTCTAAAAACGGTGGTTGTTTACAAATAAGCGCTGTTTACAAATTGCGATATAAAAAAGTCAAAATGCCGCCACTCGTCTATACCTATACATTCGGATCTACCTACGCCCTGCCCCTCGATCCGCCTGAATTGCGTAGTAGTGTACAGGGTGCATCTCACTCGATGGGCAAGAAGCTCTTAGTTATGATTTTACCATTTGCGGTCAAAAAATAGCAATATAAGAAAATGTGTAGTATATCCTTTATAAGTAAACCAACTACACATTAGAGTTCGAATTAATTTTACACTTAAATTTGCCAAGGAGAATTTCTACTTAGGTATTTATTCTGAAAAATACCTAAATATTGAAACTTAATAACTAAATACTGAAACATACAGCGCCATAATATCTCGACCTTCGCCCGTTATGCTCGTAACAGGTTGAAAAACAATGTATCTAAAACAACTGATGCGTTATCTCCAACCTGTTTCGAACCTCCATCGACAATCGGCCGATGCAGCAGCGTTACTTTCCCACTCCGATTATCTCCACCGCCGCCTGTTATGCTCGTAACAGGTTAAAAAATAACGTATCTAAAATGACTGCTTATTTTCTATACGTTATTCTCCAACCCGTTGCGAGCCTCCATCGACAATCGACCGATGCAGCAGCATTCCTTTCCCACTCCTGTTATCTCGACCGCCAGGCGTTATGCCTGCAATCTTTCAAAAAAGCTGCTTCTATATCCTATTATTTTTAAGCTGTTGCAAGCCCAACACGACTTCGTTTCACGAACGGTCGATCTCTACGTGTCGTTATTTTATATCTGTTATTTTTTAGAAGTAGTAACGGTTACGTTATGTTATTTCTAAATAATTGTTATAAAATAACAGATAGTTAAATAACAACCCATCACTAAAATTTATCTACAAACTAATATCATACTCATAAAAGTCGGATTACAAATTAAAAAGTTATGAAACATCAAACTTAGTCAAAATTTTAGGGTGGCCGAATTTTGTGCCGAGGAGTTTATTTATTATAATATTAAGTCCTCAAAAGTTTGTTGAAAATGTTGAATGCTGTAAGTATTTTTTTTTCTTTTCTATAGTCAAGTTATCCAATAAGGGTTCAAAGATGCTCAGAAATTCTAAATGATCCTAAACTTAAGATTCACACAATGCCAAAACTAATTAAGGATTTTACCAGTTTGGCCGAAAAACTAATCGAATTATGCAATAAAGACATTCCCCAAGATGTTAAAAACATTAATGTCAGTATGTTAGTTAGATCGCTTCCAAGGTAAAATTTTCTATCTCTATAAAAAAAATAGTCGATTCTAATTTTGTGAAAATTTTAGAATGCTAAATAAAGGAGATTTCAGCGAAATAATGATGCCTACTCATAAATTTAGAAAATTAATATTGCCCAACCCCGACTTTAAGAACTCTCAACACAACCCCTTTCCAAATCGATACGTTTATATCGCCGGCATTGAGGAAGAAATGTCAATTTTAAACAGTTTGCAGAGACCGAGGAAGATTAACCTAAGAGGATCCGATGGAAAAAAGTTAGTATTAAATTTGCATTTGCATTGTTCTGCTAATCTTTATAAGAAGTATACGATCGAAGAAAAAACAGCGCCATAGTGGCCTTTAAATGGCAGTCACTGGTTTTCTGTTTCACCGTTGTCGTTTTTTTTTCATATGTTGTCTCTAGTATACCGACCTGGTCATCAAAACTGCGTGGTCTGAATTTTAACGTATACACGTTATATCGACATCACTGTCATACCTGTCATACGACAGTGATGTGGATAGCTTGATGGAAAATCAAATGTATTAAAAAGAGACAAAAGTTGGGTTGATACATTTCTTCTATGCGGTATTGCCGGATTTTGCATCAAAGTTTCAAACCGCACAAGTAGGCGTTTATGAAAAACGTTACATCTAGGGTTGGAACTTTATTTTTCACAATTAGTTACTCATTTTACTACAGCTATAATAGATTCTTAAACAACTGACATGAGACATCTGTTATTTTATTTCTCGCACGAATCGGCAACACTGTATGCCGCCATATTTATATCTGTCGTCTGCATTAAAGTACAGACCACGAAAATAAAGTGACCAGGGCTAGTATATTTAATTCTGCTATTTGAGTCTTAATATAAATGTCTTTTGAACTATTTTAGATACACCTTTATGTTGAAGCCTAAAGATGATTTAAGAAAAGATTTTCGTTTAATGGAATTTAACGATATAGTAAACCATTTGCTACTCTGCGATCCTGAAGCCAGGCAACGCAGACTGAATATAAGACTATATTCTGTAGCGCCGCTAAACGAGGAATGTGGTCTAATTGAATGGGTGCCCAATTTACTCGGCTTAAGACCGGTTCTGTTGAATTTGTATCAACAAAGAGGTGAACATATTTCTTGTAGACATCTAAGTGCCTACAATATATTTTATTTGTACTTTTTGAACGTTGAGTTACTGTTAGTTCATTTATAGGTTTGGGAATGAAAGCAAGAGAAATTAAAGAAGCGTGCTGTAGTGTTAAAGATCCTTTATCAAAAAAGAGGGATGTCTTTGTCAATACATTGCTTAAAAAACATCCGCCAGTTTTGGGTGATTGGTTTAGGAAACATTTTCCAGATGCGCAGGTAACATTACCTATACAGTGCTGGCATGTTTTGCAATTGGGTCGGTATTCACATGTGTGGAAGTGAATCGCGTAGGGATATTATTAAGTTGGAGTGAGAAAAATGCGACGCTGTGCTGTTGCGGCGTTGCCACATTTGTCGGTGCGCGTTTCCCTGGTCGAGAGGTGTCCGTTAAATTAATATTCCATTAATTAAAAAATATCGTTATGGTGTCCATTTTTTAGGGTTTCGTACCCACAAAGGGTTAAAATGGGAACCCTTTTACTAAGACTTCGCTGTCCGTCCGTCCGTCTGTCACAAAGGTCTATCTTATGAACCGTTATAGCTAGACAGAAATTTTTACAGATAATGTATCTATGTTGCCGCTATAAGAACAAATACTTAAAACAGAATTAAATCAATGTTTATAAATAAAAAAGTTTTCACTAAACATTATCTTTTAAGTAAGAATTTTACATAGAATATTTCAAGTCCTCGGTGGCCGCGTGGTTTAAAGCGTTAGTACTTTACGCTGCTATGACGTTGGAGCCGTAGTAAGTCAGGTTCGAATCCTAGCCAAGGCGACTTTTTTTTAATCGTTTTTTTTTTTAATTTTTACATATTTATTTTTACTTTTGACATATTTATTATTGATTAATACAATTTTTAATAGTGTTTCTTCATTTTTTTTAATAACGTCATTTTTTCAATCATATTTTTTAAACTGTAACACAAATAAATAGCAAAAATATCAAGAAAATCATAAAAAATTGGGATTAATTAATTATATTTTTATTTAAAAAATATATAATAAAGTAAAATGGTTATATTTTATTTATAGAGTTGGTTAACAGCAAGAACTGCGTATATAAGAACAACAGCTGTTATTTCTATAACAGGTTATATATTAGGATTGGGTGACAGACATGGCGAGAATATACTGCTGGATTCCACATGTGGTGATGTAGTTCATGTTGATTTTAACTGTCTCTTTAATAAAGGTATGTATTATATTTAAGTTTGATTTTTATTGTAATACTGGCGAGCATATAATATTATATTCCCCTGGCAAAATATTATATTCAACAGACAACTTGTAAAGAATGACAAAAACAGTCTGTTTTAGTATTAGACCGGCAGACAATTCATTTGTCAGGAGTGTCACATTTTCTCGTTTGCTGGACAGCCTGTATATACATACATACTGTCATTACTCGCTGACGAGTATTTGACACGCATCAGAAGATGGTCACGCAAGGCGTTTTCTTTCATGAGCTTTTCTGTGACTGAATAGTCCGATACGTGATGTTATCTGTCTACCGCACTCCGGACATTCAAAAATCTCATTGCTTTGTTGCCTCTTTACTTTTTGGTTGTCGCTGTTAACTGAGTTTACAATTCTTCTCCTTTCCATTCTGTTGTGAGCTGCTTCTTCCCACTCATTCTGCTTGTTAATCCCCTTTAAGTTTTCGTGAAAAATATCCTTGTACCTTTTGAGTTGTGCACCCGGCCTCCGCTTACCGTCTACAAGCTCACCGTAAAGCAGAGATTTTGGTATGCGGTTTTCTTGCATTCGGCATACGTGACCAGCCCATCTTAAGCGGGACTTTGTAATCATGACTTCAATACTCTCGCTAGTTAGCTTTTTCAAGGACCGATACGTCTGAGACATGATGAAATCATTTGATTCTTAAGAGTTGTCTAAGATGTCTCTGTTGCAACTTGTTTAATGCGTTCATGTGTCGGCGGTATGGCACCCACGTTTCGCTTCCATATAACATGGTGGGAATTATTATAGCTCGGTAAACTGCAAGTTTCGTTTTTGTGCTCAAGTCATGATTGTAGAAAACCCTGTCTTTTAATTTCCAGAATGCTTTTGAGGCGCTGCTAATCCTGTGCTGAATTGCAGAGTCGATATTGGCCTTTTCCGAAATCAAACTGCCGAGGTAATTGATTTCCGCTACATATTCCAATAGTTCTCCGATTTTTATAGCATTGTTGTGATCTTCCGGGGAAGTGCACATGATTGTAGTTTTATCGATGTTCAGCTTAAGTCCCAAAGCTTTGTATGCCCATGTATATGTGTTCAACAGCCTGTATATGCATGTACAGAGTGTAGTTGCCAACTTAATGTTATCTTTGTATTGCCTATTATTCAACTTATCCTATTTATCCTTAAATTTTACAACATGTGGCAACCGCGCTAACCGAATCTTTCAAACTCACTGCTATCGTCCAGGGAATGCTAGCATTCACTAGTAAAAGTTGGTTTCAAAAATAGCTGTTGAACTTTGATAATTTTATTTAAAATTGCTTTTTTTATGTGTTTATTGAACTGTACAAGCGAGTTTAATTGTCAAATATATGTGCCTTGGAAGTCAAAAAATTTCAGACACTTCAAAGAGGCGTACGCTAACTGTCGCTTCCGTATGGCAAATTATTCTGCGCAATCATTGTAACAATTTTTTAGGTGAATCATTTGAATGGCCAGAAAGAGTTCCATTTAGGTTGACTCAAAACATGGTCTCAGCAATGGGACCTCTGGGAGTTGAAGGTGTGTTCAGAAAATCGTGCGAATTCACGTTAAGGGTTCTAAGGTCAAATGCGCCAACATTGATGTCTATCGTAACACCTTTCGTCTACGATCCTTTAGTTTCTTGGCCCAGGCATGTCGCAGCCGCAGCACAAAGCTCGGAGAGAGTCAATGAACAAGTAAAATTCTTTGTATTGATATACAGATAATATAAATGTTAATTTTGTAGGCATTAGAACATATAAAAAATATCGAACTTCGACTACAAGGTAAAGTTAAAACGAGAAGCCGTTTTATGTCTCAATGTTTATCAGTGGAAGGACAAACTGATTACCTAATCAAAGAAGCTATGAGTATAGATAATTTATGCCAAATGTATTTAGGTTGGATGCCATATCTTTAGGCTTTAAATATGTTCGTAATTTTGTATTTGATGTTTTTTTTACATATATTTTAGTATTGTTTTTTTTAAATACATTTTTCATATTAAACAAGTTCTTTCTATCAATTTTCCTCTATCAGATAATAGTAAGTTTAAATTTAGAAAACTGAAAAAGAGCCAGTTATTTTATGCAGGGATGCAAAAAGTTCACAACACATAAATTTTTTGTTATTAAAAAAAGTTTAGGGGAATCATCTCTTAGGCGTCTTTGTTTAAAAAAGTGGTCACCTAAAAGGGGAAATTAAGGGTTCGCTGAATGACGACAGTGGCGCTAATAAGCAATAAGGGATAGAATTTATTCCATAAAATGTAACAATATACCGCTTTGTGCAACTATTTTGTTTTGGTATACATGAATAATGAAATCAATATTTTAAATAGTCTTAATCTTTTATTTTAACATCTCTATACACTTATAGTAAAAATACAGTTTGGAAAATTTAGACCTTACCTAACTTAAATATTTAAAAGTAGTTAACATTTATTACACAGTATATACAGTTTTACACCACAAAACAATAGCTGTAAATTACCTATAAATTTGAGGTCTATTCTTTATACAAAAATAAAGCTGTGCTAATCACAAGAGGTCAAAATTTAAATAAATGTAAGTTTTGATTATTTCAGGCTTTCACGAAATGAGAAGCGAATAAATGGATTCTCAGATACTTATAATGTTGACTGGTTAATTTAAGGCAATAGCCTCATTAATAGAAATTGTATATAAAGTATTATGTATATAATATTGTATAAGGTAGTGTTACTACACAATAAATAAAAAAATCTAAGGGTGGAAGAGTTACATTAAGACACTAAAGATTGAAGCTACATCATACAAACATCTTGACGGTTTTATTGGCTTTCCTTGACAAATTTGAATTTTTGTCTGTTTGATGCGCTTTTCTACGTTTATTTTATATTATACTTTTGTTTATTTTATAATTGATTTAAGGCAAGTATATAAATCTGGAAATAACATTACGGTGAGGCTTGTGTTCCAGTGAAATTCTTATGAATCTTATAAAAAGTTTCAAAAATAGTTACTTAGCCAGCTTGCAATGGTTGCAAGACTAAAAACATGAAAAATAACACCTTTTGACTAGTAGTATACCGGGTGCGTCTGAAAAGTGGCTCACACCTATAACTTTATTTTTCAGATAAAAAACGCGATTTGGTATGCTAGTATATGACATAAATTAGGATTGATTGATGTATTCAATCGTTTTCGGTCACTTCCTGTTTCACCGGAAATTACAACTTTTATTTTTAAATGGCACCCTCGGTATTTTTTTAGTTTATTCGATAGAAAATGACGCTCTGAATAGAATCAGTCAATTTTTGACATTTTTTGACACAAATGCAGGATAATAAACGTTATGTCTTTATTTTATATTGAGAAAAAATATTAAACATAACATTAAACGATAATGTCTGTCATTTTATTTATAGAAGAAATTTTTATAAAGATTATAAACATTATATTTATTTTTAGTAAATTATATACCAAATAATAGTAAAAAATGTGTAAAAAAGTATTTTTAAGTCCATTTATTTACTTCTCAATTCTTTGTATTCAACGTCAGAAGGAAAAATTGTAAAAAAAAACTAACGAAAATTATTATTCCGGATTTTCTAACTCGGCTTTTCAATTTTAAATTTATTTCTGTGTGTATACTTAAATCTTTTGAGCTCTTGCCTAAAATATTCGACAGTCTTATGCAACCCGGTATTTAAATCTACTTTTGGTTCCCAGTTCAAATAAGTCTTTGCTCGCGTTATATTCGGTCTTCTTCTTTGAGGATCGTCTTCCACTTCGCTTACGTGAATAATTTTGCTATGGCCTCCCACAAGATTTTTAATAATGGACGCAAATTCTACAGGAAAAGATTAAATTCTAAACCTATATAATTACGAAAAATAAACAAGTTGTAGAAAACATAATCGAATTGAACGACCCTCTATACCTATTATATTTTCAAAGCATTGCATTTTCAGTACATTATATTTTTTCAAATTATAATATACAGGGTGGTCCGAATTGTATTCGAGAAACTTCGGCAGCATATTCTGCAGATAAAAATAAATAGAAAAGTTTGTAATAATGTATGTCCTAAAATGCTTTGTTTTATAGATACAGGATGTAGAGTTTTCATTTTTATTTCGATTTTTTCCAAATACCATTTGGATCATAAATGACCTAAATACAAAATATTTTCATTGTGTCTGTCTGTCTGTCTGTCCGTGTGTAACACGATAACTCAAAAACCGCTAAACCGATTTTAACCAAATTTGGCACAAAGAGAATCTGGCCATTAGTTTTGGGCGAGGGTGGGGGGTTGGTAAGGGGGTATGGGAGGGGATTAAAAATTTCAAAAAAATCGTAACTCCCAAATTACAGTGCCTAGCGAAACGCGGTTTTCAATTTAAGATTAGGAATAATATTTGCAACAAAATTTGTAATAACATCAAAATCAGTCAAAGTCGCAGTTTTTAAGATAAAAAAAAATTCTTTAGTTTGAAACTAAAAGAACTGCCTACCAACTTTTTATTAACATATTTTAGTATGGGCGGCTATACGTGCCTCCCGGCGCCAATTTTTTATTTAATAGTTTTATTTCCAAAATTGAAAGCTAACAAGTAAATTCTTCTAGCCATCTGCATGTGGTTTATTGTTTACAAATTTGGGTTTATGAATTGGCATGGACACAGAGATAACGGCAGGGATGGGAGGTTATAGGTACAGTAACCAGAAATACAATATAGGCGAAAACAGCGACACTTTCGAAGCCGGACCCTCAGACGCGGTATTTCTCTGGAACGGTTGCTATTGTGACTCATGTGGAATCGTTATTCCCATCACTATTCTACACCCTGTATCTCCGAATGTTCTGTCTTTATCTGCCGAATTTTCCCGAATACAATTCGGACCACCCTGTATAGCTTTAAGCTCCGTCTCCACAACGTTTTACTTGAACTGAATTAAGACTGAAGATTTTTTTTGTCTAGAAAACTAAGGGATCATTCAGTTTTACAGCAAAACTAGTTTTGTCTACACTGAAAAAAATATAAGTAAATTTACAAAAAAATATATGGATATTATTGCATTGATCTTTAATAAGCAACTTTTAAAAATATAATATTTTTTCATAGTTTCAGGAAAGAAAAAAAATTTAGAGATTTTTATTGTTTAGTAAATAATACACAGTTCACTAAACACAGTGTTATATCTGATAAAAGCAGTACTTCCAACATGGTCTTTACCAAAAACTGATCTAAAACCGCACGTCAAATATCCAGTGTTATACTTTAATCCGTCTTACCTGACCCTTTTAACTGACAGGTAAAATATAATGTGCAGACGGGGCGAATATCGAAATTTCAATGAATATCATATATTGTTTGATGAATATCACTTACCATTTATAGTATGTTCTACAGGATTTCCTAAGTTAACAGGCTGCGAATAATTCGAATTCATAAGTGATATCATCCCTTCAACTAAGTCCGATACATATTGAAAGGAGCGCGTTTGTTCACCAGAGCCGTACACCTACGTTAAAAATAATTACTTTTACTGAATGTTATCACATCTCTAACACCTACAGTGATGACATCATTTTGTAATGCTTGCAAAATAAAGTTTGAAACCACTCTGCCATCGTTCATATGCATTCTAGGGCCGTAGGTATTAAAAATTCTGGCTACACGAACCTGCATATTTTCTTGCTTTGCATAAGCATACGTCAATGTTTCTGAAACCCTTTTACCTTCATCATAACACGCTCTCGGTCCTAATAAAAATACAGAAATATGAAATTAAAATTATAAATATTTCTTTAAATAAAAATGTGTTAATCTCAGATTTTTATGATTTACATAAATGATAAATTAAAATTATGAATATTTTTCTAAATATAAATGTGACATAAAAATGAAATAAAATTAAAAGTATTTCTCTAAATAAAAATAAAACCCAAAGACTACATATCACCTGAAATTTTCCTGATATACAATGAACATTTATTTAAGTTTAAGAATATTAACCTGATCATTGTAATTATATGTATAGACTATTTTATTTACTATTTCTTACCAATTGGATTTACATGTCCCCAATATGTTTCGGGTTGTGGGTGAATGTCTGGATCACCATACACTTCTGATGTGCTGGCTATTAAAATTTTTGCATTAAGCCTTCTTGCTAATCCTAAAAGATCCATTGTAACTTTAAGATATTCAAACCTTATAAAATCTACTAAAAATTCTTGCCTAAAATATTTATTGTTCCTAGTGTGTTGGTTTTAATAGTTTTAACTGGATTATGCATATAGTGAGGTGGACTAGCGGGACTAGCTAAATGATATATTTCATCAACTTCAATAAACAAAGGATTAACTATATCGTGATGTATTAATTCAAAATTCTCATGTCCTATCCAGTGCTCTACATTTCTCTTTCTTCCTGTGAAAAAATTGTCCACTACTAATATTTCGTGACCATCCAACATTAAACGGTCCACAAGATGAGATCCTACAAATCCAGCCCCACCTGTGATCTAAAATAAGCACCAATTAATAATAGCATTAAAAAATATTAAAGAATACTTTGAAAATAATAAATATATGTTTATTAAACATGTAAAGATTCTAAAAATTTAATAAATATCAATGCAATGGGCAGCACAATATTTGTACTCAATATTGCATCATAAAACTTTGCTATCCAAAACTTTTGTATGTCTGAGAACATTTGTTTTACAAATAGGTATACAAAAGCAAACATATAAAGATACAACTATTATTGTTGACTACTCATTGAAACTCACTAATATCCTTTTCCTTTTCAAGTAATTTAAAAAATTGACATCTGGATAAGTCTTAGGTACTCGGCCTTCCAGCGAGATAATTTTTTCTTCCAGAGCTTCTATCTTTCGATAAGCCTCATTTAGTAGATAATTTGCATGATTCACGTCCTCTGGAAACTTCCATAAATTTTTTTCAGTGTCATTTTCGTATTTCCCATCGTTTAAATTCCTGGCGAGGATTACAAACAAAACTACAATGATTGTTTAAAACAAAACCTTATGAAAAAATATATAACAAATTACCTAGAATTAATACACAAGTCAAAATTATGTATTTATATTTGAGAGTGACTTGATTCATTGTACATCTTAAAAATATGTGAGAAAATTTACATCTTATCTAAAAAGGATTAATAAAACAAATAATTAGCCATAACCTCTATTTACCTATTTTTATTTTGTTTTTTATATTTTGTTTGTCACAGAAAAAGAAAAATAAATAATTAAGAATCATATATAATATATAATCATATATAATTCTCTTAGGGCATAGCTAGACTGATATAAGGAAGGAAGATGCAAAAAAAGGTTGGCCAGGTGAGGAAGAGCCAGAAGGCCAGAAGCCAGGCAAAGCATCATTGGATTGGCATAGATATCTGGTAGATAATCGCCACAGAGTTTAAAATTACCACTTGCTATCCTTATCTATACCCAAAGTCATTTGGGGTTGTCAATATGATGTCAATATGTCAAAATACATTGTTTTGACAAAAAGGAAGTTAAAATAATTGTTTTTCTGTAAAAAAGGCCGTTAATTATAATATCAAAATTTAAAATATTGTAATACTCTAATTAATATTCCATAGTGCTGCAAAAATTGCTTATGGCTTGAGTTATAGGATAAAGCATTTCCAGGTTTAAGTAAGACGCAATTCAGACAATAAAACTAATCAGATCTTGACAACTTTTCTTAAAAAAATACACCAATTTGTATGATTAATCATTGCTCATTTTTCTTACATCTTGTTTCAATCTTTTGATTTTTAGATCGGATGGACAAAAACATTAGATTACGTAGCAGTCATAGCAATCTTCTGTAAACTATAATCTTGTACAAAGATTATGATGTAATTAAAACTTTAATAAGAAACATCATGCATCTTCAAATCATATTTTTAGTTTGTATTAGTATTTTACAATTAAGCGATGCTGAGATATATGCTATAAAATTTGTGAGTATGAATTAATACATATTACTATAGGGCATGTGATAATAAATGTTTCCTTGAACCATTTTATTGATAATTTACCACATTTAATTACTTCCTTGTTTTAGAACTCTGATTTCTATTTTGAAGAATTTGCTGATGAACCAGCAAAATTTGGTCCTTCCTTAGATGGAGGTGAGTGATAAAATTTGTTTACTCTTTAAAATTGTTTACAAAGTAATATTGGCCAGCTATATTGTAGACAGTAATAAATCATTAAATTCATATTTGAGATAGGTACTCCAAAATATATTAGGGATAATAATACCACCCTGATAATCTTTTTGAGGGACAAATTAATATTTTTCTCATTATACTTTATCTGGAATTTCCAGTAAATATTGATAAAAGCTAGTAATTTTCTTTAGTATTATTAGGATACCTATAAAAAATATTTTTAGCTGTGAGGGGACTTTTAACAAATGCTGATCCTCCCAGTGCTTGTAATAGCTCCTTACAACCACCTAAACCATATAATTCTACAGTAAATGAGTTGAAAAATTGGATTTTATTAGTGCCCAGATATACTGATGATGAAAACTGTACTTTTGAAGTTAAAGTGCGTATGGCACAATTGAGAGGGTATACAGCTATATTATGGACAAGCTTATCTGTGATTTTTAACAATATTTTTTAGGTATAATGCTGTGATTGTTTATAATGTTGGTTCGGATGATTTGGTGCCAATGTCATCAACAAATTCAACTGGTATTAATATACCATCAGTGTTTGTTGGTCAGACTTCTGGGATAATGTTAAAGGAGATGTACACAAATAAAGATTACTTTGTAGTAATTACAGCACAAAGCCCATTCGATATTAAAACTCATTTATTGATACCGTTTGCCATTGTTGTAGGAATTTGTTTTATTGTAATGATTATTTTTATGGTAAGACTCAGTAATGTCCTTTGTATTTCTTTTGGAGTTAAACCATACTCAAATTTAGGTGGTAAAATACATCAAAGACCGAAGACGTCAGAGAAGACATAGATTACCTACATCACAACTAAATAAATTACCAACATGTAAATACCAAAAAGGAGATAGGTATGAAACTTGTGCTATATGTTTAGAAGATTACATTGAAGGTGAAAAACTGAGAGTATTGCCATGTAACCATGGTGAGTTGTTTTCTATATTAGATGATTAAGTATTTTATTAGTTAGTGTTATATCACTCTTAATTGAGTTTACTGAACAATTGAACATCCTGTATTAATGACATAAAATGCAGGGTGTTCAATTTGTAATGGTAATTCTGGATCACCCTGTATCCTGTATTATTATATAATATATTTTATTATATATATATATATATACTTATATTATATAGTATTAATAATTTTAGTTTATCACATCAAGTGTATAGATCCTTGGTTAACTAAAAATAAAAGGGTTTGTCCGATTTGCAAAAGGAAAGTCTTTGCCCAAAATGAGCCACAGGTAGATTCTGACAGTGACAGCGACACTGACGATACCACCCCTTTGATTAGAGCAGGAAATAGAGGAACGCAGGGTGGCACTTTTGAGGTACGATCTAATCTTTTGTTAAAGATTTTGGTAAATATTTAACTCTTTTGGTTTAATTAGGTACAGAATGAGAATCCAATCCAGAGAGCTGCAAGGTCTGTTTCACAACAATCTGGTGCTGGAAATTTTGTCACAGCTTCTGACCATCACAGTATCAATGGTGATAGAGTTAGTACTTTAAGTAGGGATACCTCAGGTAACACACAAGATTGATTGTTTTCTATATATATTCAGCAGGGTTGAAATAATCACAATTTAAAAAAAAACATCACAAATTACAGTTTTTTTTTGAAATTTTATTTTGAAATATTAATTTTGATTTTTTTTTTCTATTTTTATTGACATACTTACAATAATTGTATTCTTTGTCAATTATTGCCAAAACTACTTTCAAAAAAATCTACTTTCAACTTCGGTTAACTTTACTTGCATACTGATTATTCTTGAACAACTTGGGCAAGTACTTACAACACTGTTTACACAGTGGCGGCTCGTGGGTATAAAAATAGGCGAAGAGATTTTTCTAAATTGCGAAAATTTTTTTGGCGCATTCACCATTTACTAATTTTTATAAATCAGCTCAATTCTTCTGTTCTTTATTGATGCAAACTTATCAGTAATATCGTCATAAAACGGATTTTCACTCATAAGTTCATTTAAAAGTTCTTTGTGAAGAAAATTAACAAGTTTAAATCAACAAAAACCATTAACAAACAACAATAAATATTCAACAACAACTTTACAGTCTTTACACGGTTAATTACTCGCCGAAGTAGCCGAATATTAGCATAAAGGAAGACGAAGCGAACTGCCCAAAAATTTATTCACATCGGTCGCCGATAAAAAATTTCGGGGCGGGGGATTTACATGCTGCCGCTAGGCTGACGTCACGTTACCATAGAAATCGTGCAGCCGCTTGGCTCACAAATATTTTCACTTCACTTGTGGCTTCGTCGAAACATAGGCGCGTGCGGGCCAATAATGCTACTTTTTCGGTCGGAATCTGTGGCCGGAATTAACGATGGGGTGGACCTATTATGCAGAGGTCCGCCCGGAAAAAAATAATTTATAAAAAATTACCATTTTATTATTGAGATACATGTAAATATATTAAACTAAATTAATATTTTAAGCAGTAAAGTTTTTTCTTTAATTTGAGTATTTTTTTCGGTGAAGTGCCCCGTCACCTACTGCACCTGACGAGCAGCCACTGTGTTTACATTGTTCAAATACTTCAAAATAGGTATTCAAGGTAGAAATCAAGTATTTAGGCAAGCAAAATTTGCATCGTCTAAACGCCGCTTTAGCGCAAACTAAACTGAAAAAAATTGAAACTGTTGAGAGTTGCACAACTCCAGACACTTGCGCAAAAATTTTCCCACGCACGTTCAATATATTTGCGCAAGTTTAGTGGCAAAATATGACAAACCGAAGTAAAATTTGGTTCACGCAAAAACACAAGCTACAATTAACTAAAATAAACAAAATTTACTTACAGTGCTTTTATTTTTGTGACATAAAAAAACATTCATTAACAGTTTTTATTTTATCTTAATTTTAACTTAAAAAGTTTAATTTTAACCACAAACCAACCCTGGTTTTGAGTACATAGTACGTTTTAAATACACGCGATTATTTTTAGATACCGTTGATACCGAATCATCTTCAAATACGAATCAATTTGCCGAAAATCAAATCTTTAAAGATTTGGAGGTCCACGTTCACCAGGCCGATGCCCAGAGTCAGACGAGTAACAGCGACATTAACGTTTAACGATATTGGTTAGTCTCTATTATGTTATGTTCTAGTCGATGTAAGAGAAACATCAAACACCCTGTGTATAGTTCAAAATTTTAGACTACGATCAATTTTGACTAATAGAGGGTGTCTTATAAGTAAAGGTGCTATTAATGACGATTTGGTTTGTTTTAAATCTCTCATATTTTAAATCAATTAACTAAAAACATATACAGGGTGTTTTACTCTAAAATTATACATTTCAATAATATTAGTTAAAAGAACTTTTGTTTATATTGTTATAAAACATTTATTTGAACTAAATAATAAGTAGTTATATTTGATTTTTATTTTGTTACATATATTACCATTCTTAGATAATTAAGCTGTAGATATCAACGTTTATATTTTGAAGATGCATTTTCTGCTTGTTGGATGTATTCTTATTAATTTATGAAACAAGGTAAAATATCCTGTAGATGCTGGTAATCTGGCAAACAGTGCCAAATATTTTAATAAAAAAAAACTGATAAAAATAAGTCAGTGATATATTTTTTGTAACATGGAAGTATCAAATATAACCATTATTTATTACTATGCCTATAATACAATATGGTCGAAAAAAAAACGGCGTCAGAGGCGTTGAAGAAATGACGATCGCTATCAATAAATATGAAAAATCGGAAATGTCATTGATTGTTATTTCCAAGCCATTTTAACTCACTTTTTTTGAACATATGGTACCGTATGATCGAAAAAAAACGGCGTCAGCGATGGCTATGAAATGAAGATCGCTGTCATTTTATATGGGGAATGTCATTGATGTTCATTTCCACGCCAACTGCCGTTCTTTTTCGATCATACGGTATTATGTACATGTATAAATCTAAGTACTTGACAATTAACTGACCTATCAATACATTTTTTTAATTTGTGACTGATTTTCAATGGATATGCACTTTTGTGGCCAATCAGTTTTTTTCAGAAATTATTAACCTATTAAAGTCTGGTATTTTTTAAGTGTATCTCATGCAGAACTAAAATACAATACGATGGAAAAAAAAAACGGCGTCAGGGATGGCTTGGAAATGAAATTTTATTTTTAAAGTTTATATGGGAAATGCCATTGATCGCTATTTAAAAGTTTTTTTAGGACGCCTTTTTTATGCTTAGTGGTATTCTATAATAACATATGGCAATATTAAGAGGTTAAAACAATGTATAATCACTGGCATAGAAAAACAAAATAAAATTATAACAATATGGAAATGTTTATATTGAAAACTTTTTGACCGCAATTGTACATATTGCTTGTTGATATTTATGGTCTATTCAGCGAGGGAATGAGAGATTTCGACAGACGACATCCAAAAATTGTCAGAAAAAATAACTTACTTTTTAATAAAATTGACAACAACTGTCCCTGATGTTATATATTTTCTCGTTGAACGGACTATATCTTTTTTTCAGCTCCAAAACTACTTAACATTTATTTTGATTATCAGAATCTCTTGAAATATAAATATATTTTTGTTACATTCCGCAATTAATATCGTTAAGACGTTATTCTTTTTTTTTGTTGTTTATTAAGTCATTGTATTCACTTTCTAATAATAACATTCTAAAGAAATAAATATATACATATTGGACGTTTAAATGTTGTACTCATGTTGTACCATACAATTGAAGAAAAAGCGGTGTTGGAGATGGCCAGGAAATGAAGATTGCTGCTATTTTATATGCAAAATTATATGGGGAATGTCATCGTCATTTCTAAGTCAACTGGGTGCCGCCTTTTTTTCAATAATAAGGTACTATACACAACTTTTATCATTCCCGTAAAATGCTGAAAGCTGCAACTTCTTAAATGTTTAAATATTTCTTAAAATTAATATATAACATGTAAATAATAATAGATATATAATATAAATACTGGCTAGTCTCATTTAATTAAAAAAGAAATGTTTTATTCTACTGGTCTTTCATTGTTGGCTCATGGCTGGCTCCTATGGCTGGCTCCTTTTTCCAAATAACGTTTTTAATTGTGGTAAGAAGATATGCAACCAAAAATACTTCGAAAATGAAAATATCAGAATATCACTGAATTTAATATCTATCTTTTTCTTACTGCCTCTCGAAATATATCTATTTCATTTTCTACATTAGTGAACTACTTCCATCTCTCTTAATCGTTTGAAGTGAATATTGAATAATCTGTCAAAATTAATCCCCCTAAAATGTTCAGGTAGAAAATCCCTAGGTGTTATCCAGCAAAATTCTTGTAGGAAGGCAAAATTTCATAATGGCTTCTTGTTGAAAAAAAGGCGGTGGGTGGCTAAGAATTAACAATTTCGTTACAAAAGTGGTGCCTGCTAGTTAACGCGAGTTCCAGGAGTAATTCTAGATCAATTTTTTATAGTGTGTAGTGATACATATGCCTTTTCGAGCGGTGTCTCGTGTGAAAAGATGCTGCTAGCTTTCAAAACAAGGGCTCTGTTTTTAGTATGAAGATTTGCATACAGAAAATTTATAAAACTTGTACTAATTATATCGTAGTTACCTCCACTTATTCAATGGTAAGTATTTCTATAAATGTGGCCACATTATTGATAATTTGAGAACAATTCTATTCTAACAAATTAATAGGTAATAATGTGATGTTTGTAGTATCAAAAATCCTGTCTGTGCTTCATAAATAACACATGTGCAGCTAATATGCCTATTATTCTTTAATTTAGCTACTTTGAAAATTATCAGTAACTTCCTTTCTTTGTAGGAGGCAGTAAACTATTTCTCTCAAAATGTTACATTTTATTTTGAGATAATATGCTTATAATTTTTTCAAATCATATTACTTTAAAGTAAAAACAATTTCATTCGTTAGTAGTTAAGGTATACAGTAGCTAAGTTTAATTTGAATATGAAAATTATGGTATAATTTTGGTTATATGAAATTTTACTCTTTTTACTCAATATAATAATTATTGTAGAAAGCAGAGGTAAAAATAGTTTCGTTTAAAGTACATTACTTATAACTTTACAGGTTACACTTTTATGCCTGTATAATTTGTTATATTTTAATTTGTTAAACATCATGATACATCTTGAATATATAGCATTTTTACCTACCACAATATAGAGTTACTTTACCTACTATTTCAGCAGTGGCATTATTTCTAATTTTGCTTGTGATGTCTATAAAAGTAATTAATGCACCACAGTTGATGATTCACAAAATAATTCAATTGTTTGGCACTTTTTTTATAATTTAACTAATTTATTACCATAACGAATCATCATTAGAACTTAAAATGTCATTTTATAATTAATGACCATCTATCTTAGTGTGTTCTGTGATCTATCTATCCATTTATTTGCTTTTAAATCTATCTAAAAAATAATTTTTTAAACATTATTGATTACTACAAGCAGAAAACACTGTAGTATCAAAAAATAATGTCCTCAAGTTGGTTTGGAAATGATTCCAAGTCCATTCTAAAGCCATTTTTTTTCTCATTTTAATATAAAGTAACTTTTTAATAAGGGTTAATTTAAGTAAAGATATTCCTTGTTTATTATTAGTGTTAAAGTATATTTTTTCTTACTTTAGGTAATCACTGGAGATAACTGAACAAACAACATGGCTCGTAAAGGAGAATCTATCCGGACCATCAACGTAGCAGTAGTAGGACTATCCGGAGTGGAGAAAGACAAAGGTCATGCAGGAATCGGTAAATCGTGTCTATGTAATCGTTTTATTAGACCTCACGCGGAGGATTACAACATCGATCATATCTCAGTATTAAGTCAAACTGACTTTAGCGGTAGGGTGGTCAACAATGATCATTTTTTATATTGGGGTGAAGTTTTGAAGTCTTTAGACGACGGAACAGACTACCAATTTAGTATAATAGAACAAACAGAATTTATAGATGATGCATCTTTTCAACCATTCAAAGGTGGAAAGATGGAACCTTACGTTAAACGGTGTACTGCTACTAAAATTTCGTCCGCGGAAAAGCTTATGTATATTTGTAAGAACCAATTAGGAATAGAAAAAGAGTATGAACAGAAAGTTTTGCCAGACGGCAGATTAAGCATAGATGGATTTATATGTTTATTTGATGTGAGTGTTGTTCCGAGTCGTAGCATTGACAAGCAAGTTGATTTTTGCGCCGCTATCTTTAACAATATTCTCAAAACAAAAAAGCCAGTTGTAATGGTTACAACAAAAAATGATGAAGCTAATGACAGTTTTATCAGGGAGGCCCACAAATTAGTTCAAAGAAGTGAATATAAGGGAAACATTCCAATGGTAGAGAGTTCAGCTCATGAAAACGTCAACATTGATTTAGGATTTTTGCTTCTTGCACAGATCATTGATAAAACCAAAGTTCGATTGAAAATTCCTCCCTACACTGAGGCTGCTCTTGCTAGGAAGGAAATTATGGATTCAGCTAGTGATGCTTTCATGAGATTGATTCGCGTTCATGTAACTGACTGCCACGCTCTGTGGTCACAAACTCAAAAGAAACTTAATAATCACAAAGAATGGATTCACTTTGTTCAGTTGTTTGGATTAGATGGGACTCAAAGACTGTTTAAGCGGCATATCAAGAAACTGAAAGATGAACAAATGGCTAAACAAGTGGCAAGATACATGGAAATGCTTCCAGATGTCTTACATGATCTGATTCCTGGATTTAATACACTACAAGACACTGATTGGACTTCTATTCAACAGTACATAAAAAATCATCCTAATTTTTCACAGTATTTCTTTGAACGTCCTGAGGATATGCCTTGGTCAGAGTGTGTAGGCTCAGATAGCGATGAGACCAGAATACCATTTGATGTATTAGACACCAGTGAAGCGGAAACGGTATTTAAAAATCATATCAATGTCTTACAGCAAGAACAAAAGAGATTGGAGTATAAAAAACAGTTTAAACAATTGCTTGAAGACACGGGTTATGTTACACCTGGCAAACACTTGAGTGAAGTTAGAGTCTTATTTATGGGGAGAGAATGTTTTGAAGCACTTTCTGAACATGATTGCCAGCAAATCTATGATGCACATCAACGCGAACTAATTGAAAACGCGAAACACAATTTCCAAGAACTATTGTTGGAACACGCAGATTTGTTTTACCATTTCAAAAGTATAGCACCAACAGGGACAATTACTCAAGATGATATTAAAGAAATTACTGATACTCTGCAAGAAGATTTTAGGTATAAGATATTAGATCGCCTTGATCAAGACAGAAAATTAACTCTCTTCCAACATTTGGGTTTTATTCATTATCCTATTAAGGAACACTGTCCAGCTTTTCCTAATTGCATGGACTCATTAATTGAAAGAATTTTAGCGACAAAAGCGCATAGACCTTCCTCCTGGAATCATAGTAATCAATGGTTAATGAGTTCAGAGAATAACCAACTGAATTTGCTAATTTTGGGACTAAATAATTTAGCTGATAATCTGGCGGCTAAAATCAGAGCACAGTGTGACGATGACGAATATGAAATTGACTGTCAGTTTTATAGCTTAGACTATAGAATCATTAATGGAGATGTCAGTTTGCCACATAATTCTTTTAGAACTTCTGATTTTATACCCCACGGTAGTTTCTGTGTATATTCAAATGCAGAATCATTTGAATATATCAGAGAAAGTTTGGAGAAAAAACTGTTATCTAATCTAGAACAGGATGATAAGTTACCTTTTCAAGGACTACCAATAGTTCTTTTATATTTACAAGATTCTTCTTCTGATGAAAAAGAAATTCTAAGGCTTAAAGAGGATGGTCAAAATTTAGCTGACTCTTTACAATGCCCTTTTATGGAAGTTTCTTTGGACCAAATATCAGAAGAACAACTAGTATCCGATGCTCTGCACCAATTAGTTCAGAGTATTCATCACAGATCTGGTTTTTTAAATATTAATCAATCCGTCATTGAATGTGTTGAGCCAGATATAAGAGTTATCATGTGTATGTTCTGTGGTGACCCATATTCTGTTGAAAATGTTTTGTCACCTTTACTTAATCATCAGTTTTGCTTCTTGTCTTCTCCCCATAGTGTAATTTTAGAGACGTTTTTAGGAGATTCCAAAAGAAAGGTAGAGGTGATTGTTTCATCATTCCATGGTGCAAATGCATTCCGGGACGAATTAGTTCATGGTTTTATTCTTGTTTATTCTACAAAGAGAAAAGCATCTCTAGCTACTTTAAACGCCTTTTCCATGAACATTCCAAATCTTCCTATTCAAATTCTTGCAGTTACTGATTCTGGCAGCGCCACAGCATTTTTTAACGACGATCTAAGTCAAATGCTTATAACTGAAGGTAACTCTACCGCTGATAGGCTTGGAGCACATTTTATGACATCTTCAGCAGTAATGCAACCAAAAACTGCGTTCTTTACACCTTTCTTTAAAGAAGTGTGGGAAAAGAAACCAGAAATTGAACAAGCTTTCCATATGGAGGAGCCTTCAGGTTTAGATAGTGGAGAAGGAACTTTAGAAAGATCCAGGTCAATTGGAAGACATGGGCATCCCATGCCACCACCTAGAAACGAAAGTTACTATCTTAAATTAGGTAATGAAGGCAGTGAAAGTGAAAACTTTGACCTTAGCGGACCCGATGATAAACTCAGTTCCAGTGATCACAGTGATAGATTTTCAAGTATTTATATGTATGGAAGCGAAGGTTCTATGGGAAAGAAAAGACATAACCACTCTGGGTTACAAATATATCCGCCACCGGCAACGCCGCCTGAGCCTGCGCCTCCTGATAATATAGGTTCTAGATATTCCAAGAAATCTTTGATGTCGTCACAAACTAGTTTGGATGATGTTAATTATGGAGATCCAGGTATATCAATTCCTGGTAGCACATGGAATAATTACCAACAACACGCCTTTACAACTGGAAGGAGGCATATTCCTTTATCAAAGTCTCGCTCTAAAGGCATATCACAAACTCTGAAACAACCGGGAAAGTTAAATATGAAGAACTATTCCGCAGTTACAGAAGCAATCGCTCGTATGAACATGAGCGATGGAAATTTTGGAAGTGCTCCGTTAGCCACTCCAGAAACTGTAGATTTGGGTAGTGAATATGCTCAAGTCAAAGATATGGTGCATATGTATCCTCCTGATTCTGAATACATGTACACTATGGTTCAGGACGCGATCAGTGGTAAGACTAAATTGAGACAGCGCCGTGAAAAGGGACAACCCAGTTATTCCGATTCTGACAGCGAGTGGTCGAGTTTAGAACGAAGGCAAAGAGCTAGTGAAATATATTCAAAAGTAAATCGAAAAGGCGGTACTCATAAACGACAAAGGAAGAAACGCACTGCCATACCTGTTCAGCCTCCCAGGGTACCTCAACTGGGAGCGTTTACGATGCCCTCTGTACATTCACCGTCAGTCGAAGGTGACGAAAAGGTGAACGTAGCTACCGAATCTAATTCCGACTCGTCTGAGGCTAGCGAGGGTGAACAGTTCCCTCAAACTAATATCGGAGACATTCGACATAAATTCGCCCAGAAACGAAGCCAAAGCCTGAAAAAACGCATGCCCGATCTACCTAACGCTCACAATTTTAATATTCATTTAAATTCGTTAGATTTGTACACCGGACAAGCAAACTCGTATGGGCTCATGCACGAAGACGAGTCGAGTCTTGACGTGTCGTCACCGAGAGATAATAATTCTCCCATGTTCGGCGTGTTTCCCAAGATGAAGGAAAGCGACATCGAAAAGATTCTACGGAAGAGGGAGAAACAGAAAGCCAAGGACGACTCCAAACTAGAGAAGAGGCGGTTAAAGGAGGAAAAATTAAGAAAAGTTGCCGAGGAAAAAGACAGGAAGCGCCAACAAAAGACGAAACAGAAGGCCGCCGTTTTACCCAGCGGAGTCCCATCTAAACTGACAGATTACATTCAGTCTGACAAAAATTATATTCCTATCTTTATGGAAAAATGCGTAAAGTTTATTGAAGCGGAAGGACACGATTCAGAAGGAATATACCGTGTTCCCGGCAACAGAGCCCATGTCGATTTGTTATTTCACAAATTTGAGGAAGACGCGAACGTAGAAATTCACGAACTAGATATACCTGTCAACGCGGTGGCGACAGCATTGAAAGATTTTGTTTCAAAACGTCTACCGCCTCTATTCGACGAGAATGTGATGTCAGAAATGGAGGAGATCGCGGGAACACGCATGAAACCTATGGTTACTACCACCGGCAACATCGAAGTTAAAGCGGACCGAAGTTGCAGACTTCTCGCGCTCAGACAAATGTTAGACAAGCTGCCGCCCATCAATTTCGCCATCCTCAAGTTCATGTTCCAACATTTCGTTAAAATCACCGAAAACTCCAAGTTAAACAGCATGGATTCGAAGAATATGGCCATTTGCTGGTGGCCCACGTTGTTGCCGATTGAGTTTAGCGACATGGGTCGTTTCGAGCAAATGCGACCGTACCTGGAGGACATCGTACAAACCATGATCGATCAGTACCCTTTCTTGTTCTGTGGGAAGGAGGCGTTCGTTATGGTGTAAATTCGTAACGAATTACACTCCGATCGTTACCATAGAAGTAGTTTTTTACGAGAGACAAACAGAATGATGCAAACGACTCTAAAAGACGCACAACTTGCCCAGTCAAGGCTCCGTTGAGGTCGTGCGACCTCTTTGTTAAACAATTTTAGAGGCCTTGGTGTTCTTAGCGATGAATAACTAACTGTCTTATGATGCAGTCTGCGTTTATTCATTTCTATTAAACGCAAACTGTTCGTTAAAACGAACGCTGACCGATCTGAAGTCAATATTATGAAATTGTTTTGGAAATATCAATATACAACGTATAAACTATAAATACTCGATGTAATAATGTTGTATTTTAATTAACCAATATTTGCAAATGTATACTATACGATCTATATAAAAAAACCTTTAGTGTGGCCTTTGAAGTGACAATCGCTTATAGTTTGTTTTTCCCACCGCTATCTATGTATTATTTATTCAAAATTGACATAAAAACTTGTCAGAAATTACTATTTAAATAGAAATAAATTAAAGATTCCAAACATGTAAATGTTGAGAGAACAGATTTGTCTAGAAACTTTTTATTTTATTTCTAAAGTATATTTTAATTTTCGGTAGTTTCTGTCAGTTTGTAATAAATGACATATACCGATCTGGTCATCGAAACTGCGTGGTCTGGATTTTAACGTGTAAGACAGTGATGTCGACAGCTTAATGGAAAATCAAATGTATTAAAGAGATAAAAATTGGGTTGATACATTTTTTCTATGCGGTATTGCCGGATTTAGCATCGAAATTTCAAATCGCACAAGTAGGCGTTTATGAAAACTGTTGCGTCTAGGGTTTGAACTTTATTTTTCTCAATTAGTTACTCATTTTACCACAGGTGTAATAGATTATATTTAACTTAGATATATTATCTTCATTTCAGTAGTATACATGAAAGTTTTTAAAATAGTTTACTTGTTTCTACACACATTTTCCTACAAACGTAAAAACTGGCAACCCTGTATGCCGGTTTTAATTTTGTCTCTCTGTCTGTCAACCGATCATTTATATTTATCTCTGTCGCATGCATTAAAATACAGACCACGCAAGTGACCAGAGCTAGTATACAGAGGTTGGACTGACAGAAATGATCAGCAATTGTCATTTCAAGGGTCTCTTTGACAGCGTTTTTTGATCTTACGGTAGTTTAATTCTTATTTTAAAATATAGAATAATTTAAAAGGTTGCAACAATTTCATACGATTTTACATGAAAAATATACGTATTTATAGTTCATAAAATTAAATTGTAACTTAAATGTGGATCTGTGATTGTCTATAAATTATGAAAATGATGTGATATCAGTGTCTTCGAAAGTATACAGAAACACCAATGGTCAAATAATTAAAATTATACTTTGATAATAAGTAAACAACAGTTAACATAAGAACAGTTTACAAGTACTTTCGATAACACTAATGTAGACATATTGACCTGAGTATTGTAAACGCTATGATGCGCCACTGAATGTACATAGTGTTGACTTCACAAATTAATGTAAACCTTCTAATGGGTTGTGTATTTATTAAAAAAAAATAGTAGAATATAGATGGATGTTGTATCTTTTTCAAATATCAACGAGTAAAACGGTGTCGTGCCGAGTCCATTTTTGTATTCCTCGGTGTCACAATTTGTCATTTGAAAAATACTAAAAAAAAAGGAAAATATCACATGTTTGTGGTTCCATATACAAAAAAGTACCCAAAGCTTTAACGTTTTTAAGATATTTAGGTGTAATTGTACGATGGAATGTTTTCTAGTAAGTTGGTGTTGATGTTTTTTAGCTCTTGAAATGAAATGTCGCATTAAAAACTTTTTTTAAACAACATAATGAGACAATAAATGTGATAAATCAATTTGCGTTAAATTGCCCCTCCTATACTCTTTTAATTGCGGGGGTATTAGAGAAAAAAAATATGTTTTCACTTCTACTGAACTTGAATAAAAATTGTTTGGATCATGTCTTATTTATCTCTAGATCTGGCCTAATATAAAAAAAAATTCAGTTAGTTCGCGCATTTTTCGATTTACTAAAAGAAATAATTTTGGCAACGAGAATTTGAAAGGCGGTATGGAAGTTATTAGGGCCTAAAATGGTGCCAGTAATTTCTGCTGGGAAGAATGAAGATTTGTTTTTAGTTATAAGTTTTTTGCGACTCTTTATCTAAATGTACATTATATTTTATTATTATATTCATTTTAGATATGCGTAAGTATACCCAATGATTCTTTTTCATATTATATTTTAATAGTATTTTTTTCTTTACTCGAATAAGGAATATTTTTGTAGCGAGAGCACAAAAAAATCTTAAAAAGATTTTTCAAGACTGAGTCGCATTTAAAATTACTTGGTGTGCCAAGCAATTTCTAGTCTGCAATAATAATAAAGATGAATATATAAATATCCCTTCCGATTTTTTTACTTGTATATTGTATATTTTGATATTAATGGCACCCTCGGTATATTGCTACTTTATTCGATAGAAAATGACACTCTGAATAGAATGACATCATATGTCAACTTTTGAGATTGCCGCTTAAAAACAAATCGTATTTTAAATTCCAATCCAGAGTGCCATGGCGGTGTTAAAAACACTAAGTTTTAATCAAGACGCCGTGGAAAAATAGTTTTGATCGTCTAATATTTTTCGTGTCTTGTCTAGACCGGTTAAAAGATGCACAAATCGTATTCTTAATCATATGTCAATTTTTTCAAATGGAACAAGGGTGACTCATTAGCATATTTGGAAAAAGCATTTTTTATGAATATATTGATACTTAGTATTTCAGGTCAAATTGTCGTTATGAACCGAGTGTTACAATTTCAATTAAACCATATGCGTAAATGTCAAAAGTTGGCATATGATATGTCATTCTATTCAGAATGTCATTTTCTATCGAATAAAGTAGAGATTAGGGTGCCATTTAAAAATCAAAAGTTATAGTAATTTCCGGTGAAACAGGAATCGACTAAAAACAATTGAATGTGTCAATCAATACTAATTTATGTCATATACTAACATTTTTGGAACGCACCCGGTATTATAAAGATAGTACAGGTTCTGGTGTACCGAGAAAAGAAAGACAGTGTTGCATTTCTCGTCAGAGTCATCAGGGAACGACCGTTACGACTGAGACAACCTATATATCGCTCGTGTCGCACTCGTTAGAACCTACAACAATAACATGACATTGTCTGACCGCATTTTCCAGTGAGATGCTCAGTCTATATTTTATTTTAAGTCTATGGTTATTGCCGTTTAAAGCTAGTAATTATTTAAAATAAATTTTTAGACACTCTCTATAGGGTAGTATTATTTTTATTATTGTAACAGAAAATTTAGCGAATAGAAAAACTTTAGTACAATATTTGGTTTTAAAAACTTAAATACGTCTAGAGAAATGAAGCATTAATTGTTACTGTATTTTTACAAAATCGTATATTTCAAAAACGGTAAGATTAAAGTGCGATAAACCTTAATTAAACTTACCTTTATTTTAATTGTAGAAATTAAAATTGTAATAATATACAGGGTGTTCAATCTAAAAAATACAACTTTAATATTTTTCCTTTATTTGGGACACTGTACATTTTGAATATAATTTTAAATAGTAGCTTTAGTAGTTCTCCAACGATCCTATCACTCGCAATTTCTAGAAATCTAATCGCGTGGCTACAATACTCTGTGTCAAATGAGGTGAATAACCTCAATATTTTTTTTTTCAATTTGACTTACTAACAAAATCTTACCTTATTAGATTAAAAAAATATTTGTAATACTCGTATTGAATGACATGACAACTTTATGTATTATTTTTTATATTGTATGCGTCAAAAATGATCTGTTATATATTATCAGGTGATATTCTGACAACAATTATGTTTTAATATTTTGCAAAATGAAAGAACTGTAAACATTTTAAAATTTAACTGAAGGAAGTGGAACTATATGATATAATTTCATTCCAAAATAATGAGGGGATGTAGTTTACCTTATTTTAATATTATTAAATTATAAATGTAGCCTAGGTTGTTAGTTTTATTTTGCTTTGAGCTTAGCTAACGTAATATTTATAAATACAAACTGTGTTTCATGTTTTTTGAATTAAAAGACAAAAAATATTTTAAATAGTTTGTGAAAAAAAACTTAATGGACCTTTTGGCAGAAAAAAAACTTTTTATAAAGAATTTATTCCATTAACGATATACAAAATTATTGTAATTTATGTGCAATTCAACTCTACGTCAGTGTGATTTATTGAAAACCAACCGAGAGTGAGTAAATAAATAAGAAGTAGCTGTTTATTTATCGATATAAGTAATTTTTTATTGCAGCTTTAGGATTTGGAATATAAATGTGAATTTAGGCTCTAAAAGGTTTTTCAATGTGTACCATATGTCGATATACCTTAGATCTCTTAAAAATTAAGGTTCACATCTTAATGTTAGTGTGTATATATGTAAACAAATGAAATATGTTTATTTATGCTTTGTATTTATTCATTATAATCAATACAAGCTTAATGTAATTTTCAATGTTGTTGGATTTATTTTGTAAAATTTTTCATTTATAAAATTTGTATTTTTGTTTTAATAAATATTTAAAATGAAACTTGTCTTTTATTCCTATAACCAATAAATATGCAATAGGGCATTTTAGGGGAAAAGTGTCTAAGTGGAATCAAGATGACTAGTAAACTAAGAAAAAATCTGGTATTTTAAATAAAAAGTTATTTTTTAGATTATAAATTGTGAAATTAGTTAAGAGTATTATTTAAGTTATTAGGGAGATATGGCAATGTCCAATACTGCCGCAATTCCGCTATTAGCGCTGACGTTATTTTGATATTTGCGTTTGTCGAACTTCGTGTTATGGCAACACAAAATAGCGTTGATTGATTTTGATGTTTATGCCAGATTATGCAAACATTTTTAAAAATTTAGCCTTAACCTAGTTTTCTAATTTTGTCAATCAAAAGAGCATCTATATTCATTCTATATTATATTCTTTCTTTATTTTTATCAAAAAAGAATAGGTATTAAATATATCAGAAGTTTTAATTAGTGTCCAAAAGAAAGTGTGTCTAAAAAAGAATACCTACAATTTAGCCCAATAAAGAGTTATCTCAATTTTTATAAAAAATACAGTATCTCAACTGATAAAATAATGTTCCGAAACTGTCAAATAACCGCACGGCGCGCGGCGTCTTCTCTTCTTCCAAGGTTACCTGGGTCTTCTCCACCTAAATACCGGCATGCGGTAACGTAAATAGCGCACAAACGGTTATTATGACACTTTAAATGTCATAGTTGCCAAAATAACGCCTCCGCTAAGACCGCATATCGTTGTCATATCTTTCTATTATAGAGAAAAAATCGTTTGGATTATTTTTGATAGCTTAAATGAACAAAAATAATCACTTAGTAAGAGTCTATCAAACGAGTCGGAGAAGATTTCGACAGTCGGCATCCGAAAATTGACAGAAAATGCAATTCGCCAGTGAAATAAAGTGTCAGATAACTGCCACTGTCATGTATTCTCTCGTTGGGCACGGCAGATCTTATTTTAACTTTTTTTTGTCTAATAGGTCCTTGACGATGAATTTACTGATTATATGATAATAAAAAAATATGTTTTTCTATTTTTATTAAATAAAAATGCAGAAAAATTAACAATATACAATATTTAAACATTTAGCTTAATCTATATTTACAAAGGAGATATTAACAATTAAAAAATACATTCAAAACAACTGATTTAACGCTGACGATAATCCCACAAAAATAAATTAATAAATAAACCCAAAGTTTTAATTCATAAATATCTGAAATAATATAATTTGTAATCTTTAGCATATTTTTTTAAGTGTGTAAAAAACAGCGCCAACTTACCTTAAAAATCACGACATAGTTGACATTTTGTGGTATATAAAATTATATGATGTCAGCGACCGTCGTTCCTAAGGTAACTTGACGCCGTTTTGTTTTCGATTATACGGTATAGAAAAAATAGGTAACCATGATACAAAGAAAACTCATGCTAAAAAGTTTTGTTTGTATCATGATAGGTAACTATTTTGTTTTACCTTTTTACAAATACATAAATAATTTATTATTTGCAGTAGTGGCTCAATGACAAACGAGCTGTAATATTCATAGCTTGCAACTCTGTCAGTAATAATTTACAAGCATAGGGCATAGTAATCGTAGATACTTGTCCTGAGCTTTTACAACTATTACACCAGCCACAATATCCTAATCTTCCACATTGGTTACAAACGTCTACCTCGCATTGATCACTGGATACCATAAGGCGTTCTACCAACATCATGCTGTAAAAAAAAACATGTAGGTACATAGTTAATTAGATGTGATGATTTTTTTTGCAAAAGAGCAGTATGTGAAACTTACTACAGTTGGAGGTTGTAACACCAATGGTTCCAACCCCCAATTGCAGCAAGTTTCGCAATTTGCTGTTTTGCAAAAAAAAATCATGACCTAATTAACTATGTACGTACAAAATGTTCTGTTCCCTACATAAATAAAAATATATATATATATATCGTTTAAAAATACTGAAAGAAGGAATAGATATTAATTATATGAATAACATACCTAGCACCATAGCCTATAAGGCAATCGCGTTCCATTTCACCTAACCTCAATCCTCCATCTCTACTTCTGCCCTCTGTAGGTTGTCTAGTCAATACAGCTCTGGGACCTCTTGCTCTGAAAAATATTAGATAGAATAGATTTCGACAGTCGACATCCAAAAAATGACAGAAAATATAGATTAGCCTGTGAATTAAAATGCCAGACTGTCAGGGATTGTTCAATTGGACAGACTATATCAATATTTTTAATTGTATAATAGTAGTTGTTTCTTACCTGGCATGAATTTTATCTTGAACCATATGCTTTAATTTTTGATAATAGACAGGACCAGAATAAATGTAAGCTTCTAAAGGCTCTCCCGTTATTCCCGAGTAAAATACGTCTTTACCTTGGTAGTTATAGCCGTGCCTTGTCAGCTCATACCCCACATCCTCTACTTTTGATCCTCCAAAAGCTGTCCCATAGTGAAACTTGCCTGATATAAAATGTTTTAAAACCAAGATATTATTATTTGAAGATGTACATACCTTCAACAGTTCCTGCTTTGCCAGAAAGCAGTTCCATGAGCTTACCAACCGTCATACGGGATGGATACCCATGCGGGTTCATAATAATATCCGGGCATACACCTTGTTCATTAAAAGGCATGTCTTCTTGTTCTACTATTAAACCTAAAAATAAATTTTATAACTTAGATGTTAAACAAGAAGATTTGGTTTCATTTTATTACCAACAACCCCTTTTTGTCCATGTCTAGAACTAAATTTATCTCCGATTTCGGGACGTCTAGTTTGCCTCAACAAAATTTTGATGAGGGTCGTATCTTCCTCGTTTGTAGTAATCAATGCCTTTTCTACATAACTAGATTCAATATTTCTGTACGCCAATGGTGTGTCTTTATATTCAACTGCTACATTACTAGTTGCGCCTGGTACTGCAGATACAGTGGGCACAGATTTATTAACCAAAATCTACAATTAAATAAAATAATTTTTATTCCAGTAAAAAAGATTATTTTTAAAATATAGACATATCTGTCAATTGTTGCTTTATTGTTATGTCTTAAAACAGGATGTGCTAAAAGGTACCTTAAATGCCTTAAGAATTATTTTATTGAGTTACTGAAATTATTAGTTATATTATGATATTGAATATTATATAGTGACAATAATTGACAGTGAACCGATTTTAAATTTTGACAATGATCAATATCCGCTGATATCTGTCAATAAAATTATCAACCTCAAACCTCAAACAATGACATTTACGAGGAACAATGTAGAGTAATTTACGAAATGCCTTAATGATATCAACAATATCATCTCTTGCTCATGTGAAAGAGAAAGTACATATCTTCAATACAATAATTGACAGTAATACAATGTAACATTGAAAGAATCATTGAAGAAAGTAGATATAACGTACTTGTTTATTTTGTATCTGTTCTCCTGGACTTACTATCCCATCATTGTCCAGACAACTATGTCTCCACATACTCTGATTTGTCTGCGTATCAATTAATGGTCCTTGAATTCTATCAAATGTCTGATTTGGATATCTTTTCATAATACATTTGGAATTTCTATAAACTAAACATCTTCCAAAACCTCTGTCAATAGATGCCTAAAAATAAATTATATATTAACCGTTTTTTTTTAATTAAAAATGTTAATTTTTACTTTATTTAAAATTAACGCATCTTCAATATCGTAACCACTGTAACTCATTACGGCTATAGTGGCATTTTGACCAGCAGGAAGTTTGTCAAAGTTAGTTAGTTCAATAGATTTTGTTTTACACATAGGTATTTGTGGATATACCAAATTATATAATAAAGTATCCATACGATTCCTTTGGTTGTATCCAATAGTTCCTATAAATAATTAGCGTTATATTAAATCAAAAAATGCGCAACAGTATACAAGGTGTGCCAAAAAGTTCGCAACAAAATGGGAAAATTTTTAGGTTTTTTAAAAAAAAATAAATACCTCAATAATAAAAAATTATATTTGTTACGAATTTTTTGGGACGCCCTGTATAACAGTAAGTACCCATTGCTTGTTTTCCCATAGCACATTGATAGGTATTTCTTGGACTTTGATTGTGGTGGGGGTATGGAACCAATCCGGCACATACACCCAAGAGAGTAAATGTTGCTACCTCTAAATGGGTTGTTTGCACGGTAATATCCTTTTCATAACAAGCAATGTAACTGTCATTTTCCTCATTGACATCCAAGAATTCTATTAGACCTGGAAAACATTTTATCATAAAAAGAATATAATTCAAAACCCTATAGGTACAGACCATCATGGAGAAAATCTTCAAAACTTCTTATACCATTTTCGAGTTCATCCATATGGTGTTTATTAACCAACGGTATGCCATGTTCTACAATAATATACGGTCTGCATAATCTACCACCATCTGAACTAATATAGACGCATTTGTGTAAAAAACTGGGATAAATTGACACATAATTCGATATTTTTCCTTTTCTTCTCATTAAGCGGAAAACTTTCAAAAGTTTTCTGTAATTTGTTGTAATTCCCACAATATTACCTGGAAATAAATACTATAAAGCAACAAAAAATATAAAAGACATTCTCTTTTACCATTTAAAAATACAATAAAGGCCGCAGAAGAATGTATGGCAATACTAGCAACCATTTCAATGTTTTCTACACCACAATTTCTAACCAATCGGATTAAAGGATATTCATCTATGTCAGTGGTTATATGTGTCATAAGAGCCAAGTTTTTGACCAATCCACATGACTGAAATTTAAAATAAATGACATATAAGTATAGTAGTACAGTATAGCAAAAGTTTCATTTCAGTTTTCTATTTGATATTTTCACTGCAATCTTTTTTTATAAAAAAATGCATGCAATAACATAACAACTATACACAGGGTGACCCAAATATAATATTTTAGAGAATTTATTTTTGGAGAACGTTCCCCCAGAAAGAATGAGAATAAATGTGCAGATACCGAGAATGTGTAATTAGGCCAAAGAAAATAGGCTAGAACATTTCGAACTCAGAAATACGATTATGAGTTTTTTTTGAAAAATTTGGTTAGGTTATTTTCAAAGTAAAATAACTAGGTTATTAGATCTATTAATAGTAGGTTTTTCAGTATCAACTCAGATAAAACCGCGATAGTGCCATTTACCAGAAAGCGAAGTCTGAAAAGCTTGAAAAGAATCCAACTAGATGGAAAGGAAATACTGCCATCACAGGAAGTTAAATATCTGGGAATAACCCTGGACAGTAAACTCCTGTGGAACAGGCATATTAAGAACACTACCAGCAAAGCCACAAAGGCTCTCATGATATGCAGAAGACTGGCCGGAAATAGATGGGGCTGCTCCCCTAACATTTTGCGCTGGATGTATACCATGATAGTAAGACCCATGATTACTTATGGAGCAGTTGCCTGGTACACAAAACTAGAGCAACGGACGGCAAGGCTAAACCTGTGCAAAGTCCAGAGACTAGCATGCGTTTGCATCACAGGAGCCATGAGAACCTGTCCAACAGCAGCAATGGAGGCCATTCTAGATCTAACACCACTGCACATTGTCATTGGTAGATATGAAAATGCGACAATGATTAGAATAGTTACTAACGGAATCAGTAGTGGGAGAATTGTCAGAGCAGGGGCTTGGAACACCCTCAAAAAGAAAATACCACTCCTGCAACTCTCAGTGAGTTATATGCCAAGAACGTACAACTTTGAGAAACATCTCAATGTAGTGTTGAGCAATAAAAAGGATTGGAAGAGAGAAACGTCTGCCCAGCAGTTAAAAGACCATACCATAACTTGGTATACTGATGCTTCCAAAACCAATGCAGGAACAGGGATCGGAATATTAATTAAATTAACCTCGGGATCGGAATAATTATTAAATTAACCCCCCTCCCATTCATTCTAAATTCTAAAGTTCTAAAAAAAAGTAGGTTATTTTGGACTTATTTGAAAAACGGTAGAGAAAATATGTTTCTTTTATCGAGATCTACCAGCCCTGAAAATATTTGTACTTATTTAAGACTCACCCTGTATAATCATAGCTGAATAATTGAAAAAATCTTCAAAAAATTCCTGCAGGGATTTACTTATAAACAAATTTGCCTAACGGACAAAAAAATGCTTAACGTTTCGGGAAGAATATCTCGTCCCGTCAATAGAAGCAGAAAAATTCTTTTTTGCTTCCTACAAAAAATAACTATTTTATTTTGTAGAATTCCTTACAGTGGCGAAATACCCACAGGACTTTTTTAAAGAGACAAATAATTGAACTTACCTCTCCTTCTGGAGTGTCACTAGGGCACAACATGCCCCACTGACTAGGTTGTAAAGACCGCGGTCCAGAAACTTTTCTAGTCGACTCAAACTGTGAATTAACTCTCGTCATCATGCCTAAGGCAGAAATATAACTTAACCTAGATAAAACTTGTGTTACCCCTAATCTTTCCATACGAAATCTCTTAATTGTCCAATTGCCCTAGAGAAAAATATTATCAAACAAACGAAAACATACTTTTAGAAAATCCTTACTGTCGAAATAGCATATACTAAACAGTTGGCTATTAACTCAGACCTCATATATTTTACTACATCAAACTGGGTTGCCCTAATTTTGGGTATGGTTTTCTCGGCTATAGACTTCAGATCATAATTAAATCGTTTAAAAACATCTTCAAACATTAAAGATAAGAGGGATCCTGCAAGCTCCATTCTCTTGTTACCATAATAATCACGGTCATCAAGAAACTTTTTGTCAGTCTGTGCTTGGATAACTCTTTTAGTCTACAATAAAAAATAGTAGTAGAAAGGTTATAAAAATTGTTTTTTTGAAAAACATAAAAAAACAATTTTTTAATGTCGGCAAACACTAGGCAATAGTGAAAAATTGGTTTTAAAAGCTGCTAAAAAATTATATTCAAATAGTTCTGTACAACCACTCATAATCAAATATCTTACCATTAGACCTAAGTATACTGCTTTTAATCTGAAATCAAAATCTTCTACAGGAACATGTGCTAAGACTGTTGTGGCTAAAAGATCCCTGGCCTCATCGGTTGGAGTTTTTACCTTGGATGCAGAAGGGGCATATCTTTTTGCTATGATCTTACTGCCTAAATATCTAAGGGCAGCTTCTTGAGTATAAATTTTTAATTTGTGGCATTCTTCCATAGTTGGAGTAAGTTTATGAATGTCTGATATACCTATAAGTTCACAGATCTCCTTATCGCTTAAAACATTCATTGCTTTGAAAACAACGGAAACAGGTATTGGCTAAAAAAAAGTCAATTATTTTAAAAAGAAAATGTTTAGTTACCCAAAATTATTCACTTACATCTGTAAATATATTATGTCCCATAAAATACTTGTTTCCCTTAATAAAAACAATCGTTCTAGTCTTCTTCTCATGAGTTGAACTCGTTACTTGACACTGAGTTCCCCATTTTCCTTCTTCTACCAACATCCTATTTTTTGATAATTGTTCTTGAATTAAAATAACCCTTTCTTGCCCTTTCACTACAAAATAGCCTCCTGGATCTAGAGGGCATTCGTTCATTTTAGCTAATTCAAATTCTGATTTATTACTTAAAACACAGTTTGAAGATTTTAACATTATAGGAATTCTAGAAATAAAAATAAACTAAGCACTTCAAATAAAATATCTCCTCCTCCAATTACCTTCCAATTAATAAACCAGTTCGAGCCACTCTTTGACCTCCTCTTGTATATTCTATGTCCACAGATATTGGGGCCGAATAAGTCATGTCCCTCAATCTGCATTCATGCGGTGTTGTCGGTTTGCTAATATTAAATCCCTCATCTACATCTGGGGTTCCTACATGAACGTTTGTGTACCTTTACAAAACATAGAAAGATTTGTAGAATGTATTAATGGAAAGAATATCCAATATCTTACTTAATGTAGAACAAAGGGTCTGCATCACAGGTAACTTTATTATTGGCTTCCACAATTTTTTTAATTTCGACGTTAATAAAATAGTTAAAGGAATCGATATGTTGTCGTACTAATCCTTTAATTTTTAAAAATGCCGGCACTAATTTCCATTTTTCCTGTAAATAAACTATATTAATAAAAAGTGGTAAATAAATTTTTTAACATACTTCTATTTCTTTGATGGGTTTTCGAAAAGAACCAGTTCCAAAATCTTCGAGTATCACATTATCAGTAATCGTCATTTTTAATAGTTTTTAACAATTATCAAATTATCAAAATAACTATTAAAAACTTTTTCCAAATTATAAATGCTCAAATCTCTCAAAACATTTTAGGTTACAGTAGGCCACAGAATAATTAAGTAGACTAGGGCCACAGCTCAGTTTATCATATTAAAGTGAAGATAGAAACGTATATGATAACTGGCTTTAAGACACTAAATATGAACACCTGTAGCAACAGTTGCTATTTTTCCACCTCAAAAATTGTAATTGTAGGTCAAGGGCAACGAAACGTCAAAGATTATGGATTATAATCGGAAAAATGTCGGAATGTTTTCTTAATTTGTCAGTCAACAATCTATTTTGATTAGAATAGTGACGAATTTCAAAAAAAGCACTGTGTTCCAATTAAAATCAATTATGAAGTAAAATGTATAATTGTTTATTATTAGTAATGTGCAAATTATGTAGGCTTAAAAGAAAAACTTACTGCAGATAAAATGCTAAGTTGAACAATCAAATTAATTTTTAGTTTTTATATTTAGGTTTCTCTTAGTTAAATTTTCTTTAATTTACAAAATTTATGACTCTACTTCGTTCTAATTTGCCTGATTTATGTCGTACGCATGTATCAGGTAAGTATCTTAAGATTAAGGTTTCTCTGATGTTATTGACTAAAAGCTGTATTTTAGGTACGAATATGACCATGGCACAAGATCATGTTACGAGAAAATGGGAAATCTTTCAAGGTAGAAACAAGTTTTATTGTAGCGGCAGGTTTATGACAGCTCCTAATGCTGGGGTGTTTTTGTTGACTGTGTTTTTGATTACAGGAACATGTACTCTCTTTTTTATATTTGAGTAAGTTCAAATAATAACATATCTGATTGTACATTAATTGTCTATTTTGTTTTTAGTTGTAAATACTTAGCTGAAAATGTTACTGTTGCAATACCAATCATTGGGGCATTTTTATTCTTGTTCACTATGTCTTCCTTATTAAGAACAAGCTTGTCCGATCCTGGAATTATACCAAGAGCGACATCTGAAGAAGCAGCTTATGTTGAGAAACAAATAGGTACAATTAAGTAAACTCAGTTTTTGACAAGCAGTTATATTTGTTTCTTATTAGAGGTAACGAATTCTGCCAATAGCCCAACTTACAGACCACCACCAAGAACAAAAGAGGTTTTGATTAAAGGACAAACAATTAAATTAAAGTATTGTTTTACATGTAAACTATTTCGACCACCTAGAGCATCACATTGTAGTATTTGTGATAATTGTGTCGACAGATTTGACCATCATTGCCCATGGGTGAGTATAATTGTAATAAAGAAATGGTATATAAAGTTATTATATTTTTTAGGTAGGAAATTGTGTTGGTAGAAGAAATTATCGGTTCTTTTATATGTTTATTATATCCTTAGCATTTCTAGCAGTTTTTATATTTGCCTGTGCTGTTGCTCATCTCATTTTAAGTGAGTACATTTACTAATCAATCAAATGTTAAGTCCTTCATGTACTGAGAAACGTCAATATTGCTAGAATGTTATTTTTTTAGTAGTACTTTATCTTTTGTAAATAAATTTCTGGGATTATACCTATATTTACGACATGCCTTACAAAAATTAAATTATTACTTTTAAAAAAGTAAAGTAATACTTGAAGTTAGAAAGGTATTATTAGTCATGATATTTTTATCTATAAAATTTTGTATTTTTATTATAGGAATAAAAACTTGATTTATTAATGAAAATACTTTTTAAATGTTTATCTAAATCTTAATATCAAATAATTAGAATTTTAATGTTTAATATGTTTATTTTTTAGTGACTAGGGAAGATAAACAATTTTTAGAAGCTGTAAAAGAATCGCCCCCTAGTGTTATTGTTGCTGTTATATGCTTCTTTAGTGTTTGGAGTATTTTGGGTTTAGCAGGATTTCATACCTACTTGACTACTAGTAATCAAACTACTAATGAAGATGTATGACAAAAGATGTTTTTTCAATATTTCTCTTTAATTCTTAATGTTTCTTTTTTGTAGATCAAGGGCTCATTTACAGGAAAAAGGGGGCAAGAAAGTTTCAACCCCTATTCTAGGGGCAATGTATGTTTAAATTGTTTTCATATTTTATGTGGACCAGTTACTCCATCGCTGATTGATAGGTAAACTGAAATATGTAAATATGCTTATTATTTATTCTAAAATTTTGAGTTTTAACGTAATTTATTTCCATATTTAAAAAAGATACAGTTTTAGTAAGCTGATTTATCTTAAATTATAGTATCAATATAACTTATCTGCTTAAATAGAAGTTTTACATTTGGAAGAAAATTATTATTTTTAATGAACTATGTGTTTAATAAGACCTTACTATTATGTTCATTTTTAGAAGAGGAATAGTGACAGAATGCTATAGGTTAGAAATATGCCAGACAACTACTGAAGCCCCAGTGCCTCTAGCAAATTATGGTTTAAAGACCCAAGTAAGTTGAACTTTTATATCTTTTTATAACAATGTAATTATACCGGGTGCGTCTCAAAAGTGCCTCACCCCTATAACTTTTTTATTTAAATATGGGATTTAAAAAATGGGATTTGGTATGTTAGTATATGACATAAATTAAGATTGATCGAGGTTTTCTGTTGGTTTTGGGTCACTTCCTGTTTTACCGGAAATAACAACTTTTGATTTTTAAATAGCACCCTTTCTATTTTTTTACTTTATTCAATAGAAAATGACACTCTGAATAAAATGACATATCATACGTCAACTTTTGACATTCTCGTTTAAAAAAATCGTTGCTTAAAAAAAATCGTAATTTCAATCTAGAGTGCCTTGGCTATGTAAAAAACACTAATTTTTAATCAAGGGGTCTTGGAAAATCCATTTGATCTTCTAATGTTTTTCGTGTCTTTTCCTGGCTGGTTAAAAGATGCCCAAATCGTATTTTAATCATATCTCATTTTTTTCAAATGGAACAAGTGTGGCTCATTAGCATATTTGTAAAAAGCATTTTTTACAAATAATTTGGTACCACACCCTTGGTATTTCGAGTCAAATTGTCGTTACATTTATGGCCATGGCACTCTAAATTGAAATTCTATTTTATTTTAATTGAAAATGTCAAAAATTGACATGTGCTATGTCATTCATTCGTCAGAGTGTCATTTATAAAGGAAAAGTTGTAGTAATTTTCGGTGAAACAGGAAGTGACCAAAAACAATTGAATACGTCAATCAATCCTAATTTATGTCATATCTAACTTACCAAATCTCGTTTTTTATCTGAAAAAATAAAAAGTTATAAACAATATTTAGTAATTATAATAATATACAAAATATTATTTACTTAAATATTATACTCTTTGTGTGTGTGGAAATAATGTTCGGTAGAACACCACATCAAAATATACTGTATATAAATAAACTCTCTGTTTATTTATATACAGGGAGTTTTACTCCTATATAGAGATACATTTATGAATTACACAAAAAAAATATTTTTTTTAGAATGGTCCAAACCATATAACAATGAATTCTACAGAACTGCCGGGGATTTACCGTCAAACGACAGAAATCACAGGTATGTACAGTCCCTTGAAACGTCACTTGTATCGCGCGCAACAAATCATCCCGTCCAGGAATTGCGCCAACCCCAAAGTTATCCCTTCTCAAACGCCCTTCATAGCGCCCTATAACTTATACCAAAGACCAAACATCGCACACAACGGCCAAGCGTATTTCACCGATCAAAGGGTGAAAAATAGCTTCAGTCTACCTCAGTTGAAACGGCTAGACGGATGCGTGGACGAATACTACGATTATGAACAGTACCACAATCCTTACGACTTGAAATTGACCCTGTATCAAACCAATAGACTTAGACATGAACCTCCTCCGCCATGCGTGGACGAAGAACCGTTTACTAGACCGTACACACCCCCAGAAAAACGGTACAATATGTCTACTTTTGGAAAGAATCTACCTGCTTCGACTTTAGAGAGGGTGAGAACTAGAGAGAACAATGTGGGGAGGATGAAACCCAGGCCACAGAGCACTTGTATTTATGAGAACGTTCATATTTCAGCCGACGAATTTTGTACGTCCGCCAAACATGTCCATTTCGAAAAAAATAACGTACAAAACGTCAAAATCGACGGTTATCCCAAACCCGAATTCAGTCAGATGTACGTACAAAATAATTTAAATTGAATACAAAAATAAATTAACCTTTTTTTGGGTGAAATCCATTGATTAAAAAGCTTAAGAAAGGAGTATAGGCTTGGTGCATTTTAGTTGATTTCAACAAATTCCGACCGCTGCGCTTCAACGGAAAAAATCAGAAATTATAAGTACCTACTTCACGCCGCCGTCATGTTAATCGCATTAAAATAATATTGAAATCAATGACTAAAGAATCCAAGGACAAATAACACCCGAGAGCAAATTGTGCCGATGTCACCAAAGAGTGCTGTGGCACATATTTTTCTTAACCTGTTTGAAGCAATATTTATATTTTTTGTTAATTGTTTTGACTACGCCTATGGTGTATTATACTAATTAATTACGAAAAAACGTATTAAAATGTTAACAAAATATACAAAACTAGTATCGACGTATAACACATATCAAGTACATATAGATGTTAATTGAAATTGAAGAATAATTATCGAATTCATTAAGAAAACGCTAAAAAGTTGAAGTGGACTGTTTATTTACCTATGAAACGTAACTCCTGGCTCTTCTTATCGCTGCTGCTTTTACACTTGAAAGCTGAACAACTAATCACCATTGTAATAAAGTTTATATAAAGTTCACTACACACAGACTATTAAAAATCGCTAAAATTGTCGCTGGTGACCAAATGATGACTCATTGTTTGCCATCAAAAGAATGGCCTCTAAGGTCACAAATTCTGCTGCAGCCCGTATATGGGCGTTACATGTCCTTATATTCTTTAGTCATTGATTGAAATCGTGGTTTTGTCATAATATTTAAGTATTTTAGTTTTTTGCTAGTGTAGTTATTGAGACTATAAAACACCTCAGGTATGAGGTTTGTATGACGTAACGCTGTTCGGGTAGTAAAAATAAGTGTTGTGTTGTGACAATTTGAAATGTTAATAAAACTGCCGAAAAGATGTTAACGCGTGAAGGAGAGCGTAATGAGGGCGTTGTTGGGTGCAATAACATTCAATAACTCAACTTTCCCGGATATTCAACTCTCCCGAGACAGCATTTTATAGCTTCATAGTTTCTTAACCAATTTGATCAAAAGCTAAAATGGATTCAGGCAGTTCGACGAAACAAGTGAGTAAACAAAGTGCTCGTTACATAATCAAAAAATTAAATAAACTTATACTATGAGAGGATAAAATATATAATTTCCATTATTAATGGTATACTTTTTTTTTAATGTACTAGTGGTTAAATGTTTTATGAACATCTTCTAAAATTATAATTATTACCTTTAAAAATTTTTGTTATAACCGAAATAGACTCAATTATGCCCAACTAGTAAAACTGGTGATTAAAACTATGCTCGCTACCGTAGTTGAAGTCATCTAAAAAGTTTTTTTAACTGGAATAATAAATTATAATACAAGTTAGACCTTCTGAAGATATTAAAATATTTACTTTTTTATTTTTATTTTTAGAATTTTCACAAATTATACTTCCTAACATTTTTAGAATAATTAAATAATACATTTTTTGTATTCCCGCTATTTAAACTCATGTATTTTTAAGTACTAGTTGTTTACGTTATTCTCCGATGGTGGCAGCACCGGCGGAGAATGCACCAAGCCTATACCATCAACCTGGCGATATCGCGTAGAGGTTTCAATAAAGTTGACTTGAATTTGGGTTACTAGTGGCTTTATAACAAAAATATGTATACGCTGTTGAAACAACTAATGCCTATTATTAATCTGTATTATTATATATGTCAGTTCACAGACATGAACATGAATGTCATTTCAGATTTCTCCACTTGCAACTAATTATAAAATTAACAAGAAATACTAGAAATAAACGTGATAATGATATAAATATTAATATCATGTCTGTTATAATGAGAAATATAATATACTGAAATTTGTCAAGAGAAAAGCTTCCGTTTTTAATGTATGATTGAAAAAATAATATTTGAATCCATACTTAGTGCGTGGCCCCACATGAGGCGTGTGGGAGAGCGGAGAGGACCGCGAAGCGTTTAAACGCATTGAAGTAAATGGAAGTGGCCCCACATACAGGCGAAGCGTATTGACGTGTATTTTACTTTTTATTGTACGGTACGCTCTACGCGTCCAGCTATGCTGAGCCACGACTTTAGTCTTTTTATTCAGTGGTGAAATCAATCTAAGCAATAATATTCATTCAAGCCTTAATAAAATATTGAAATATATTTTCTAAATTCATATTTAAGAAATTGCAAATTGGGAACATTGGGTTAAAATATGAATACGGTGAAACTTTAATGACAATTTTCAAGAATATTTTGTTTCTATCAATATTGGTGTCATTAAAGTCTCTTTAATACTTTAAAAGCCGACAATAAACATGTGGTATAGTAACTTTTGCTGTTATAGTTTTCTAAATATTGTATTTCAAAAACTATAGATACTCGATATTACTAAACTCAAGATATTTTAAAAATTTTGCGAATTTGCAAAAATATGGGAGTAAAGGGTAAAGATATAATATTCTTTTTTTAAGTATCTATTACCGTTTAATATTTATGACTAATTTGCCCACGGCCACACAGAAAGCGTTTTTTGCGTTTTAGCGTGAAGCGTCTTTAGCGACTAAAACAAAATACACTAACGGGATTATATAGGAGTGGCTACACCAAAAGCGTGTAGCTTTCGGCGTGTCTCGCAAAAAACGTAAATGAAAACAAATCAGTTTGTTTTCTTTAGCGTCTTTAGCGTTTTCTAAGATGAGACCCCGTCATAGGCGGACGTTATATTTAATAATACAATAAAAATAAATTAAATAGTATGCATTTTTTCTTCATTTTAGGGTATTATCTAAAAATATTTTTATAAAGGACATCTACTGTTAGGAAGATTCTATTAAATTCAAAAGTTTGAAGGAAATATTTGAAAAAGTGTAGTTTGAAATGTTGAAAAAGTAATAAATTAAAGGAATATTTTCTTACGCGTAAAAAATAGTTTTTTTATGCGTAAAAAGTGTTTTTTTTGCGTAACAAAAGGTTTTTTACCAGAAACAATAAGTTTTGACGCGTAAATAAAGAGTTTTTTTACGTGGAACAAATAAATTTTTACATGTAACAAATAGTTTTATACGCGTAAAAAATAGTTTTATACGCGTAAAATAATAAAAATAGTTTTTTACGTGTAACAAATGTTTTTTTACACGTAACAATTGGATTCACTTTTATCCTTTTACAAAATTTGTATTAAAATATCAATATTTTTGATAAACACGTGGACTGCTTCACGCTCTAATGTAAAATTCGTAAAATAAATAATTATTATTTTTACACACACCACTGGCACTAGCAGTAGATTGTGTTTGTCGCCGAATCTATGCCCCGGCCCGTCCACAATTCAATCCCAGCATCTTTTAACTTTGTCTCTTCAACGCTAACGGCGCCGATCTCGCCTATCACTTTCTCACAGGATTGATTGTTGGACGAGCCGGGAATCCACGAGCTTGCGACTTTACTAATTGACATCTTGATAGAAACTGCAGACCTGCCGCGTCTTTTGCGTGTCTTTAATGGATACAAATCGAAAAAAGCGCTTAATACGGTAAAATCGCAAAAAGCGCTTTAGACGCAAAACGCTTTCTGTGTAGCCGTGAGCTAGACTTTTTTGTATCCCAAAGGTTGATATGACTTAATAATTAAATGAGTTAATTAAATGATAATTATTTATTGAATTAAATGATATATAAACTTTTACTACAATGTCAATCAAAATAAACTCTGTCCAGCCGAGTCCAGCGAGGAAAGGGACGATTACACAGACGTCCCCTAAAAACTGACAGAAAAAGAGATTATTACTCTAAAGGCTCTCATCTCTCTCTGAAGTTTAGAATGAAACTTATCAAAAGATAATTTTCTAACCTAATTGGGACCTCAGCAACAAATTTATATAAAAAATTTCATAAAATTATTGAATGTTGTTTTAAATCTTTTTAATTAATGTTTCTGTTTCATTTATATGATTTGTACAGAAAGGATAAACGTTTCTTTTCTGTATTTATCTCATTATATCATTCCATTCATACCATTTAAGGGCTTCCTTAATCTATGATAAACATCTTAGCATTTTTACATTGTTTAAATGTTTAAATTATTGTCAATGTGCTTCTATATTTAATGAGCTTAATCAAGCAAATTTTGTAACAAATTTTTATATCTAGCCTGTGGTACAGAAATGTTGCTATTTTGTAACAAATTTAGTAGGATTTGTTAAGGTTTTTAAAGTAATTATTAATTGAAATCTTTGTGATAATTGAGTGCGCTGAAAATTATAAATATATATATATATATATATATATATATATATATATATATATATATATATATATATATATATATATATATATATATAAAATTTGTTTTTGTCAGTATAGTGATTAAAATGTGATTTAAAATATGTTATAATGACATTGGTATAATTATAAGAATAGAATTTTTATTAACATTTAAAATGTATGTTTGATTTCAAAGAGAGTGCATGAAAAACGATTTCAATGTTAGATTCAAACACAACTTTATTCAAATCAAATATGCCATTTGAAACTAAACACGATAGTTATTGGCTTTGGTAGATATATAAGTTCTTGTTACAATTATTTTAGTAAGATACATTTTTTTTTGTTTAAATGGGCTTATTTTTTCCGCCTTGCATTTCATTGGTGGAGGTAAATGGTCTATGGTTTTGTGGGCTCACTATCATTGGTGGTAAGTTGTTTGAGCATGAGTTAGATTTTTTAAGCTTCACTCTATCATCTTTGCATTATATTATAAGACTGTACTAAGATGATAATAATTTGAAAAAAATAATTTTATTTTTTTGCATTGGCTTATAAGTATATTGGTACTTTGAATGTCTTTAGGAGCTTTATATTGAGTTAAAATTGTGTCAGTGGTTTCGTGAGATGAATATTGTGTGGCTTAGTTTTATTATTTTATCTGCTATTTATTGGATTTATTCATTGTATTTAAACATTTTTTTCATTATTCTTACTGGTATGTAGACACTGATTCTGAAAAGTTTTTAGTCTTGTCTAAAATATTTACTAAGAGCTTTTGTCTTTGTGCATTAATGTTATTCCAAAAAGTTTACGAAAATATTCAGTGTTAAAATAAAAAACAAATACCGTATGATCGAAAAGAAACGGCGCACACTGGTCGATTTTCGTCGAAATGTGGCAAAACATATTTTGCAACAAGAAAATAACCTGAACGTTAAAAATCTGTGTTTCTAGTGTTTTTTAATCAATTTGGTCAACAAATTTTAGCATGCACAGGGTGTTCACAGTTAAATGGACCCCTCCTAATTAATAACTTTTTAATTTGACGTTTGGAAAAAAAGTGTTCAACATAAAAGTTTAATGGTTCAATGGATTTTATTAAAAAAATATTTTCACTTATATTCATTTTGGTTATACAGGCTTGAAAATTCATAAAACCAAAACTAAAACTTGATCCAAAATAAAAAAAAAATAAAAACTAAAATTATTTTAGCATTTTCAAAATTTTGGCAGGGTGCAATTTTGTTTGGGAAAGGGACAGTGATTTTAATTAATTTAATTAATTTAAATTTGGTCATATATTAAGAATGAAATGACCTTTCAATTAAGATATTACTTAACCTTTTTTTATTTAGTTTTTTTCAAAATGGCGTCCAGCTATCTTTTTGACATTTAACATAAAATAATATGTCAAAAGATAGTCGCTTTGGTATCTGATGAAAAAGTAATAGGAGTGAACCATTTTTAAAAAACACCCGGTATACCATATATTCTACCTTTGTTAATATGGTTTTTGAACGCTTATTGGAATTGATTATTACATAAACAATCGCACTTAGTAAATTTTCCATTGAGAACCTCCTCTTAGACGCTTTAAAAATACTAAAATCAGTCCATTTTGATTTCAGAAAGTAACGCGGGTAGCGTAACGCATCTGGTTTCGAGCGAGCACCCCCTGGCTGTAGCCCCAGCACTTCAAAGACTGTCCGAAGACTCGTCCAGCCACTACAAAAGCCAACCTAGCCTTAATCACTCCCCAGTTTACAACAACGTTCTCCCAACTGTTCAGATCATGAGTAAATCGCGCAGTTACGCGGAAAATATGAACAACGTCGAACAATCAAAGACCGCAGTGGATGACGACCTCCATTTAGATCCCGTCATACTTAGAGAAAGTCATATGTTGGCTCAGATCAACGAAAAAGCCAAGTATCCAGAGCTAAAAATGGATAACGACTTGACGGTTTCGGAGAAAGAGAACAACCTGATGAGCGCTAGTAGACTGAAACTGTTGCAGGATACGACGATGATCGAGAGCGCGTTGGATCTTGATTCGCTAGAAGATTCGAGCGTGGGGGCCAATAGCCAGGCAGGGTTGATGAAAGTACTGGTTTAGCAGCTTTATTAAGGAAGTAAGAAATTTATTATTTTTTGATACGCGTATAAAAGATAAATGAAACGTTCAAGAGCTTTAAGCCCACAAAAATTTATACATAAATATATTATAAGTATAAAGTTCAGTTTAGCAACTAGGTCTTATAAATATAGTGATAATATTGAAAATATTTATTTTTGTATAGTAGATTAAGAAGAAACAAAATAGCGGTTGTAAAAGAGAGCGGGACTCGCGTTTTACATATTAATATTTATTCCTTTACCGCAACCATTCTCTAATTTTAGCATTTTTTGTATATATATAAAGATATTCTCTACCTATGACATAATTATGCTGTAATATTTGTCACAAATTTACAATAAGTAGTAATGTCTAAGTTATGTTATATGTTTATATTTATTTTCATATTGCAGTTAGAATTTATTTTTTCGCATATTATTTATAAAAATCAAATTGTTTAATTGATCAATTTTTACCGTCAAACAATATTTACGGTGTTGCGCAATCTATGTAGCAATTAGTTGGTATTTGTTCGCTAAGACATAAATTGGATAAAAAGTATTTTTACACTTTAAACCTTAAAATGAAACTTAATGCAGCTTTTGGCTTGTGATCTTGGAAATAATTGAGCGTCCGGATTGCACAACGACCTTGTGGCGCGTGGCCGCGGGCAGTCCAGTAGGCAAGCGAGACAGCGACGCGCCGATTTAATAAAATAAATAATTTTAAACTTGCCGTCATTTCGTTAATAATTATCGTATCGTGTTGATTTTTGCATAGAAATACTCATGAATCTTTAGCGCTTCCGACAAGCCTAAATAACTGGATTATTTTTTATATTTTCGATTTGTTTACATTGCTCGAACATATTATAACTTTGAGATAGAAATCTCTGTTATAAATTTTAAAAATGACACATATGAATACTATCATTTAATTAGTTATACATTTAGTTACAAGTTTTTATATTCAAAACTTAGGTCTATCGGTTTATGCTAGCAGTAATAACGAGTATAAATAAAAAAAAATGGTCAATACAACGCTCGCCGTTTTTAGCGCACGTTCAGCTTTGGGGTTATTTTTAGCGCTATTTTGACAGAAAATAAATTCTGAATTTTGATCAAATGACAAGAACATTATCATTGCCGATATCTCTTGGTCATAGATAAATGAAACAAGTTTAGATTGGAAAGCCCGTAAAAATTTTGGGTCGCGAAATTATTTTGGGTCGCGACCGTTATACGCGATCTGGCGCTGCTATAGCGGTCGCTAAGAACAACTGCAAACAAAAACAGAAATAATTTTCTCTTGTCAAAGTCAGAATCTTCAAAAATCATAATAATCTTTCAAAATCTAAACTGCTCTCATTAAAGAAATTCCGAAAAGTGTTTATAGCGTCCATTTTCAAAGTAATAATTGCTATCTTGTGAGTTTAATTCAAGTTTTATTTACTCCAACCGGTGATAATTGTGAAAAAGTGGCATTAAAAACTTAAAAAGCTGTGCTATGAACTGTGAACTGCAAAAACCATCGTGGATCGTGGCATAACGTCGGTTTCCAATGTTTCATAGGTATTTCATACATGCGTCCTTATATAAAATAAAGTTTCTTGTATGCAACACACTGTCTTTTATTTATAAAATTAAACGAAAATAATAATAAATTTGAATAAGCAATATTTGGCGATATAATTCCGGAAAAAGCCGAACCGCTCCGAAATTTTCAAAAGTTTTGGGTCGCGACCGTTGCAAGAATAGCGCCAAATAGTGTTTACATTGTCCTTATGGGCACTTTCCAATCTAAACTTGTTTCATTTATCTATGCTCCTGGTTATAATGTAGTTCTTTTTTCAAAATATTGCATTGTTTTAGCTTAAAAACTTGAATTATGCGGCTTTTTTGCGAGAGCTTGTAGTAGCTTGTATTTAGGCTTGTCGGAAGCGCTAAAAACTCATGAGTATTTCTATGCAAAAATCAACACGCTACTATAATTATTAACGAAATGACGGCAGGTTTAAAATTATTTATTTTGTTAAATCGGCGCGTCGCTGTCTCGCTTGCCTACTGGGCTGCCCGCGGCCACGCGCTAAGGTCGCTGTGCAATCCGGACGCTCAATTGCATTAATATTAATTAATTAACATTATAAAGTAGGGGTACATAATATACAAAAAATGACATTGATATATTTTTAGACTGCAATGTAAAAATCACGCCAAAAGCTGAAAGCTGACTACACGAGCTAACCAAATAATGATAATATTATTTCTAGTTTGTTATACAGTATGATCATATAAATGAGTGTGATTAAGTAAACCATCAAATTTCATTTTTGAGTTACATATAGTTCTGTGTTATTACTGTTATTACTGTATCTACTACCTGTTATCTACCTGTTCTTGTTAAATATTATAAATATGTTTTTATAAAACTTATAATGACCATTGACAACTAATACCGTATATGAAATATCTATCTATGGGTCCATATGTTATTACAATATAATACCTTAGATTTAAAATACAACTGGAAAGGTTGAATGTTTATTTATTTATACAGTATGTCCCCGGATTGTCTTTACAAGAGAATAAACTTTATTATTGACATTTGGACAAAAACGCATTCTTTATAAAATATTTTGCTTGTTCTAAAACCGATTATACTTTTCCAAATTTTCATATCGTTTTGGAGAAAATTAAAAAAAAACATGAAAATATAATTGTCCTAAAAATCATAGTAATATATTTTTTTCTCAAAATGTCAATAATAAAAAACCTTTATGTTTCCTTTTGTAAAGACACTCCGGAGACATACTGTATACAGACTATAAATAGATGGACCTACAACAAATTGGATAATTTGTATACAGTATGTCGCATTGAAAATGCAGTTTCATGGCCTACTTCATTACATTTATTTTCAATCATACGGTATCTCTTCACATGTTGATATTTCTAATTGATCTCCTTATTAAAAATGTAACATCATCAATGTTTCTTTAGAACATAAACTTTGTATAAACTCATATTCAGTGCATCACAAATCACAGGTACCTACATATATAATGCTGTTTTTAAGATTAAATATATATAAACAAGTGATATAATTTTGCTCATCAGCTGTACAAAATTATGGCACATTTTTATACAGAATTTGTTTTTATTAACACCTAGCATTGCTACAATATGTAAATAATACAGTTGTTATGAATTATACTAATCCTAATTTATTATAATGATGGTTTCTCTATGACAAATATTTTTTGTATTAACTTCAAGTACCATTTTTAAGAAAATTTTTGCTAGTATAAAATTATTATGTTTGTGATTTAGTTTATTTTTGAAATGTATAGATAGATTTATTCCTATTAAAAAAATTATCCTGAATCAAAAAATTTTATAATCATGGCAGTTTTTTTTTGAATTTTGAACAGCTCAATAATTTTAATACAAAAAGTTGTTTCTGTACAAATAGTTCAAAGCCTTTTCAATAATTATATTATAATAATTTGATCTTATGTACATATAAAATCAAAATTTTCTCAGTGATAAATTGAAAGCATTTTATTTAACTGTTTGATGATAGGCAACATAATATATGCTTCCAAGACTTAATTTGATTGTGAATTTTGTTATAAATAAATGTAGACTTTAGACGTTGTATTATTTTATATATATTATAGGAGCCAGGAGCGTCATCAATATTTTGCCGTCATCAATAATTCAAAATATTATTTTATATTTGATAGCAAATACAAATATCTAAGCTTTCGCACGTGATTACCGAACCGACGAATCAGAAGCAAGGGGCGGTCCCTATGCAGGCGCGTAACTGATGACGCTCCTGGCTTCTTAAACTGCGCCCACTGTATATTAAACCCATTAAACCTGTTCCCAGGCTCCCACAAATAATTTATAAAACAAACTAACCAGGAAAGGCCTGTTTTTTGGAAAACAGCCAAGAAAAGACACACATGATATGCCACAAATCCATAATTCTGAATTATTAGACTTCGCAGATTTGAAAAAATGTGTAAATTTAACTATATATTAATAAATATAAATTTGAAAACGTTTTAGAGTTACCTTAGTTTAACTCGCTAAGTACCGTATGATCGAGAAAAACGGCGTCAACGATGGCTATGAAATGTAGATCGCTTATAGCTAATAATGATCGCTAGATCCTTGCGCTAGATCATTTTATATGTAAATTTATATAGGAAATGTCATCGATCGTCATTTCCCAGCCAACTGGAAGCCGTTTTTTTTTCGATCATACGGTATCAAAGTACGGTATTTATCTAACAAATTTGTTGGATATAAGGCAAGAAAAACACTTATTACTAGTTAATAAAACTGATTTTTGGTTGAGTGGCTTAACATGTTATTTCAAGAAGCCCTTCAACTGTTAAAATGTATCTGAAATCGTAATTTCAAATTGGAGTAATGGGATGTCTAAAATAACGACATCTAGTTCCGATATAACCGGAAGTACCACTCAACCATCTTGAAAACGAGGCGAATTTTTTGGCGGCAACATAATGTTTCAAATTTTCATGCTATTCTGAATTCGGATTATTCTAAAATTTAGCTACTTTTCCGTGGTACTTTTTACGATAAGATTTGGATTGATTATCGTTCATTCCATCAATCATTGTCCTTACCAATCTACATTCTACCTGTGCATTCTACATATAAAAATCCAATATTATATTATTAGCGATAAAAGTATCAAAATATTTGCTTAAAAAATCTAATAATGGATGTCAATCATGAAATGATATGCTTAATCCTTAATTATATATGATATGTATTGTTGGTTATCGACATACAAGCCGTGATACAAGCGTTTACAGGCTTTGACAGTTTATGGACAGTTTGACACACTTTGACAGATTATCGCTGTTTTTATCGTATTTTCGATCACTGGTTTTTAAAGGTCTAAATTTAAAAATTAAAGTTGTAACGTCTTCGTGTTTTATTCCATATTTAATTATGAGAAAAGGCATTTAAAATGTCCTTCGATGTAGTGAAATCTATAGAATTCTTCCAACCGCCTTTTCAACAACTACCGCAAGAAGTTTTAGACGACGATGCATTTGAAGGTTAGAAAATCATAATTATTTTTGTATTTTAGATAAATATGATGTTAATATTATTTAAATTATGATAGATTTACCAATACTAGGAGGTATTTTGTCCGATTTAAAACACGCATGGCAAGCAAAAGGTTCGTGTTTAGAAATCAGGAATATTCTAACAGGCCGAAAAATAGGATCATGGATATTTGGTGGAATATTAAAAGATTCAAATACAAGAATTGTTGCAGTCGATGAAGTTAAAAGGTCTCAAGGACGGTTGTCCCTTTTAGTTGTTGGATTAGAATGTACTATTAGTGGAGGTCTTATTTGTATTTTTGATATTTTCGGATCAAAAGTTTTAAGAGTTATCCAAGTAAAGAAACAGGTAGATATATAAGATATAAATTCCAATAAATAGTAAAGCCTTTCTTTTAATTAATAGATCACAAGTCTTCATGTCATTCATTCAGAAGACCCAGTTTTATCAGGACCAAGTCCATTGAAATATTTTGATGGTGTAATTGCTATTGGCACATTGGGGGGAAATGTATTTTTATTGGATATGTGCCAACAGATATGTGAAAATGGTTAGATTTACATATTTTATTGATAATATTTATTATTTATGCATTCATTTTAGCTTTATGTAATGATAATATTGCTACTATAAGGGATGAGTTAAATCCTTGTCAGATGACCATTCTAAGACATGATAAAATAGGAAGTATAAAGAAATATGTAGAACATGCTGTTGAAAATGATGACCATTTAGCTGTACCTTTAAATGGTAATATTTTACTTTATACATCTGCGCATACACATTTAATACAAATTTATTGTAGTTGTAATAAACCCGTCAACTGAACATTTTACATTGAAAGGAGAGAAGGGAGAAGATAGAGTACATGTTGACAGTAGTGAAGCTCAAGTAAGTTCACTATTTTATTCACCTCAACTGGCTTCACTCTTAATTGGATATAATTTTGGTGCTTTTCAATTATGGGATTTGAGGTAAAGTTTTGTAAATCTTGTAACATATTTTATTTATTATTGCAAAATATTTTTAGAACTTTGGATCTTATTTATACTTCTCCTGTATGCGAAGACCACATTCCTGTGACACATTTTACAGTTCAGGAACCTGCAGATGATCCAAAAGCCTATTGTTATATATGGGTTTCGTACAGCCATGATATTCTGTTTCATTCGGGGCTTCCATTTGCAGTGATGTATTCATTTTATTACGATACAAAGAAGTATTTAAGTGATTATGGTTATTTGTATGATGTAAGATTCAAATTTAAGCTTAAATAAATTTTTGTTTTATAAATTTTATTTTTTCTTGTAGGACTTTCAACATTGTTCTATAAGGTTTCAATTAGAATTAGGAGAAGCAGGAATGCCAACTTATAAGTCACGAATCAAAGGTGGTAGTTGTATGGGCATTCATTCGTTGACTAAGAATCCTATTAACAAAGATCTGAATTCTTTATCTTTATGCTTGATATCTTGGTTTGTGTGGAATACTAATAGAGAAATTTGTACCTTTATCTTACTATTTGATTTGAATCAATGGTACAAGGAGCAGATGCCTAGTAAGTATTATTATATACTTTTTAAAGTTTTAGGTTCATTGTTTTTGTTTTAGATTCACCAAACTGGTTGGAATGCTCAAACTACCTAATAAAGCAAACTATTGAAAGTAAATTTCTTGATATAAGACTAGATCCGAAATCATTAGATCAGTTTATTGGAGTTCAGAGATTAGAGGAACATTTTTGCCCAACAGCACTTACTTTTGGTTCTTATTATATCTTTATTGTATTAACTGTATTTAATTTCTTCATGTTCTAGATTTGTGGTGTTTGTCTGAGAATGAAGTATCAAAGGTGCTTAATAAAGGGCTACAAAAATCTTTCATAGATGATATTCAAAAAGAAGGACCCTTAATCTTACTTAAACCAGATGATATTTTTGGGCAAGTAATTTCTTTAGGACTCACGCCGTTATTTTGTGAAATGACTTCAAGTCTTTGTGAAGATATGGTAAGTAATTTCTTCAAATTGTATATAATAAAAAGAGAAATGAAGTTACACTCATACCTAGTGTTGTAATAGAGAGGATGTTCCTATTTTTGCCTAGAGAATGTTTGGGAACATGTTCAACGTTTTCATATAACAATATATGAACAACGTTTTCATATAAGAGCATGTATGAGCATAAAGAACGTTCCCTATAAACATTTTTTACATTTCTTAAAGTGATTCTTCATTTTTGAATCTAAATAGTATAAACTTTTTACAAAAATAGTATTTTCTCTATAGTATTTATAATCCACCATATTATATAAACATTTAGCAAGCGACATAACACCATGAAAAATATGGCCCGTTTTTGTCGTCGAAATTAGAAGTTTGGGGATTCCCCAGTATTTGGTGATTTCTCTATTATATATTTAGCTACTTATTTGCTGTATTAATTTACACATTGCAGTATTTAGTGTTAGTTATAAATATGTCCAGTGTTGTGTACTCGTTGTTTTTAATGTTGTCCCAACCGCTGCCACCAATGTTATACAGGGTGGTCCGAACTGTATTCCGGAAACTTCGGCAGCATATTCTGCAGATAAAAATAAGTAAAGAAGTTTGAATAAATATATGTCCTAAATTGCTGAGTTTCGGAGATACAGGGTGTAGGGTTTGGTTTGGTTTGGATTGTGTACATGAAAGTTTTATTTTTATTTCGATTTTTTTTCAAATAATTTCGGAAGTAACGCCAATATTTGAATGAAAATTGGTGTCTGGGAGTTTTTTGCCGTGAGAAATTTGATTTTGATGTCATTATGACTCAATTGAGCAATTTGTTGCTCCTATTTGTAGGGGGCGCCATATACATGTGATTTAGCTGTTTTGAAGAGTAATAACTTTTTGTCCGTACCTGTATAAAACTACTGAGTGAAAAAATATACATTTCCGTGATTTTTTACGTAAAAAACGTCGTAAATGTATATTTTTTTACTCAGTAGTTTTATACAGGTACGGACGAAAAGTTATTACTCTTCAAACCAGTTAAAAATATGTAGGTAGCGCCTAACCTAACCTCACCTCTACAGGTAGGAGTCATATTGACATCAAAATCAAATTTCTCATGCCAAAAAACTCATAGACATCAATTTTCATCAACATATTGACGTTACTTCAGAAATTATTTACATGAGCACTTATTACAAACATTTATATGAACTTTTTTACTTATTTTTATCTGCAGAATATGCTGCCGGAAGTTTCCGGAATACAGTTCGGACCACCCTGTATAACCAAAGCTGTTTTAATGTTGGAAACCCAATTTGTTGTTAATACAGCTTTCCATTTTTCTCCACAACAATAAGAAAAAACGAGACAATTCGAAATAAAGTTTAAGAAAGTAAAGTGATTGATTTCATAACCTGTTTTATTGTGGTAATTAGAATGTCTCGACACTTTCTCATTTTTATTCGTTTATTCTCGTTATTGACGTTTTGTTCTCCGGGAACGTTCTAAAAAATACATTCTCCAGCATTTTACAACACTAATGACCGACGTGACCGTAACTTCATTTCTTATACTTTATAATGGAAAAAAAGTCTATACCTTCTAAATGTCTAATATCTTTTGATAACATACACCTAATAATTTTACATACAATTATTACTGATCGGCATTTCTAAGTTAAAATGACGTCGTTTTTTTTTTTCATGTGGTATGTAGGAATTTGTTGGTGATATTGTTTATTTTTTTAAGGAATACCAACGTGAAGTTTTACTAAGTGTAGCATTGGAGCAAAGACTAATAGGCTGGCTTTGCGAATGCAGTTTTAAATTGTCTACAAATTCGTTTTCTTCTTCCGGTCTGAGCTTGTTCAATTTGACAGAGTGGGCGTTTCAGCGAGCGCTGACACTCAAGAACGCCTGCGACAGTTACTGCATCTCTCTGTTTGATCATTCCGGCTCTAAGCTCGATAACAACATAATAGCGATACTGAACAGCAGTGTCAGCCAGATAAAGGATCTTTGTACTTTGTACAATCATATTATTGTGAATCTTAGGCGATTTGTGTCAGAAACGGAACATTTAGCGGCTGAACAGTATTCTCTAAAAAATGTAGTGAATTATTTCGAGGTGCTTCTGTGGATGGTTAATATTGGTTTACTGCCCGAGTGCAATCCCGAAAAAGTACATTATTTGGATAATAATTACTGGAGCGCGCCATATTTAGCTGAGAGTTTAACAGAATATTATAACAAGAAACGAGCGCATTTACAGTTGGTTTCGCATGATACTTTTGTGGAAAAAGATTGCCTTTTGTATATAGACAATTTAATTAATAATAGTGGTAAGTTGAATTTTGTTTTTATCTACATATTAAAAATTTAGGCCTCGAACACACTGACGACCAGGTCGCACCGGCCAGGCTGCAGCTACCTCTAAAACCATTAAATCAAATGATATAGCGCACACTAACGTCCTGGCCGTCCGTTGGTCGTTGCGACCAGAAGACTGCACGGAAATATTATTATTTTCTGCCGCTTGTTGCCGGTTTTCTTCCAAATTAATAATTTTTCAGATGAAATCCCTCAAATTCAAGGCACAATATTTTATTTTCTATAAGATATAGTGTTTTAGTGTAGTTTTTGCACACGTGCAGAAAATCCAAAGAAATAGTATACAGACTGGATCAAAGGTAAACTTAAATCTAATCCCTTTTTTTATCAAGGGCCGATTCTAGTAAAAACTCAAAACATTTTTATATGACATAGCTACTCTATTTATGGTTGGTATGATACCTGTTATTATACCTTTGAGTTTCGATGTTAAAAAATAAAAAAAATTATATTTAAAGTTTTTTTAGTTGTATTGTAGTCATGTACAAGGAGGACAACTGTATTTTAAATATTATATTTGATTTAACGTTTTTCAAACAGGGTTCATTAGACTATATTTCTACTAGGCACTAATGTACCTAGTAGAAATATAGTCTAAAAAGTAACTTTTTAAATTTAATTACGTTATAAACGTACGATTAAAGTTACTTTCTTAATTAGAAAGTAACTTAAACATTCATAAAAATAGAAGTAATTACTGTTGTAGATTCTTCGTTATATTGTAAACATTGAAATAACTGGAAGCTAAACTTTCTACCTGCTTATATTTAGAGCCAGTGTCTGACGATCTTTTTTACGATGGCCCTAATATGTTTACTTCTAAAGTCGATAAGGGCGCCATATCAGTAGAAAAAAGAAACAGAATATCTCCCTTTTTGTCGGTCGCGCGTACACAATGCTTTTTGTTTGTTGTGAATAGCAACTTCGCTTTTTAGTTAACTCGGATATTTTAACATTTCTGAAACAATATTTTCTAATTGGTAAAACGTAAAAAATCGTTAGATTTGACAACTCTATCACACCTACTATACGCAATAATTCTACTGAATTATTGTCTATATACAGGGTATGTCAAGAAGTTTTGCAACAAATGGGAAACATCATTAAAGAGTTATCAAAGAAAAGTTAATGTGGACTCATTCCAGCATTCCCCATTAATCAAAAAATCATTTTGACATCTATGGCCACCAAAAATGGTGGCAAATTAAAAAAACATTTCCAAATTCAGAAAGTGGAGTAGATTACAAAATATTAAAAAAAAACGTCAACGAGAAGTACTTTTATTTTCTAACTCTATGAGAAGTACCAATACCGCTACAATTCGTAGTATAAGAGATTTGTTCATAATATTATTTTACTTGTATATACAGATTTCCAAAATATACAGGGGCTTTCAAAAAATACATTTTTTTGGTTATTCAATTTTTTTTCAAGAATACATATAACGAAGTAAAGCGTTTCATTTAATTTAATACAATAATTATTTTTATAATTGGGCATGTTCATTTCAGTCATATAATTTTTTTGATAACTCAAAATTATTTTTTCCTACTGTTGGGTGATTTTTGGCACACCCTGTATATCATATATTTAATTTTTTATAGGATCAACAGTTTTGAGACAGCAATGGCAAGAAGATGGGGGCGGTGGACTATACCCCGCCCCCTCATTGCAATCAGTTTTAAGAACTTATTTATTAGAAGGGCCAGACATTTTATTTAAACACTCCTTGGTCACATATACCTTGTTAGATATTGCCACTACAGTGGATGAGAATAATAAGGTTAATAATATAAATATTTGTGATAAACGAGATAACCAAACATACATTTGTAGATTGTGAAATTACTTTTAAAGTTTCCACAAATTTTCGACTTAACTCAGAGCAATATTAAAATTATCCAAGCTTTTTGGCACTTAGATCATGACGATTACGAAACAGCTTTAGAATATATCTTAGATCCTTGTGTGTTGGCTGAAGATCTTCATAAATGGCACCATTCTGTAATGATTAGGTCTCTTCTAATGCAAGAACAATTCAATTTGGCTCTTGTATATTTGCAAGTAAGTTTTTATACATGTTTTATTTTTTATTTGAAAAACTATTAGAGACAGGTAGGTATAGGTTAGTATAATAGAAAAATTATGAGATATAAAAGTAGTTTCCAAAAATGTAATATGTCGTGTATTCCATTTAAAATAAGAAATATGTTACCACTTTTTTTATGATGCGGCAACATTGTACAAATAATTATATGGAGCAGGTGCCTCTTTGTAAAAATTCAAATTTTCAAAAAAATTCTCTCACCGGTTTTCCATAAACGTCTAACGTACCATCGCCGTGAATCGCCCTGTATACTTTACAATAATATTAACTTAATAATATAACTGATTAACTTCGAATTTTTAGATTAGAAAACCTTCCATTCAGGATGAAAAGGATCTCTTTACCGTTGTTAGTCTTCTTGTATCAAAAAACATGCTTGACGAAGCCTTCAAGTTTAGACAGCAACATCAAATCATAAACGAACACGCCTTACTAAAGCACATTTTCAGCGAGTGCAACAAATCAGAATTGCTTCATTCGATTTTGTATAGATGTCTCAATAATGAAGAGGAAAAAGCTTTCTTTAGATATCTTCAGAGTACAAAAAGTTCCAGATGCGAAGATCTTAAGGTGTTTTATTTTATACTGAGATCTAGATTTCTTGAAGCTTTTGATAGTTATTCGTCAACGAAAAGAACAAAGCCTGAAAACCAAGGTTTAATAGGTCAGAAAGATGCCTCCACAGCCGATAATGTTATTAAAATGTTTAAAACGCTTTTACCCGATGTAAACAGGAATTTAGTTGAACTGGTACGTAAAGAAAGAACAAATCTATGGAAAGAAGTGAGCAAACCTACACCTCTATCCGTGTTTGTGCATAATACAAATGACCAAGTGCATTACAAGTCCAGTATTATTTTTGCATCTCTGGCAAAGGCAAAGCAAACTTTTAACCATTCTGTAGTAAATAACGATGTTAAAACAGAAGAAACACCATTCTTGAGAACTCCTACGGTGTTTAAGAGCGTTTCTAAAAAGGAAACGCCTTTAGTTCAATTTAGGGTTTGTTTCTATGAAAATATTTTATGACAATTATTATTAGCTTTGTTTTAGGTGATTGAACAAAACGAAGATCAAGACGAATACTGTCCCTCGCCTTGCAAAAAACTCAAATTGTCTCCTAGGGCCTCTAAAAGGAGTCCTACAAAGTCATTTTCAACTAGTTTTCATTCAAAACTGAGTACTCCAATAGTAAAAAGGAAGAAGTTTTCTATTGAACCAAAAGATTCAAGTAGTACAAGTTTCCCTCAAAGTATATTGAAAAATAGTTCCAAATCTGTGCTGGATGATTCTATATTCAATGAAACGACTTCGACAAATATTTCAGCACAGATACAGTGTGAAAATTCATTTAGGCGGTCAAAATTAGCATTGATGCCTAGAGAATCTATATCTAAGTAAGTTACTTAATAATAGTGTTATTAATTTAGAAAAAAATTCTGATAACTAAGTAGTTGTATCGAAGTGTGGGGAGAAGTTTAGTGCGTCATTGGGTTTTATACTGTCCTGATTTATGAACTATCTGTAGATACAGCTGTCTGGTGACCCAGCTTCCGAAAAGGCCCTATATCGTTCTTGTGGTTAAGATTTTTATGCCCAATCAATTTTATAAACTATTCAGGCAGTGATAACGTACCAATTTAAAACCAAATCAAACCAAAAACGTCACAAAGTACCGGAAGGGTGAAAGCTACCCCCACCCCTACATGAATTTTAGTATAAATATTGTCCAACTCCACCGACGACAGATTTTTTTTGTAAAATGGTTCCTCTAGTATTTACTACATTTTTGTCTATTCAAACAACGCCACATTGCATAGTTTTTGAGATTTTTTTTAAGAATTTATTTTTCTAAAGCAGACCTACAAAATAGATAGGAGTTACCCAATATTTCGTGGTCATAGAACAACTATGTATGCTTTGAATTAAAATAAGTTAATTACACACAATTGACGTTTATAAAAAGTGCTTCGTTTGTCCGTTAGAGGACATCAAGCTAAAATAAACCCCAATGTTAATAATTTAAAATTTACTATTTTTTTTAAGCTTTTCATGAAGCTTATTATCAAATATAATTTGTGACACTAACATAAAACTCCATATTTTCGCCAATTAGATTATAAGCGCATAATAGATACATAAATATGTAGCTTGATGTGACGAGAAACATTTTCTGGAAGTCAGATAAGATTTTTTTTCCTCTATTCTCAAAAAGATTGCTGCGTGGTGTTTTTTTTACAAGAAACAAAAAATATAGTAAATACAAGAAGGACCATTTTACGAAAAAAATCGGTCGTCGGTTGAGATGAAAAATATTTATAGTACTGTAGGGGTGGGAGTAGTTTTTACCCTTCCCGTACTTTTCCTTGATTTTTTGTGAAAGTCAAATGTTAAAGCACTTAGCAAAACATAGACACCCAAAATCCCATTCAAATCGGAATAACGGTTCTTAATATATCTTAAAAATTTTGTTTATTTTTTTAAAGTTTGGTTTAGAGGTAAATCGTGTCCAATGAATTTATTTTGATTTCAAAAATACATGGTAGTCTTATGTCCGCGCAATATTGGGACACTTTGTATAAATTTTTAGACAAAATATTCAGAATATTCGCAATCTTTCCGAAAATTATCAAATATTAATCCCAATCCATCTAAAAATGTAAACATTTTGTTTGCAAATATTTTTGAATCATCCTTTATACTGACAAAAATATTTTTAAAATACGCGTAGCTATTGTCCGCATTCTTTATAAAAAAATTGAATCTCAAACCAGAACCCTGATCTAGAGATTTTCTCGCAACACTAGGCCATCCTGTTAATAATTATTGTTTTACATTTGCTTTACTATATTTTTAGGACTCCACAAAAATCTCATGTTAAGTTTGAAGACTTAAGATATTCAAGTTCTGCCAATACAAGTACTATCAGTAACACTACTTTAGCTTCCTCTGCAAATTCAAGTAAAAGGCTTTCCGATAACACTGCGAGTACTAATGATGATGACATATTTTTGTCACCTGAAAATAGTTTTGAAATCAACAACGACAAAAGCTTTAAAATCCCAGAACCTGTTCAAGAAAGATCTAAGAAATCGTTAACTCCAGTTAAGGAAAAGCTAAGTTTTGATGAAGCATCGCCACATACAAGTCCTAAGCCTAAGAAATCCGATGACAGTGTTGAGAGTTATCTAAAGTTAGCAGAAAATGACCTGTCATCTAACAGGTTTACTTTCCAAAGTCCACGGTCAAGAAGAAGTTATAAAAGTGAGGGTTAAATAATGAAGTGGTTTTATTTGAAATTTTGAAAAATTATTTATTTTACAGGGTCATTTAGTGGAAGTCCAGTACCGGTTCGTTCAAGCCCACGATTAGCGAAAAAATCCAACGTCTTAGATCAGGAAGATTCAGATTCTGAATCCAGTTTACCTGCGTCTCCAGTAAAATCATCATTACCTGTTGCCTCAGAAAAATTAAAAGGACGTCGTTCCCTGTCCAGAGCGGTTTTAGAAAATAACGCTTTTTCTGCATTACAATCACTACAAGATGAAAATAAATTTAAAGACAAATCATATATTTGTTCCACTTCAAGTCTGAATGATACAGACATAGGCCACAGCTCAAATGATTTCACTTCAAGTCTGAATGATACAGACATAGGCCACAGCTCAAATGATTCAATTGACATATTTTTAGAAAAATATGGATCGACTTTAAATGCTGATAATTCATTAAATGAAAGTAGTATTTTGACTAAAAAACACGGCGAAATAATTTCTAAAATTACAGAATCCAGAAGTAGTGAAATTCGAAAGGAGACTACTATTTCAAATCTAACAAAAGAAATAATATCGACTAAAGAATTTAAACAAGAAGAATATTCTAAAAAAACTGAAGAATTTAGTGATGCATCTCATAAATTAGATTTTCTGGAGTCTAATAATAAGTCTCTTACAGAAAAAAATTATGAGGAATTAGATGTAGAAATGGAAGAAGCTCAAGATGACAAAACAGAAATGTTACAGCAAGATGAAGATTTGCATGAAAGGGAAAGTGTTGAACAAAAAGAAATTACTATATACGATGATTTATCAAGTGGTAGCGAAGATGCTAGGGAAGCCATTGAGAAAATTAAAGCTAACACAAATAATAAAACTTATACTGATATATCTTTCTCAAAAAGTGAAAGTTTCCAAGTTGATAGAGAGAAACATATAGATATCTCCGTAGCATCTCATGGAAATGTAACTCCTGAAGCTGATAAAGCATTTGTGAATTTCGACAATGACGTGATAGAAATAGGTTCTAGTAGTGAAGATGAAAAATATTCTGATAGTGTGAAAAATATGTATTCCTCCTCTAACAGCTCAAGTAGTTATTCTTCCAGCGACAGTAGCAGGAATTCTGTTGATAATATCCTTGAAAAGTATATGAATAATGAAGGAGAAAAAGAAGAAGAAATATCCAAGGGTACTAGCAATGAAGGCCAAAGCAGTGATAATGATGATAATGTATTTACTGATGAAAAATACTATGTTAATTCTGACGACAATCAAGAAGAACAACTAGTTAGTTCGAAAGAAGATGTGGAACAAGATATTAGAGAGGCTGATGTAGCTGTCAAAAGTTTAGTGGAAGAAAATGTCAGTGTAGTATCTGACAATGCAGAAAAAGATGATCTTCATTCAAATGTGCATGTAACTGAAAAATATCAAACTAATACAAAATTACATGAAGATAGTATTAAAGCTACTAAAGAGCATACTAAAGCAAATAGTGATTGTGAAGAAAATGAAATGGATACGTTAGTATTACTAGATGATACAGTTGAAAAAACAAATGTTGATAATAATTGTGCAGAGCATGACATGGAAGATAAAAGTATATCAGCTATTTCTGAGAAATTGCCAGCAGAAGAAGTGCTTGAAGATCAAAAAAATACTATTGATCAAAGTATGCAAACTACTATGGTATACAAACTTAATAATGAACAAGATTTAAATGAAATTAAAGATGATTCTCTAGAAGAGGAGGTATTTGATGATCAAAAAAATACTAATAATCAAAGTATCCAAACTACTCTAGTATGTAAAGTAGATGATGAACAACATCCAGAGGGTGAAGATTCAAAAGAAGGGAATGAAGAATTTGAAACTCAGAATAAAAGCTTACAATGCACCATAGCAGTTAGAGATAACATGCAAAACGAAGATGGAACACCTTTTGCGTTAAGGACTGTAAAAAAGACCTATTCACTGAGAGATAAAGGTTCAACAAAAAATCTCCAAACGGAAGAAAGTACAGAGCAAGATATTCCATCCACTGATGGAACCCCTCTGGTATTGAAATCAGTTAAAAAAACATATTCAAGAGATTCAAATTTAGACGCAACACCTAAACTGGCAGTTAGTTTAATCAAAAGAACATATTCCAAAAAATCTTTAATGGATCAAGGTGAGGCTGCAGAATTTGAAACCAAAGATCAAAGTAAAAGTAGTCATGATGAAAGTGAATTAGCTAATCAAGAGAGGCCAGCTGTAACAAGTTCTGCCAGCGTCCTTACGGAATTTCCTAGTAGCAGTACTGAATATAAAAAATCAGAAAGTCAGGAAACAGGAGGAAAATCAGTGGGTGACTCGACGGTTACTAGTTCGCAAAGTTCTTTACACTCTGATTCATCCCAAACTAGTTCTAGAAGAATAACTAGAAGAATGTCACAGCTTAATGAAAGTCAGTTGGATTCTACCATTGGCGGCGACCTGGAAGATAAAACTGTCAAGTCAGACATAATGGAAACTGCCGTTGACGTGTCCAAGGTTCCAGCTGAAACTGGCGAGAATAATGAGGCTGAAACTGATAAAGCAGGTATAGTGCTTTTGTGTCACTTTTTACCCAAAAATATTTAACCTCTATCCGTTAACAGAGAAAGTTATATAAAGTTACTAGCGTGTACCCCCGACTTTGCTCGCGTCGAATTAATCATTTGTAATGGTGAAGATAAAGCAAAGCACGAATTTCCATTAACATACAAACTGGATAAAATTTTCTCACATTTATGTTAGCATGAAAAAAAACAATATGGCAATATTATTATATAACTTGGTAATAGTTTCATCTCGTTGGAATTTGACTTTCGAAAAATCCGTTTGCCAAAAATAAGCTTTTTACGTCAAGCAGTTTAAGCAGAATCGTGGTTAATCAATTACCCAACTTTTTGGAACGCCCTGTATAATTTTTTTAAAAATTTCAAAATATGTAAAAAACAAAATAAATTATGCATGTCCAAGCGTTTTCCCGAAAGACTAACCGTTTTTTTAAATAACAAATATTTGAGGGGTGGTTTCACCCCCTTGGAACTGGAATTTCGAAAAATCCCTTCTTATCGAACCTCTACACCCTAGAACCAACCTGTATGCCAAAATTGAGCTTATTACGTAGAGTGGTTTGAGCAGGATCGTGATTAATCAGTGAGTCAGTCACTTAAGGATTTTATATATTAGTATAGACTAGCAGACCCGACCACGCGTTGCTGTGGCTAGGTCAGTGATGGGCAAGTACCCGGTATATTGAAATTTGGGTAAATACCCAAGTTTTTGCACCCGCTATATACCCAATCTTACCCACATTTTGAATTTTAGGTGTTCCAACAATTTTTAAAAATAATTTGTTTGTTAAATTAAAATTATTCTTACCTTTTTCGTCGGTTCCGTGTGGATAAAAAGTCTAATTTATTTAAACACACTTAAAGAACTGTTTACAAACTTATTTACAACTATTTATCTAAAAGGAATTTTTTTGAGTTTATTTTAAAAGGCGCGATCACGACTACCGACTGATTCTGTTCTCTTCGCACAGACCTCGGTTATGTTACGGTTAAAGTCCGATGTCCGGTTAATGTCGACATTAACATGTTAATGTTTGGGTTAGGTTATGTTTTTGGTTGTTTTGTTGTGTGTTATTCTCGAGATTAACCGGGTAATGTCGACATTAACCGGAAATCGGATCTTAACCGTAACATATACATACAGACAGACAGCCTAGAATATTCCGGTCTTTTCTTAGCCGCCGCACTAGGGGTATTTGGCGTCAAATTTTAGCCAAAATTATTTATATTTTTTTTCGGAGTAAAACAAATATTTTTAATAGATTTAAGTGTTTATTTTAACATTATAATGCCAGAAGACTTAAAAATTAAAGATTTTCTGTCAAAGTCACCATTTGCAGTATAACAGAACTATTAATACACATTTTGTGAGAAATATGTAATAAAAATATCTAATACCGTTTTTTTCTGTGTTAAATTTACTTATACTTACTTTTTCTATTTAGGTCCCTCAAATGTTACAAAACCATCTCAGTCCAAAATCCGATTAAGAAGAACCCCAAAACCTAAAGTTGGCAGTGCTTCTTTACCTAAGAACGTCGAAACAAGTTGTGATAGTACCCCGAATCCCAAAAAAAGATCAAGAAGTGCCAGTGTAGATCAGCCGCCAGTTTCATCCAATAGAAAGAGAAAAACTAGGTGTGTGACCAGATTTTTTAAAGTGTTATAATAATATAATAATATATTTATTTTAGAAGTAAAAGTATTGATCTAGACGAGATTGTTCAAGAAGAAAGCACAGCGCCCGGTCTCAAAGTATTGCTAACTCCAATACCTGAAATTCCGGGTCCGTCCACTGAAAATGAAGAAACCCAGGAAGGTAGTGGTAAAATGGCATACTTGATTGTGCATCTTAGCATAAATTAAACGTTTTTAGATAAGAAATACAGAAATAAAGCTTCTAGTGATGTAGGTGCTTACACTACTTCAAGAAGACTGACAAGAAAGCAAGCCAGCATGTTAAAATCAATTGGTACTGTGGAGAAACATATAGAAAAATTACCTAATTTGGAAGAAATCGATCCCATAATTTTAATGGATAAGCCTAATTTTGAAGGTAACAAATAATTGAAATAACCAACATATTTATTACATTTTTTTATATATAACACAGTCTCTATGTTGTATATTTAAAATTTAGGTCAAGCTGACTTATCAGAAGCTCAGGTATATGAACCCAGCGTTTCATCAGTTGGTTCAGACCTTCCAAGACATACGCGATCAGCTTCTGTAGCGTCGGACATTCATGCACCATCAACACCAAAGAAAAAGCCAAAATCCCCGAAAAGCTCTTTAGAATCGACTATAACAAGTATGTACTGTAAACTCAACAGAAGTTTGTTGTAGTCTAAAACGGATATTAGATAAATAATGAAGACGTAACGTTCAACCTTGAATCTTATAGTCTGCGTAGATAAGTAAATCTGTTTCATAACTGTTGAAAATATGTCAGATATCTATTAATATTGTCAGTTCATCGTAGCTGTGTTTCCAAGTAGTGCTTTAAAGCATTTTTAACATACAAATTAGCTTTATATGATTTGGTTTTTATTTGAAGTTTATATTTAATGCGACTTCAAATAATATAAAAAAAATCTAAAACAATATATTGTTACGTTTTTCATCGGTTCCGTGTGGATAGAAAGTGCCAATTTATTTAAACACAATTTATTCTACACTAAGTAACGAAAACAATAACAATAAAAGACTTAAAGAACTATTTACAAACGATTTATAACTATTTATATAGAAAGAATTTATTTTGAATTTAGCGCGGCAACTGTACTCGTCTATTTATTTCTGTCCTCTTCAAGCCCCAGCCGTCGGTTTATATACCCACAGCTAAAGAGTTCTCGAATAATCCATAGATCATTAGGTGCATAGAGAAGGTTTCGAATGTTCTCGTATGTACTACTCCATTCCAGTGGAACTCGATTGTTCTCGAAAGTTCGAATGAATCATTACGTTGTCTATTCTTTAATGCGATATTAAGGTCATATGGGGGCGGGATAGTTAGGCTAGGTCGAGTCCACACGGGTCCGCAACAATATACACCTATCATTTGATCAATCATTTCTAATGGCTAAATTTTTAGCAAATTTGACCAGGCAGCAAATTTTGGTTTGAAGTTATTATACCGGGTGCGTCTCAAAAGTGGCTCACCCCCTATAATTTTTTTATTTTTTCAGATAAAAAAAACAGATTTGGTATGTTAGTATATGACAAACATTAAAATTGATTGACGTATTCAGTTGTTTTTGGAAATGACAACTTTTAATTTTTAAATGGTACCCCCGTTTTTTTAAATTTTATTCTATAGGAAATGTCACTCTGAATAGGTCACTCTGAATGAACCGAGGGTACCATTTAAAAATCAAAAGTTTTAGTCATTTCCGGTAAAACAGGAAGCGACCAAAAACAATTGAATACGTTAATCAATTCTAATTTATGTCATATACTAACATACCAAATCTCGTTTTTTTTTATCTGAAAAGATAAAAAGTTATATGGGTGAGTCACTTTTCAGACGCACTCGGTATACAGGTTGTTAATTTGTTTATTACTCGCGGCAAGAGCTTTATGGTTGAAATATGGTAACCTCGGCCCGCTCGTCGAGAGACGACGCGACGGGACGAGTCGGCAGCTTAGCTTAGCACACATTTGGAGTTGGATGGGTGAGGAGCAGTGTTGCCATTCTGTTCCCCAATAAGTATCCGTCCAGTTAACAATCTGTATATTATTATATTATATTGCCGTTAATGTCCAACGTCAGCTTAAATAGCTGACACGGAACGAAGGATGGGTTTATAAATTAACCTTGTTCTAATGAAGCAATAAACAGAAAAAATGCGGGCCCTCCTCATAAAATTAAAGTTGTGTGTATTGTGTAATCACTAACGGCATATATTTATCCACTAAGTTTAAAGGATCTAAGCGTTCAACGATTGTTGTACCAACTATAGCTTATTTTGAAACTATATTAAAACTACTTTTCCACTGTTAATAAGTAAAAGATGTAAATATTAAAATATATTCTATATTCCAGATATAAAATCAAGATTAAGGAGGCAGTCGACTGATACAGCGTCTGTAGGATCTGAACAGTCTGATTCACCAAGCCCATCAAAGAGAGGGAAGAAAACAGAAAAAGCATCAATGAAAGATGAAGAACAATCGAAAAAAGTAGCGGCAAAAAGAGGAAGGTCTAGATCTAGTTCAGTGTCTTCAGTTAAATCTCATAGGTGTAAGTATTGGCCAAAAACTTTAATTATGACGTTGCTGATGATGTCTTGTTATTTTAGCTGATAAAACTGACGGCTCAGCGAAGGGAAGGAGTAGAAGAATTCAGTCTGCAAAAAGCGAATTACCAGAAATACAGGAAGAGAAATCTTCGGTGGAGGTGAGATGTTTATTATAGAATATTCAAACTAGAGTAATATTCAATAATTATTACTATATGTCTTTTCTAATTTTTGTAGGATGACTCCGAAAAGAAAAAGACAAGAAAAAGGAAACATTAAAAATTTGTTAATATATATGTTGTGAAATTATAAATTTTTGAATACTGTAAAGGGTTAAAACTAATATAATTTTTTAGTGATTAAGTGACATCAGTTGTTTTATTTATTATTCCCAAAAAGTGCGTCACAAATGAGATTTAGCGTTAATGAAAAAAAGTTTATACAAAATTTCTTCAGCGTGTCCAAAAAAGTTTGGCGTATGTCATTCGATAACTGTCATGGTGGCAACTTACAAAAATCCTCTTTAAGTAAAGTATTTTTTTTTCAAACGTCACAAAAGTATTAATTTTTACGACGTAATTGACAATGTAATAAAATAATTTTAACGCTTAGGCATAAAGCTTGATTTTCATGCATCCGTTATACGTTGATACGATTGTCCGACGGTGTTCTGATTGGTCATAGCGATTTTCAATATATAAACAAATATTTTACTTCAGCCCGTCAACGGACCCGTTCATACGATAACGGACGTTTTGAAATTTTTTTACAAATTTAATCTAACCTTAATAAAAACATAAGTAAAATAGCAAAACCGTTATGGAACTTATTCGTAAAAAATTGTTTTTTCTAAATATGCTAATGAGCCACCCTCGTTCCATTTGAAAAAATTGAATTATGATTAAAAATACGATTTGGGCATCTTTTAACCGGCCAGGACACGAAAAACATTAGACGACCAAAACTATTTTTCCAAGGCTTCTTGATTAAAAATTAGTGTTTTTAGCACAGCCATGGCACTCTAGATTGAAATTTAAAATACGATTTTTTAAACGAAAATGTCAAAAGGTGACATATAATATGTCATTCTATTCAGAGTGTCAATTATTTCTATCCAATAAAGTAAAAAAAAATACTGATGGAGCCATTTAAAAATCAAAAGTTGTAGTCATTTCCTGTGAAACAGGAAGTGATCAAAAACAATTGAATTTGTCAATTAATCCTAATTTATGTCATATACTAACATACCAAATCTCGTTTTTTTATCTGAAAAAGTAAAAAAGTTATAGGGGTGAGCCACTTAATAGGGAATCCAGATTACAGAGTATTGTTTTAAAACAAGAAGTTGAAAATTATAGAACTCTTGCTATTGTAGTAAAAAACTCAATCCAGAACGTAGCTAAAAACCACGAGCTAAAAATAAATAAATCCCGTCTCTCCCACTTCACAATATTCCGTGAAATAATTTCGAAAAAGCGGCAAGCTAGTACTTTGACCGCCGGACTGTCAGTATTTTATATACATATATAAAAAATAAAATGTCGTACCAAAGACCCTCCTTTTGGCACTTTCGCGAAGGAAAACAAAAGAAAAACGTAAGTTTTCGAGTCCGCTTGAGAGCAAAGTAGGGACTCGAATTAAAATCACTAAAATTGATAGTATGTGAGTAGTTTGGATTTGAAAAGTTTGTTTTTTGAATTTGGGAATATTCCGTTTTGAAAAAATAACCAGAGAAATTTTAGTTTGCAAACACCTTTATACACCTTAGGTGGCAAAATTTGGAGTTGCAATAATAGCAAGTTACACAATTTTAACCACATTACAGCAAAACACTTTTTTGTTACTCTGAATGCACGTTTTTCCATTGAGTAGGAGAACATTCACCAGCAGATGAAACCTAGAATAGCTAGAATATGATCGAAAAAAAAACGGCGTCAGCGATGGGTATGAAATGAAGATCGGGTATTTTTTAAGATATTGAAAAGCCCATTTCAATATAAATTTAAAATAAAATTAATCATGATGTAGTTTACATGAAATTTTAATCATATCTATATTAACATTCTTGGCATATACAGGGTGAGTTTGGAAAAAGTGCACATTTTTAAGGGCGGTATATTTTGATACCAGTAACACGTCTTTCGAGAATTTTTTTTAAATATTGTATTCTTCGAAAAATCCTAAATAGCTCGAACCAAAAGATATTAAAATAATTATAATTTGGTAAAAATAGCTTTATATGCGTGGTTAAATTTAAATATTCTTTTACCTATGTCTATACAGGGTGAGTCTTAAATAAGTGCAAATATTTTCAGGGCTGGTAGATCTCGATAAAAGAAACATATTTTCTCTTTGCCGTTTTTTGATTTTTTGCTTAAATTTTGAGAACCACCGGATCTTCTAAGGGTTTTATTTCTTGTAAATTAAATCTGTTACCTATGTTGCCACATTATCAAGAAATTATGATTTTTAATTGAAAACTAGAAAAATTTCCATTTTTTACGCGAAAAAAAATCATAATCGTGTTTCTGTGGTCGAAATATACTTCTTCTTATTACAGTGCCATATGAAGATACCACCAAAAAAGTTTTAAAAATTTTAAGGATTGCTGAGTTATTTTGAGGTTTTCCTGTGGTTACTTTTAGAAAATCAAAAAGCTAATTGAAGAATATACGAAAGGGGGTAAGTGACCAAAATTATTTTTTTCGAGATAAATGAGAAAACACAGTGGAACTGAAAATAATAAATTTTTCAAAAATAATAATTTTTTAAAGTATCTTTTAAAATACATATAATTTACTCGTATATAAAAAATAGACGCTTTCTATTACGGTTACCAATGCTCGTACCTCGAATTTGTAGCACCCTGTATAGACATTATTTATTTTTTTTGGCAATATGCCTAAGACGATAGAAGCCAGGCGCAAAAATTTATTATTAAATTCTTTCGACAAAAAAAATGTAAAACTGTTATATTTCATTATCTATATGATTAATTTATGAATGATGTGAGAAGTGATGAACATATTTATTAATTAGATTACATGTGTTATGTGAAACTGGATTAACAATGATATACGCCAGTTTACACTTTGGCTTTGAAATCAAGATCGCTGTCATTTTATACGTAAAATTATATGGGAAATGTCATCGATTGTCATTTCCAAGCCAACTGGACGCCGGTTTTTTTCGATCATACGTAATTTTATTAGGGACGGGGATGGTTAAAATTTGTTTTTGTATTTTTTTTCCATAGCAGCTGTTAAAATTGTCTTATATATCTATCAAAAATAGTAGATAAAATAGTACTTTAACCTCAAGGGTAGATTAAATGACACTTTAACAACGAGGATAGGTTAAAAACTTTATTTCTTCTCGCACATTTTTTAATTGCTTCCATTTTTGAAAATTTTTGTATTCCTGTCCATAAGTTATTCGGGATTTAAATGGAAGTAGTTTGGATATGGCGTTTGTCGCCTCAGCCTGAATATCTGTTGGTCATTTACTTTATTTCGTTTTGAGCCATTTCTGGCTCCAATTCAATCAGCAATCGATACGAAAGAGAATTAAAAAATATTGACTCAAAACTGACAACTAAAGAGACAGCTTTATTTATTTGTCAAATTACATAGAAACCAACGCCAACCCAGCACAATATTTTTTCTACTCGTAATAAATTCCTTGAAATAATAATTTCTGAATATTTTTTAAAACGTAACTCGCTATGGAAAAAGATATTGTTTTATACACGATAAAATTGCATTATCGTCTTCCGAAATTCTTTTCGGTCAACGATAAAATACCATTGTATCGTCTTGTATAAAAAATAACTATTAACCAATTATTTTACTCTACTGCAAAATATACCCCTACTATTTTTTAAAATAGATTTTATTTATTACAAGGTTTGAACAATAATTTCAAAACAGGAATATTTAGTTAACATCAAGATGCTATAGAATTAACTTAAATTTTAAAAAGTAATAATAAAAATTGAGTGTACGTTATTAATACTTTATGGAATAATGTTTAAAATGCCGCGGTTAATTTCTGGAACGACCTAAATTTTCAAAAATATGGCTCAAGGTATTTTGTCCAACAAATTACCAAGACCACTTAATATTTGTTCGTGATTTAACACACTTGTCCGCTACTTGTCTTTGTGTACAATCAAATGTCGAAGTAATCATAACAGTCCACGGGAAAAAATATGCCGTGCAAAAATTTATTTTTATTTTTAGTGTGGCATATGGCCAGTGGCCAAAAGTTAAGGCTAAAAATCGAACTGATATTGCGATTTGATTCAAGTTTAGGTTAATACGTTTTTTATAGGTTGCTTTTATTGATAGACTAGAATTAAAGCAAAATAAAAACACTAATTAGTAGTAGACTAGAATTAGAAAAATAATAATAATATCATGTCATGATATAAAGTTTCATTATTCATCATAATGAATTTTCCATGAATTCATTTTCGTCAAAAAAAACGGCTTGGTTTTGATCAGAAGGAGGATACTATATATTAGGGGAAAGTAGTTTATTAAAGGGCACCTTAACATTTTGATGTATTTTAAAGTTTAATACACACACAACCAAACTTATAAGGAATCATCTATTATTTTTCATAATTTTTTATACGTATGTAAATTTTGTGTTTATGAATAAAACTCAGTCCTTACCTATGACTTTTAATGAAAAATAATCCATATAGCAATAAAAAAAATAATCAGGTCCCAAAATAAACAAAATGGTATTTTTTTTTGTTTTCTAAAACGAAATTAAGATTTAAATTTTTAATGGCCGAAAAGCAAAAACAAAAACAAAATTGATAATTTTAATATTCCTTGTTGCCACCTCCAGCCCTTATGCAAGCTTCTATCCGCGCTGGCATGCTTCTTATTAAATTATCAATGTTGTCTTGGGGTATGTTTTCCCATTCTGCTGATGCTGCATCAATAAGCTGTGCAAGATTTCCTGTATTGTTTCGACGAGCTCTAACTCTTCTTTTGAGCTAGTCCCACAATTATTCGGTAGGGTTTAGATCTGGTGAACAGGCAGGCCAGTCCAAAACTATAACACCTGCCGTTTCAAGACATTCTCTAGTCACTCTGCTGGTATGGGGAGGTGCACTATCGTACGAGAAGTTAAAATTATCCCCAATTGCAGCTCCCCAAAGACTAACGATTGGTTCTAGCACCAAATCAACATATTTCCGACCCGTTGCAATTTTTTTGAAGTGGTAACAATGGAATTTTTGCTCCCAGTATAATACCTCCCCAGAACATTACAGTTCCAGTTATATCTTGGTACAAATTTAGCAGCCTGAAGTCTCGCTCGTCTTTCTGGAGCTCTGAGAACCCGAATTCAATGGTTATCTGATCTTAGGCCTTCGATCTTAAACCTTCGAGCACGAAGCCTTTTTCTTATGGTTTCAACTGAAACGTTCACACCTGTAGCTGCCAGAAGTTGTCTTTGTAGCTCTGAATGAGAAACGTTGGCATTTATTCTAGCAATTTGGCACACAAGGCGGTCTTGTTGTTCAGTTGTGACTCTTTGATGACTTTGTCTGGGCCTATCCTTCTGTGTTCCTAATTCCGAGTACCTTGCATATGTTTTCGATACAATACCCTGATTAACGCCTACTATCTCTGCTACTTCTCTTTGGACCATTCCTTGTTCGGTGAGGGCAATAATTCTTCCCCTCTGTACATCTGTTAATCCAACATAAGGAATATTTTATTTTTTTTGGATCGAATGAAAATTACCGGACCAATCGTGATTTTACTACTGAACATAAAAGTCAAAAGAAAATAAATCGCGGCAGTCGTTTATTCTTTATTATCATGTTTATTTACAACAAAAAGCCTTATCTTAAAGTTGTATAATTCTTGCAAGAAATTTAGTCAAAAATAAAGAGTGATTCCATATAAATTTGGTTGTATGTATTTTGTTCTAGTGGGCCGATTTTGATGATATAGGTAGCAATTTGTAGCTAAATTGATGGTTACTGAGTTGATCGCGTTAAGTGCTGCTTGACTATCGGATAGGATGGCAATTTCCTGTTTTCGATAGTTAATTGCCATCCTATCCGATAGTCAAGCAGCACTTAACGCGATCAACTCAGTAACCATCAATTCGAAGTTGGTCAAAGAATGCCTAGAGAAGCTCAACAAATTAGGCAAAGAAAATAAAGTCCTCCCACTCTGGGTGCCTGCTCACCAAGGGATAGAAGGCAATGAAAAAGCAAATGATCTAGCTAGAAAAGGAGCGAACACTCCACTAACTGGACCAGAACCGTTCTGTTTTCCAAACGGGAACCAACTGAAAGCGGAACTGAAGAATCTGGAAGACTCCATCCGTAACTTGGAATGGGTGTCCTCCAACGGTCTAAGACACTCGAAAAAGTTCCTTAGAACTTATGACCGAGAAAAATCAAAGGTTTTCCTTGATTTAAGTAAAAACAATCTTCGGATTGTCACGCGGTTTCTAACAGGACACCGTCTCCTCAACGAACACCTCAGTAAGCTGAAACTGAGAAACAACGGCGAATGCAGATTTTGTGGGAAAAATGGGGAAACACCAGAACACCTTATCACTGAGTGCGCCGAGACGACGACCATTCGTGCCATGAACCTTGGTACGTCTGATGTCGAGGATGGAGAGCTGGCCTCTGTGGAACCGTCTCAGATACTGACTTTTCTTAAAGCCCTGAGACTGTATGATGAGTTATAACTCGTTATAACTCAAGAAAGGGGAACACACAATAGATCTATAAGGTCGCGGTGATTAACTCCCCTCCTAAACATTCTACATTCTACATTCTTGTAGCTAAATTATTTGACTTTTTAGTATCTCTTTCTAAATTAAAAATAAAAGTTTCCGTCTGTCAATTATACGAAGAAAAACAAAATTTTGAAATTTCGGTGAAAGTTTGAAATACCCTGTGGAGTACGTTAACAAACCAACAAATTTAAAAACCATTTTATCATCTAGGTACGTATTTTCGCGATAGTTTGTTTTTTGATTCATCTCAATAGCTTTTTTGATTGGAGATATTCGTTTTGGAATAAGACAGTAACGATTTACGGCTTTTCTAGCATTGATTTTGTGTCATCAACACACTTATAAAATAGTGTTTATTGTTTTTGTAATGTCACTGCTATTGGAAAGTCATATTATTATTGTTTATTGGCGTTTACTCTAGTAGAGATGGTTTTAAGTTCTGAATAAGTATCGACTATTGTTGCTTTAACTAACCATGGTAGAGATCAACTTTTGGACTTAAAACCATATTTGCTAGAGTAATTGCCCAATAGACATTAATAATATATGATTTAATAAAATCTAATGTATTTTTTTTTTAATTTTGAAACCAGATAATAAATATTCTAATCATATTATATTATTAGAATGAGATATTTTTGGATATCTCCCGAACCCAAAAAATAGAGAATTTCATTAAAAAACTGCTAGTATATTCACAGAATATAGTTACTGTAACATTCGAGTGTACCGCGATTTCGAAAAAAAGTTATTTCTGGATGCGTGCAGTTGGCTTGGCTAAACAAAACCGAAAATCCGGACAGTGTCATGCCAGCAATAGAACGGAGGATTCGCCATTGATCGGGCTTGTTTATATTTTGACCGGATGTACCGTGTGTTAATTTTTGCGTATATCTGCAATTTACGCAAAAATTAAAATGCATTTGATAGAATAACAAACTGGAGTTACTAATAATCATGTATTCAATTATAGGTTTCAAAATTTCCTTATAAACGGTACATGTGGCTGTCGATAGTTGAATCGATAATGGCTAGGTTACTAAAATTACATAAGCATAGCTATTTATTTATTTTCTGGAGCAGGTTGCAAAATATCGATTTTGCCATGGGGTTTTTCTACTAATACCAATGTTAATGCCACCCGCAGATGGGAATATATAGAAGGGTTTATCGTAAGACTATAAAAGCTGCCAAGGTAATGTTGCTAAGGAAACTTGGGCTATTAAATGACTTAAGGAATAAGACTTCTTCGTCTGGCACAGTTTTTAATTTACCTGAAGATTTAAACACTTACTTTGTTAATGTGGCAAAAGTTTAGTGAAAACCATAACTCCTTCCCATGATTCACTTTCATATCTCCCTAAAGCAAATGAGAATTTACACAGTTTCTTCTTCACGCCCGTAGCATTAGATGAGCTCCGTAGTACAATTAAAAGTATTAAAAACAAATCCTCATCTGATACTGATGGGCTTACTCTCAAAATGTTCTCTGAACTTCCGGAATGCAAGTTAATCCATCTTACCACCTTAATTAACGAGTAATTTTAAAAAGAAGATTTTCCAAACTGCCTTAAGGCAGCAATAATTTTTCCTCTGCATAAAGGAGGAGATAAAGATCAAGCTTCGAACTATCGCTCAATTGCACTCCTGCCCACATTATCTAAGATCATTGAAAGATTGGTTAAAAAAAGGCTTCTATCTTTTCTTCTTAAATATAAAGTACTTACTACCCATCAATTTCGATTTCTAAGTAACAGTTGCACAAATGATGCCGTGTTCGACCTTTTTAATCATGTATACTCTACAGCTACAATTTTCCGTGATTTCTCTAAGGCTTTCGACTGTGTAAATCATATCTTAATTAACAAATTGCAATACTATGGATTTAGGGGAGTGCCGCTTGAATGGCTTAAGTCTTAAGTCATATCTTGGCAACAGAAGGCAGCTTGTGAGAATTGATACGTCTATGTCTTCTTGTAAGCCTATAGAATGTGGTGTCCCTCATGGTTCAGTACTTGGCTCTATTTTGTTTCTGGTATTTATCAACGACATTGCAAATCTAGACATTAGCGGTAAAATCTATCTCTTTGCGGACGATACTAGTTTCACTTGGAGCGGCCCAGATGTTACGGTACTATATAATACTATATCCAGTGACTTACGCACCATTAAATCTTGGTGCGATTCTAATCTCCTATGCCTCAACATATCAATAATTTTCAAAAAACAAGTTTTGTCATATAAAAGTACTATACAACCTTTTGTACTTAATAAGACCACTATTGACGTCGTGGACTCAGTGAAATTCTTAGGACTTGTTGTAGACAACCGTTAAAATGGGAGTTGTACATGGAAGCTTTATCAAAGAAACTAAGCGCTGCCTGTTTCGCGCTAAGATCAGTTTCTAAGGAACTTAACTTGGGATATTCCGGTGTTTCCCCATTCTCACCACAGAATCTGCATTCGTCGTTTTTTCTTATCTTTAATCTACAGAAGTGTTCATTGAGGAGACAGAGTCCTTAAAAACCCCGTGACAATCCGAAGATTGTTCTTACTTAAATCAAGGAAAATCTTTGATTTTTCTCGTTCGTAAGTTCTGAGAAATTTCTTGGAGGCCATTGGAGGATTCCCATTCCATGTTACGGATGGAGATTTCCAGGTTCTTGAGTTCCGCTTTGAGTAAGTTTCCACTTGGAAAGCAGAACGGTTCTGGTCCAGTTAGTGGAGTGTTTGCTCCTTTTCTAGCCAGATCGTTTGCTTTTTCATTGCCTTCTATTCCTTGGTAAGCAGGCACCCAGAGTAGGAGGACTTTATTTTCTTTTCCTAATTTGTTCAGCTTCTCTAGACATTCTTTAACCAATTTCGAATTGATGGTTACTGGGCTGATCGCTTTTAGTGCTGCTTGACTATCGGATAAGATGGCTATTTCCTGTTTTCGATAGTTCCTATGTAAGATAAATTGTACACGTCTTTTGATAGCGTAGATTTCTAAAAACACGTAAGATACAAAACAATGATTCTCCTCAATGGACACGTTTTTGTAAAATAACGCTTCAAACATTTGCTAAAACAGTTTTCGCGTTTTATCTCGAAATAACGTTTTTGGGATAATTTTGCAACTAAGACGTGACAAGTGAGTCCTGAAGCAACTGAATGAACACCAACTTTAATTCGACTAACGACAGGTTGTTTACTTGCACCTTCATAATTTTAAGTATCGACTTAGCCTCCGTGGCTTTATTACTCAACAAACATAATATTCGGTGTCGTTTTTGGCCGCTTTCCTGCCGCATCCTGGCCGATGCATTCAGCGGAGCCCCAAGTACGCGCGCGGCGTGCTATTTCTGCAACACAATGCGCCCGCGGGAGGGGCTCAACTATGCCAGACCCGACACACACGATGATCAATGCCAAATTGGCCGATTCCAAGCCCCTCAACAACCACAAGACCGGCGATCGGTTTTCGATACACACATATCGAAGAAATTGAAATCTTTGACGCGCCGCGCGTAAGAACAGCATGCTCATCGGCAGCATCTGACAGTCGTCGACCAAGGTCGCTGTATCGACGTTTATTTTTAATATTTTCGCCTAAACCGTTGGCCAAAACAAACTTTCGAGTGCGCTTTTCCGATAAATAAGGTTCGTATTTAGTAGAGCGAGTGCTTATTGCTTGTAAGCCCATGGGAAGAATTCGCGAGTTGGTGGTGAATCTGCAGCGGAGCTCTCCGGATGAGTCGTGGGGTTTCAGTTTGGTGGGGGGTGCGGACGTTAAAACCCCTTTGATAATTACGAAGGTAGGCTCTAATTGTGGTTTTGTGTATTGTCCGTATCAGTGTTTATGTTTCGTTATTTGTACCACGAATTTACAGTGATGCTGTATTCCGTTTCTTAATTATCCTAGTTCTGATTCTATGTTTTTTCGCGGATCACGATTGCTAAAAAATACCTTTCTTTATTTTTACCAAATCAACCAGCACAATTTTTCTGGTTTGATCATTACAAGCTGTTCAATCTTATTTAAATACTCCAAGGTATTAAAAATTAGTGTTTTTAACACAGCCATGGCATTCTGGATTGAAAGAGTAAATCAAGTTATATTAGGAATGTCGATCAATAAAATTTGGTGTGTAAAATCACAATATAAAGATTTTAATACTGTAGTCAAATTATATTATGATATAAACACAACCAAACTTATACGGAATCATCTATTATTTTTTATAATTTTTGAGATGTGTGAACATTTTGTGTTAATAATTTTAATAATCCGTGTTGCCACATCTATCCCTTATGCAAGCTTCTATCCGTGCTAGCATGCTTCTTATTAATGTAGAATGATGTTTAGGAGGGGAGTTAATCACCGCGACCTTACAGATCTATTGTGTGTTCCCCTTTCTTGAGTTATAACGAGTTATAATTCTCCAAAAAATCCTGTATTGAGTTATAACTCATCATACAGTCTCAGGGCTTTAACAAAAGCCAATATCTGAGACAGCTACATAGAGGTCAGCTCTCCATTCTTGACATGTTCATGGCACGAAGTTCATGGCACGAACGGTCGTCGTCTCGACGCACTCAGTGGTAACGTGTTCTGAGGTGTTCGTTGATGAGACAGTGTCGTGTTAGAAACCCCGTGGACAATCCGAAGATTGGTTTTACTTAAATCAAGATTGATCTCTGATTTTTCTCGGTTGTAAGTTCTGAGGAATGCTTCTTAAAAATGATCAAGGTTGTCTTGAGGTATGTTTTCTCATTCTGCTAATGTTGCATTAATAAGCTGTGCGAGATTTCCTGGATTGTTTCGATGAGCTCTAAGCCTTCTTTTGAGCTAGTCCCTCAAGCGTTCGATAAGATCTGGTGAACATGCAGGCCAGTCCAAAACTATGACACTTTCGGTTTCAAGACATTCTCTAGCCACTCCGCCGGTATGGGGTTGGGGAGGTTCTAGCACTAAATCAACATGCCTCCGATCCGTTAAAGTTTGTTGAAGTGGTAACAATGGAGTTTTTGCTCCCCAGTATAAAACCTCCCCAAAACATTACAGTTCCTCGTTTATGTCTTGGTACAGATTTGGTAGCCTGGAATCTCTTCCTGGAGCTCTGAGAACCCAAATTCGATGGTCATCTGTTAGGTCAATTCTGGTCTCGAAAAAAGAACATTTTACGAATTCTCAATGGTCTAGTTTTGATGTTGAAGGCACCAATTTACTAATTTAGCCGGTCAATTTTATGTTGTCGAGATAACTGTGGGATCCGTAACTCTCTCCTACTGTAGAACCCTCAAGCACGAAGCCTTTTTCTTATGGTTTCAACCATTTTCAACTGATAAACGTTCACACCTGTAGTCGCCAGAAGTTGTCTTTGTAGCTCTGGTTGAGAAACATTGGGATTTCTTCTAGCAATTTGACACACAAAGTAATCTTGTTGTTCAGTTGTGACTCTTTGACGACTTTGTCTAGGCCTGTTCTTGAGAGTTCCTAGTTCCAAGTACCTTGCATATGTATTCGATACAACACTCTGGGTAGCGTCTTCTATCTTTGCTACGTCTCTTTAGGACATTCCTTGTTCAATGAGAGCAATAATTCCCCTCTGTACATCTGTTAATCCAAGATAAGCATTTTTTAATTTTTTTGGATCGATTGAAAATTGTCGGACAATCGTGATTTTACTACTGAACACAAAATTCACAAAAAATAAGTTGCAGCAGTCGTTTATTCTTTATTATCATGTTTTATTACAACAAAAGGCCTTATCTTAAAGCTGTATACCATTTTTTTTCCTTGCAAAAAGTTTAGTCAGAAATAAAGAGTGATTCCATATTCCATATAAGTTTGGTTGTGTGTATATGTCATCCATCAGTATCTCTAAGGTAACGTGACGCCGTTTTTATACAGTATATAAATCAGATAACTAATAATTTATTGAATATTATTACTATCACTAAAGATATAAAATGTTAAGGATAAAAACTTATGGACAAAAACCAAATTTAGATGTTAAATATTACTATAAACACTTCTGGACAAGACGCCACTGATAAGGCACGATCTATTTATAAATTACCTGGAAACTGGAACGTATTTTGGTCAAAAAATCACGTCAATTTTAGCATCACCTCGAAGGTGACTGTGTCTCTAATGGAAAAGCAGTGTAAAATTGAACTAAATTTGCGTCGAAATACTACCAAAGAACCATGGGGTTTTAGTTTTGCCGGAGGGGAGGATTTCGTTATTACAAAGGTACCATATCTTTTTTTATTTAACAGTAGCTGACCCGGCTAACACCATACCGCCCAACGGTGAAGTGAAATGTTACTTTTTTGTCAGTCTTGTACAAGATTTTAGTGATATGGAATGATTGAAACAAGTCTTTCTAGATTTGAATATGATATTTTCCCACTATTTTCCGTAGAATTTCTGTTCTATAATGTCTAGTATGTCACCGATTTGGGACGGTCAATTGCAGAAGATGGTGGAGTTCCAAACTTAATTTATATAAAAACTAGCATGTACCCGTGACTTCGTTCGCGTGGAATTAATCATTTGTAAAGGTGATGATAAATCAAATCAAGAATTTCCATTAACATACAAACTGGAAAAATTTTTCTCACATTTATGTCAGCATGAGAAAAAACAGTATGGCGATATTATTATATAAATTGGTCATATTTGAGGGGTATAGTTTCATCTCGTTGGAATTTGACTTTCGAAAAATCCGTTTGCCAAAAATAAGCTTTTTACGTCAAGCAGTTTAACCAGAATCGTGGTTAATCAATTAAACAATTTTTTGGAACACCCTGTATGATTTTTTAAAAAATTTCAAAATATGTAAAAAAACAAACAATAAATTATGCGTGTCCAAGCGTTTTCCCGAAAGAATAACCGTTTTTTAAATAACAAATATTGTAATATTTGAGGGGCGTTTTCACCCTCTTGGAATTTGAGATTCGAGAAACCCCTCCTTATCGAACCTCTACACCTCACAGTCAATCCTTTTGCCATAAATCAGCTTTAAACGACAAGTAGTTTAAGCAGAATCGTGATTAGTCAATGGTCATATTTTATGAAACACCCTGTATAAACTTTTAAAAAATCTTAAAATATGTAAAACAACAAAATAAAATATACGTGTTTAAGAGTTTTTCCGAAAAACTCACCGGTTTTTAAATAAAAAATATTTTAATATTTGAGGGGTAGTTTCACCCCCTTAGAATTCGAGTTTCGAAAAATCCCTTCTTATCGAACCTCTACACCCTAAAGTCAATCCGTTTTCCAAAAATCAGCATTTTACTTCAAGCGCTTTAAGCAGGATCGTGATTAATCAATGACCAGATTTTTTGAAACACCCTGTATACATTTTTAAAAAATCTTAAAATATGTAAAAAATCAAAATAAAATATACGTGTTTAAGCGTTTTTTCGGAAACTTGACCTTTATTTAAATAAAAAATATTGTAATATTTGTGGGGTGGTTTCACCCTCTTGGAACTGGAATTTCGAAAAATCCCTTCTTATCGAACCTCTACACCCTAGAATCAACCTGTATGCCAAAATTAGCTTCTTACGTTTAGTGGTTTGAGCAGGTAAGAAGAAAGCAATTCGACTATTCGTAATTAAGCAATTTTCTTTTGATTACGACACTTACGAAATCACAAAAAAGCGGAATAAACCACTTACGAGTAATTATTTTTTATTAAAATGCGATTAAACAATTACCTTCTGAGTTGCTAAAAGAGACATGAAAGAGACTCTAAGAACAATTGTTAAAACAATCTTGACAGTAAGCTATTATTAGTGAAAATTAAAATAAGCTTGTAAAAATCTGAAAATTTTTGGGCCAAGGAATGTTTGCTCGGTTTTTTATTTTCACAAAATATGAGAAAATTCAAACAAGTTTCAAAATGCGATAGCTGTTGATTCTACCTTTAAAATGAACTTTGAATAATCATTAAATAATCGAAACAATTTGTTATATCAATCAATGTTACGGTTATGAAATCTATCTTCGGAGCGTTAAGATTTGCGAGAGAAAATTCAGGGATCTTCGAGGCGGAATATCTCTAAAAGTACTATAATTCAACGGAAAAAATGGTAAGGACCGTTTTTGTGTGTACTTAAAAAATATTGTAAATTGCTTATTTTGAGAGATATTTGCAACTGATTTTTGGGCCATTTGGGACCATTTTTTCAACCAAAGCTGGCCGAGCACCGTGTTACAATTTTTCTCCCTAAAACTACTCCCCAAAAGGTATACAATCCGCCTGAAAAGTCCCGGTTGACGAACTAAGCCATGGTTTCAACCTTCATTTACTGGTCTATTTTCCTGGCGGACAGGAATCCAACCTACTTTGTTTGGACGGAATCCGAACCGCGCTCCTCAGCCATATCATGGCCTACCAACTTAGCAAGTGTCTATAAATAAGTCGACTCTTACTCACGAGCATAAAAATATATTTGTATGCTCACGAGATATCCGATTTCATCCAGGCTATCACCGACGCGGCGTGAATGATCAGGCAGTTTCAATCTATTTGACGTTTTTGTCATGGATCAGACGTTTCCAGACGTTCACCCGTCCATCTATGGCATCTATACTCACATCGTTTAACGTCGCTTAACTTCGGTAATCGATCAGCAACCGGTGCGGTTCCCTGGTCGACAAATCCAGCGTCGGACCACAGAATCTGGAGATGATTTGACTAAACATGATCTGCGATTATTTTTTCCAAATTTAAACACTGTGAAGAATGAGTGACATCACTGTTGTAAAGATCATAATTGAGTAAATTGAAAAAAAAACAATTGGCATTTGATATTGTACTTTTCCTGAAAATAGAGAATCTAAGAACAAAAGAGACTAATTCAAAAAAACTAATAAAAATAATTAAATTGTTAGAAAAAGCAAAAATACTCGTATTAACATTGGACAGTTCTATTCTGTAATATTATTGTGCTAGGGCGTTCAGTATAGTTAAAACCACAGTTAAAACCAACGTTGTCAGTACGAAAGAATATTCCCGAATTTTAGATTTTTTTTTAATATTAGAGTTATTAACACTGTATTTATTTTTCTAGGTGTCGTTCGGATCGCCAGCACAGGGTGTTCTACAAAGAGGTGATATTATTACCAAAGTTGGTAATTACGATTCCAGAGATATAAGACATCAAGACGCGCAGAATTTGTTTAGGGATGCGGGAAACAATATCAGAGTAGTAGTACAACGGTAAGTTTTGAAATTTTTAATGATTTAGACATTTCTATAGCAAAAAAGTTACAGGGGTTTTTTCAAAAAGCACATTCGAAATACACCCTGTAACTCTGAAAAAGTAATAGATATACTTGTGCGTGATTTTTAGCATTATGTTTTCCTTATGTTATCTCCTTTTAAACTATTTAGAATTGTTAATATTATCGGTATCGGGCAGAGTTATAAAGATTTAGCCATTTAGATTGAAAATAAGTCCTAGTCATTTGGAAATCCGATTTAAATATTGTTTTGAATTAAAATCAAAAAAATCTGATTTAAATAAAAAAAATCTGATTTTTTTGATTTTTTTAAAAAAATCATGATTTTTTCCAACCCTGATTATTTAAAGTGTTCCTAAAATTGTATGGGATTTTGCAGATATTTGCGGTATTATATTACATATATGGTTTGTTCAGTAGTAAAATACAAGACAAAAAATCATGAGCTGGATTTGATAAAAATTTACTGTTGAAAAGAACCATATACAGGGTATAGAGTCTTAAATAAGTGCAAATATTTTTAGTGCTGGTAGATCTTGATAAAAGAAACATATTTTCTCTTTACCGCTTCTCAGATAAGCCCAAAATAACCGATATATTTTACTTTGATAATAAAAAAAAGATTTTTGGCAACTATTGGATTTTTTCTGGGTTTTCTTTCTTGTAAATTTAATCTACTGCCAATGTTACCGTATTATGAATATATTATATTTCTTTAACTAAAAATTAAAAACACTCCAAACAAATTTTCAAAAAATTCCAAATTTTTTTTCGCGAAAAAACCTCATAGACAGGTTTCTGGAGTCGAAATATGCTGTTTTCTTTCATGAGCTTTTCTGTGACTGAAAAGCCCGATACGTTATCTGCCTACCGCACTCCGGATATTCAAAAATGTCATTACTTTGTTGCCGCTTTACTTTTTGGTTGTCGCTCTTAACTGAGTTTACAATTCTTCTCCATTGAGTTCTATTGTGAGTTGCTTCTCACCACTCATTCTGCATGTTAATCCCCTTTAAGTGTTCGTGGAAAATGCCCTTGTACCTTTTCAGTTGTGTCCACCCGGCCTCCTCTTACCGTCTACAAGCTCACCGTAAAGCAGAGATTTTGGTATGCGGTTTTCTTGCATTCTGCATACGTGACCAGCCCATCTCAAGCGGGATTTTGTAACCATGACTTCAATACTCTCGCAGTTAGCTTTTTCAAGGACCGATACGTTTGAGACATGATGGAACCACCGGATTCTTAAGGTGTCTCTCACAAAACACATACACAAGAAGAAGTGCGAGCGCCTTGCTAAATAGTATATAATAATTTCAATATCCTAAGTGGAAAGAAAAAAGATCACCTTTCTGTTTTGTACTATGGTCCGTTTCTTTCGATGGTTCATCTCGTTGATATTTAGGAAGGTATCCATAAAATATATATTTTACTATCGGTCCTGGGATGAAAAAATATAAAATTCAATTTGATTTGATGATCTTTTTCTGTCACCTAAATCAGGAGAATGACAATGAGCATGTTAAGATGAAAAAAAATTATATATCAACACTTTTACCTACACGTTAATCCGAGAAGTTTTATCAAAAACCTATATTTGCCTAAATAATTTATGTATTAAATTTGCAAAGCAAACAAAAGCAAACTGCAGCGTGTAAACAAAAGAAATAAAATGGCGACAAGTCAACGCTGTCAACGTCAACGACCCGTCAAGGAGAAAAGTGGTGTTCGAATAACAAATTATGGGTCACCAAAAATTGTTTTTGTCTCCTTTCAACGTACACTTTAAAAAGAAAAAGAGATGAACAGTAATACTCAAAGAACGTCAAGGTTTTATCAGTCACTCTTGTCAATAATTTATCGGTAAGGAAGATTCCTAGAAAATCGCTTGTAGTCAAGTTTCGAACCATTGCCAGTTCTCCCATAAGAAGTGTCATCCACCTGGTGTCTCTGTTGCAACTTGTTTAATGCGTTCATGTGTTGCGGCACCCAGGTTTCGCTCCCATATAACATGGTGGGGATTATAATTGCTCGGCACACTGCAAGTTTCGTTTTTGTACTCAAGTCATGATTGTAGAAAACCCTGTCTTTTAATTTCCAGAATGTTCTTGAGGCGCTGATAATTCTGTGCTGAATTTCAGAGTCAGTATTGCCTTTTCCGAAATCAAACTGCCGATGCCGAGGTAATTGAATTCAGCCACATATTCCAATAGTTCTTCTCCGATTTTTATAGCATTGTTGTGATCTTCCGGGGAAGTGCACATGATTTTGGTTTTGTCGATGTTTAGCTTATGGCCCAAAGCCTCGTATGCCCAGGTATATCGGATAGCAGCCAGACACACATACTATTGAGCCACGGCTGCCCAAGACAATGCAAAAATTCCAAACGCAGGGTATTTAACAAAAGTTGACACAAAATTATAACCTATAATTTGGCAAGACTTTGACAAGCGTCAAAAATGACAAAAATCTAAAGGCGAGTTCATACGCATCGGCGTCCGTTTGTCGTTCATCGTTCCGTCAAACCAATAAAATTGAAATACGATCTGTCATTTTTTAATTAAACCAATAAAACTGGTTAAAAACAACAAGACACGACGCATGACGGATTTATATTTAAACCAAATTTAAACCCATCCATAGATAACTTAAAAATTATTAGAAACTTTTTTTAGTAAAATAAATAGATTGGTATGGGACGTCATCTGCTTTTCTTCTGTCATCGTCTGTCGAAATCTTACCTGAGAAAAAAAACAGAGTATATTTTAATTTTTTTTCAATTGAATTAAAAATATACAGGGTGTCCCATTTAAAAATCAAATTTTCTGTTGATAATTCTTAAATTATTAATTTTAAAAAAATTATACTTAAACTCTCCATTAAATTCTACGTATAAAGATACTTTGAAAATTTCAAAATTAGGGGAATACACCGATTCCCCTAAAACCGCCCACGCAGCAGGCTGGCGCGGCGGGCGGGAGTCCCCGTATATTTTTCTGCGATTATTCGCCAATAAAAAATATCGCTCGCCTTCTGGAATCCGGCCAGGACAAGAGAGCGGGCGATATTTTCGAACTATGCGAACGATTTCTTAAAATATTGCCTCTGTAATCGCATCGGAGTTGTTTCTGTTGGTGGCGAGAGTCGATTTTCCCAACAATCGCGGCGCGCACACACACGCACGGTCCGATTTCCCGTGGTTTTCGGTAGATTTTCGTCGGTCGCGGGTCTCCGGCGCCTCCTCCCTCGAACGCTTTTCCGGCTCTTAGTGGATTTTTCCTGGCCAGAACCATGCCATCCTACAACAGATACCTGTAAGTTTTGTATATGTCTATTAGGGTCTCCGTGTCTCCGAAGTTTTAGTTTTTGCTCTAAAAAATTATCCAACGTAAACAAGCTCTTAATTTTTAATTTAAACCGTGCCGGTATCATGATACTTTTCCCATTTAAATATCATGGGATTTTCTGACCTTTTGCATTTAATTTTTTATCTCCAAAGCAAATGAACCTACAGCTTCGACAAAGATATTCTAATTTTACGCTCTCCAAAAATCTTTGGTTTTTTCCATAAAAACATTTCTTTAAAAGTTATTCACGGTCAAAGTTATGCACATAGTTTATAATAAAATTTTTGTAGATATAATATTTACGAATGCTTAGTGCTCTTGCGAATGCTGGGTCGCTCTTAGGGGTCGGGTAAAGCGGGTGTGTGGCCGAAGGAAATATATATTATATTTCAGAAATCTGCCTAAGGCTTAGCCCGATCCTGACGTGTTAAATCACACATTAAATTCGAAACACACGTGCTTTGATTAAGGTTTGCAGAGCTCCATCACTTGCCAAAGCTTCATCACTTAATAGCGAGCAATTTGTTACAAAATCATATAAATTATATATCACTGTAATCACAAAACTTCAATCTATTTCCGTATTGTAACGGAATTTTAAATTATCTCTTTATTTTCGAGAAAATTTAGTCCAAACATAAGAAATATTTTGTTGATTATTGACCATCAAAATCTTAAAAATAAAGAAGTTGTCTAAAAATGTGCTACAATACGGATATAGTATAATCCTTTATCTTTAATTTCCTTCTTCATTTGTGTAAAAATACCTAGCCAGTTTTACATAAAACGTTAAATGCCGAACGCTTATTTTGCTACTTTTTCGGACTAGTGAAATGGACTCTTGTGTTGCAAATGGACTCTTGTTCTCAGACTTGACTCAGCTTGGACTCAGAAAGTTGTGTCACTAATTAACCACCAGTATACCAAAACACTATTTTAAACTCTGAACGAACGTTTTGCTAACCATAGAACTAAATTTTAATAAATATAATATAGAAATTGCATTAGGAAAGTAGCTAAAACGGGTCACACATTATACGAATTATCGTACTGCAGATTGGAAACATAAACGTTCTGCTAACCATAAAACTAAATTATTATTCAAAAATTGGGCATATACTAATATTTTTGACATCTTTATACAGATAAATATTACATGCTACCATAGACCATAGAATGTAGAATTTTTAGGAAGGGGGTTAATCACCGCAACCCTACAGGATCCAGATCTAGACAACTAAGAAAAAATGCTTAAGATTTCAACGGTTTCGAACTTCAACAATTTTAATAGACTTGTGTGCTAAAACACTAAACTCTTCCGTAAGTTATTTAGGCATCTTAAAAGTGTAGTTTTAAAACATATTCAACATTTTTGCTGGTTAGGCAAGTGTCTTGATGAGCAAAATGCCACAGGCAAGCTGGTGTCCGTTTGGATTCTATTCACTGGTTTATTTTTACTCATATTTTGCAGAAAATGCCTTTTTTATTCGTTTTAGTTTCACAATACAATTTTTTATGAAATATCAGTTATATTTGTGATCAGAAATATATTGTGTGTGTCTGTGGACAAACTCTCTCTCTCTCTCTCTCTCTCTCTCTCTATCTATCTTTATTCCTACAAAAGGAATGTGGT